TCATGGGGACGTCCCGCAAGGAGTCGGAAGGAAATCTAAAATAGAAGCATAGGTTGACATGTACATCACATTAAAGGTCTTTACTAGCAGAATATTATGCCGCAAATTTGAACTCAAATGGACAACCCAGTCAAGAATGACAGTGGTTCAAAGATTCATTTAATTTGCATTGCTATTGTACGTTTACTCCTCGGGGGGCACAGCCCTAGGAATTGGAAGAAAATTGTTAACGTAAGCATAGGTCGATATGCACATCAAATTAAAGGTCTTCACTAGTAGATTACAATGCCGTAAATTCAAGCTCAAAAGAACGCCTGAGTAAAAAATGGCAGTCGTTCAAAGATTCAAAATGGCGGATTCAAGAAATCTTTGAACGGCTGCCATTTTTTATTCAGTTATCCGTTTGAGTTCAAATTTGCGGCATTATATTCTGCTAGTAAAGGTCTTTAATTTGATGTGCATATCAACCTATGCTTCTATTTAAGATTTCCTTCTGACTCCTTGCGGGACGTCCCCATTATATGACAGAAAATTTCTAGTTCCTTAAAAAAGTAGATTTTTAGGTGTGGTGTTGATGTGCAAAATCTTATTGATTTATCTGTTGTCGTTTAGATAATATTAAACCGGTCCGGGACTTTTGGGACAGTCTGTATAATTGCCTCTTAAGTATTAAAAATAAAACCGACGGAACAGAATGAATTTTATTTAGATTTTCAGTAAAAGAAATAAATGTTCATTTGGATGACTTCTACTATAAGGAGATAAGTATTTTTTGTCTTATAACACATTTAAACAGATTGTTGAATTATAGGAATCTAAACAACATATCACCTATTGCATCTTGAAAATATACTTCGGGATATTTAATAGTAGTTTGTTGCGTAAAGATGGTGTTAACGACACGAGTAGAAAATCCTTAAAAACTTCTACGAGTGTCGTTAACACTATTTACGCGAGTTGCGTACACTACTTTACCTACGACGGCGTTTTAATTACTAAAAATCACTACTCAAAACTTCAAGAGAGGTTATGTTTTTGTTTATAACCTCTCATTGCCACTGACAGTGATTCAACGAAACATTGTATCAAACACTAATTGCACCAATCAACAATTAAATTGGCCTGAACAGCTGATTAGTTGAATTTCAAATCATTACAATTTTGCTTCTCCTCTCTCAATCCTTGAACCTCATTGGTCCGTTACCCGTGTTGTTATGAGTAAAACTAACTATGCTGTTATGAAAGTAAACAATGCTGTTATGAGATACTTTTCAATTCTAAGAACTGTACTGAAACGGCTACTTTAAAAAACAGTCTTAGGTAAAATATAATATCGTATAACGTTTATGTGACGACACAGAATATTACATCTAGAATTCCCTCAAATACCAAATCTACTGCCCCAAGCTATACGTTACACTTCAACAGCTGGTTAAACAGTCGTGGTTAAATAGTCTGAGAGCTTAATATTTGTCTGTAATGAAGTTCTGTCTTGGCTTAAGTGATTGCGTCTTCCTAGAAACCTGTTGCAATAAAATGTGATTAAAATTTATTTTATAGTAATAAAATTGAAAGATTGGTTTGAATAACCACCGACATTTATGATTAAAGTCTTTTTCTGATGTACAATTTTACTATGTAAACCACATGTATTGTATAATAATCAGTTAGTTTAAATTTATTACATTAAAACTGTAGATTAATTTACATATATTAATTGCATACGTAATAAGTCTAATAGGAAAGGATTGAATTTACATTTAGCTTTTTAAAAAACTAAATTAAAGACGTGTAAGGTTTTTTGATCCGGAAATCAAAGGAAATGCAAAATATTAATGATTCTTCGAACTGAGGAAAACAAAAGCTCTTCGCATTTTATACTTGTAAATTTGTCTGGTTTATCTTATTATTATTCACGAAATAAAAAAAAACACTTTGACTAGTGAATTTTGAAGTATCACAGCGTACAATTGATAGTCAATAATCGTAATCAGAAATGCCTTTTCTCTTGGCTAGACATACCGGCAATGTAGTCTGTAATTGTGAAATAATACCGTAATAAATTGTGTAGTGTATCTGTATGCGCCAATAATACAATGTCGATATTTTCTTGACATAGTATCGCCAAGCCCCTTTTTACCCTTTCAGACATCTAATACAACGATTAACGTTTTACGAAGTACAATACTGCTATACAGTATGCGCATTATAACATATTTTATCAACTTGTAGTGGTGAAAAAACTATCATATCATATTTTGAAGAATATAGCCTATGTTTTAGTAATAGCTACATTTCAATACAGGTACAATAATTATACAGGTGGTACTTAAGGCAGCAAAATGTTATAGACATCGTCTCGATTTGTATAATTTGTATTAACTATGAATTTGCAATTTATTTACAGAATGAGATGTTAGATTACAATATGTTCACTGCAACAACTATTGTTGCAACTACTGACTGCCTACTATTGTAATTAGACTATGCTAAATCTAATCCTGAATTCAAGACTGAACCCGTGTAATTATGTTGAACAATGAGATAGTGTTAATGACCGAGGCTCCGATCACGCACCTTGTAATGAACTAGAATATCAACAGATGAACATGATAAATAGCTTATTGTAATGCACATTTTAGAAACAATTTCAGTCACATGTTACAAAATATAACTCTTGTAATTTGTGACATTTTCCTCAATAAACGTGTACTGAGGTGGCTCAGAAGGTTGTGGAAAATTTTAATATATTTTTTTTTATTTGCCTCGTGGATTTAATATTTATAATGTAAATTAAATTATGCAGTTTAATATCGTAAATACTTTTAGTGTTTCGTATACAGTTAAAAGACTTAGGTCCTTGAACACTTTTCATCAAAGGAGAACTATCATAGGTAACATTACCTTTTTACTAACCATCAGTCCATTCAAATATTTATTTTAAATACATTGACTTTTTATAATTGTTGTGTTTATCAGCTCATTCATCATAATATCTTCCATAGCATGAAACATTTTTCTAATTACAGATTTGTCAGTATCAATAATTTACCTCATATTTATTTTATAAAAACTATGTAGTAGTTTACGTAATCCTGTTGATACGATCTTTATCATTTAGAAATTTTATGGCAACTTAATATATGTATAAAACGTATATATTAGTAAGTCTTAAATAGGGAACTTTCGTAATTGGATAAATAGACACCCGTTATCAAACCCCTTCTGAAAATGCCATAGATAGTTGTATTACAATGTACCATGTTTTATAAGCTATAGCAATTGAACCCCTTAATAAAATGGGTTCAAGAAACCTTTGATATCAATATTTATTTAAATTTGCTGCGAAAATTAAAGAATGATACAACTTGGATCACTAATATTTTGTTCATTTGGATTAATAAAAATGGTAAGCGAAGTGAGAACGTCCCAATGATCATCATACTTTATAGCTAAATGGTTTATGTTACCTGGCTTCGTCAAGTGATCCTGCTACAGTAGTGTACTACTCTAGTTTCGGACTTAAAAGTCCATCTTCAGGTAAAAAACAAAAACATCAAGTCATCTAACCAATTTGGTTAGATTCGTCGTTAACACTGAGAACATATACACGAAAAGCAGGATCACTTGACGAAGCCAGGTAACATAAACCATTTAGCTTAAATTTAGTGATCCAGAGGCCACCTCACCATGATACTTTATAGATTTTAAAATGATTTGCATGGAAATAACGAGACGTTTTATACTTTATAGAAAAACTGTAGCTTAAAATATTTGTGTACAATAAGTTTAACGAGTTATTTCAATTGAGTTTAGCCAACATCTATGGATTTGAAGAAGGGATAACGTTTAGTATTTTATGTGATTAAAATAAATTAAATAGCATTCTGTATATTTTTCTAAGATTTATCTCTCAACAATACGAAACTTACAATAAAATAAGATTCCATGCCAGATTGTATTATTTGATAAACGTAAATGGAACGTACAACGACAAATTACTAGAATATCACGGAGAGCTCAGATTATGTCTCGAGTCTGGGACTAATTAAGTGCGTGCCTAGAAACTGGAGCTTCGTTCCTTCTTCATACATAATCACGTCAACGTCTGTAACAGTTGTATTCTCTAAAGTAGTAGTGAATGTTCTTATTACTTCAATTTTCACATAGGACTCCATTTTAATAGGTTGATATTTATGTAGTTGCGTGGTTAGAAGGTAGGTAGTTATCTTGGTGAGTATATAGGTAGGTAGTGGAATAAAAGGATAGTTAATGGGCCTAAGTTATTACCTAACTTATTTTGATTGTTATGTATACAAGAAGTTACCTCGTTGATGCAACTACATGTTGAAATTTACAATAAAATAATGTTAAACTAATCCTTCCAAAATAATGGTCCACCGATCTATTTACACTTAATACAACAACTAATTAGTTGAACAACCTTCACAATTGACGTTTACTAGTGATGTGATGTAGTTTATGATTTGGTCTTAATTGAAGATAATTTAATCATTGTACAAAACATTTAACCCAGCGTTAACATTAACCTAGGATTGAGCTATGTTCAATAAACACAAACGTGCAGAGTAATTAGGACTGGCTGAACTAATTAATTTAAGGTATGTCATTAGTGTATCATTTGGTGATTTAGTTGTATACGATTTTCATTACCTTGACGTAGAACATAATCTAATTAAACTGTCATAACGCTTAACATTAACAACCTTAACGTAATTGAGGTTTTATTAATTTATCTCTGTTACGTAGTAAATTTAATTTACCTTAGGAGTTATCTGTAAATACAATATTTGTACCATGGAACAGCTTGAAACTAGTCACAACCTTTTACAAGCAAAACAGTATGCATACATGGCATTTACGTAAATTATTAGCTACTTACGCAATTTATAAAGGTGTTACTTATTTTCAATGGTACACGTATAAACAGTAATAATCAGTATAAACAGAATAAACAAGTAATTTTGTAACTTTCTTACTTACGCACCAAGAAGAAACCAGTTCGTATGCTCTTTCATACTTCTTTCTTGATTTTTCAGGAAACAGGTTAAATGAAACATGTTTTGCAGTTTCTGCTACATATTTCTTCTGGTGTACACATATATTCACAATCACTAAGTTCATTATTCTCATACATGTTAGGCCCACTTATAACTATTCCTTCAAATACTACACTTTAGGTTATGTTTAAATCAAGCGTTGAACGAAAATAAAAAACAAACACGAAATGACAGGTTAAATCGTAGTTATAATAGTCAATCAGCTGATCATAGTAGTAGTATCTTTAAGTGTTGCCAACCTATTTCCAAGCGTACACGGATTACATGCATAACCACGCTGTTTTGTGTTGTTTGGTTGGAATACTGATGTGGGCCAAATTATAAACGGTGTGATAACATGTAACACACTATTACTATCACAATCAAATAAATAGAATAAATTGTGTGTAAACTATTACGTTTCGTCTGGTGTAATCACCAAACAGTAAAATGATACTAAATTCCCTCCAAAATGGGATAGGGAAATTTGACAGACTTCTGCCCACACATAAGATTTCGGATATAGAATACACATAGAACATGCTCCAGATTTCAGAATAGGGCAAGAGCACTATTTGGGTTTCACAAAGTCTATGGTTAAGGCATTAAAATTATAAATTTTAAATGTCTATAGGAATCATTGAAATATGAAACTAAATCACTTAAAAGGGGTTTTCGTTGATTGGCTGAACAATATAATCATACAAATCAACATAGAAAAGTACATTATGACGACTCTGAGCATTTGAAAAGTATCGAGCAATTTAACTATATTGCTCATAGATCTTTTTACTAATACTATACCTTCTCATAAAGTCAAAAATGTATTTGCAAAGCAAATAAAACAATTGAGTAAATAAAATCCAACTCGTGGCTCTAACAGGATTAAGGGAAATGCGTGAATCGTGTATGCAGAATACGGGAGGGGGCTGTGGTGGAAAATGTTGACAGCTACTGATGGAATTCAAAGTGTTATTCGATTACCTTTATTGAATGCAATCTGTTTATTTTTCCTCACAAAGCCTATAACCGTTATCGTTATTCCATCGCGTATTTACAAAGTGTATAGAGGAGAAAATGTTTAATATCCTACTAATATTATAAATGAGAAAGTTTGGATGTATGGATGTATGTTTGTGACAAGTAAACGCGAATAATACTAGTCGGATTGGACTGAAATTTGGTATGATGATAGCTCACATTCCCAATAGACGTATTCTTATCTCAAAAGTCCATTCGGGCTCCGCCCCAGTGGCTCTGGAGTTTCCCATGTTAACCTTATGTGTAATCATATTTACAAGGAATAAAAGAATTTTGTCAGCTGTTTCAACTACACAAGTTGGTTCTATGGTTCTATGATATTGAATAGCATTAAAAAGTTACAAGGCTTACCAACAGGGTGCAGTAGTATTATTTTTTACATTAATGACAACATCTATCCTATAAAGGCCATAAAGGTTAAATTTTGTTTTTAAAAGGCTTATGTGTAACTATTTTTTCAACAGATGTAAAGATCAATATGTTTCAATTTCGTGTTCTCTTCCCGTTGCAAAGCACGGGTGCAACAGCTAGTGTAAAATATTTCAAACAAAATTGTCAGCTGTGTACAAGATTATTACCAGATCTTTGAAGGTCTTTGGCGTAAACCAATGGTAAACCGATATTGTGTTTTGGTTTTCAAAACAATAATGAGAAACTCTATAGCACAGACAATATAATACTGTATGAGCCAATTTTAAATTTTGTTCACTAAACTTTTTATTTTTTTATGCTCTTTCATTTGATATATCACAGGGGGTACCTTGCTATTTAAAAAAAATAATTTGGTGGCAGGGGGGAATTGGGGGGGAATGTGAATGTAAAGTTGAATTCAAAACAATTGGGCCCCCTACGTCAATAGATGATTCCCGCAAACTGCATATTTCTATCTATTGCGGATTTTACATAAATAAAGATGCAAGTTAAAAAAAAACACCCTGTATACTCGAAAACAGCTGATTTATTACTAAGATGATCTTTAGCCAAGTAACGCACAAGAGTCGAAAACAAAAGTTTTCGCTACTACAGTAAGTAGATGGTGAAGAGAGGCTTTAATTTTTTACAGACATAATTATTAGGTAAAGCTGTAGTGAATTTGGAGCAGCAACGGTTATACACACTATTGTTTGTTATTGTTACACAATTTGAGATACAGTTTTCACGTTTTTGTAGCTTGGTATTTTATTTCATCAAATTTATTAAAATATATTGTGAATAATGTGGTTAAAAAATATTTACTTTCCAGATAAAATGAATATTTTGGTAAACAATTTCCTAAATATTCTGTCTGTTTTTTCTCTTTATAATATAACAAATAATCCATGTCACATAACAGAATGTGGTAGATGTGACAAACTTGGAGGCTCATGGCCTTCTAGCCCAGTTCGATAAGCTGTTATCACCAAGGGTTTAGATATCAGCTGCGATATCTCGTTGCCTAGCAACCACACCTGTTGCGTTCAGCCAATCAGCTCGCGACTACCCCTCCCCACCACTCCCCTCACATCCCCGGGAATAATTTAAACTTCTCCGATCAAACAACTCTTCCATCCAAGGCAAACTAATCTATCTTTCATCAGGCTGATATTTTAATTTTAAAATATTTTTTAGTTATTAGAATAAATTATAAGAGTCCTTTGCTGGATTTTTTTATTGTTTGTTCTAAGTTTGTGGGAGGAATTTCAAATAATTATAATGTAGTTTTAGTCATATGGAAACACTCATATCTCCTCTTTTTCCATCTCACTTTCTTTCTTCAATGAAGGGTGTTGAAGAAAAATTATAGGTTGGTATGTTTCGGTTCCGACCTGCGATGTCTTGGAATTAAGTGATGAAATGAAATGAAAAATCGTTTATTTTTTCAAGCAAAGCTAGGGCCACATGGCCCTTTGTTACACTTAACCTGATAAGTAGATAGTGTAAGTAGATAGTGATAAGTAGAAATATACAAACAAGTTTTGTTTCAATTAATTCCCACTATTTCTATGAAAAGGTCCCTTCCAGGTATCATGTGCCTACTTTTCGGAATTTATAGTCGCGTACCACCCATCAGTGAATTTGCCAGAATTTAATTTGACAAATACGTTGGATATAAATTATATCTGTTAGCACGATAATTCGAGTACAAATCATCCGATTTTTTTATTCTGTACAAACGTGTAAGTAGCTTTTATTTGAAGGAGTTCACAGGTTTTTTGGGTCTCTGGAAACATCAATACGAGAAAAGTTGGTCCCGAGACTATGCTTTACTATGAGACCGACGATAATTGCTCATAATCGCTGGTAAATTCACTAAAAGCACTGACTTCTGAAAATCCTTGCCTTTGTAAATGATATAAACATTTTCGTACAGTAAAAATCCCTTTACTTGAAAAATGTAAGTTTACAATATGAAGAACAACGTACTATAATAACACATGAATTATGAGTTTAAAATAAGCAAAAACGAATGAAAATACATGAGAAACTTTAAAGTGAACATGAAAAGTAAACAAAAAACTGATAATTCTTTAAAATATGATGGGAAGTTTTCTTCTACTATTTGTGGTTCTAGTAGCTATGTTAGGAACAATTGGTGTAGTAGGACGAGGAATCTTGGAGCTGGTTGAACTTTTCAAAGGCATCTTTGTGATGGGAGTGCAGAATCTAGAAGTCTTCTTTTCACTACATGCCTTATTTACGTTTCTTGGTCGCAAAACTCTTGGTTGAACTAAAGTTTGATTGTGTTTTGTGGTGGACTTAATGTTTTCTTTGAACGATTCGTAAGTTAAACTGTTTTGCGAGTTGTTTGAGAATTTGTTTATCACAGTGCAGGGAGTGTCACATTGAAGTCTTCGGGCTACTTTGCTATCGTGAGATTTTGTTTGAAAAGAGGTGATTGATGAGTTTCCATTTAATTTGTTTTCTCTCAACACCCTTGTCCAAGTACTTTCTGCAACTGTAGACCCAGATAATGTAGAAGCTGATCTGGATATTCGAGGAGTTGAATGGGCAGTTTTCATAACTCTTGAGTAGTTATTAGGATGTTGGGGGGTCAACAGCCTTCGTTTGTCTGAAAAAGATTGCTTGAATCCAAGCCTTGATTCTAGAAACATATTTTCTTTATTGACTGTCTTCCTCATTAATCTTTCTGTCTCTTTAGTCTTTTCTCTCTCATCTTCCTTTTCTTCAATTTTACTTTGTAAAGATTTCCCAAAAAGCATAAAATCTTTCCCCGTTGTATTTTTGTACGTATTCAATAGCGTAGTGAGCTCTGTTTTTATAGATGGAACTTTTTTCTGTATGAGTCTTCGTTCCTTTTCTTCCTTCAGCAAACAGCCGCCTCGATTGTTGAACAAACGATCTTTATTCGAAGCCAACTCCTCTAGATGTAGCAATCTCATCCACAGCTCGTCATATTTACTTGAGAGTTGGAATATTTTTTTGTTTTCTTCGTAAAACCTCTGTAGCTTCTCAATTTCCATTTCATGAAAACTTAATACTTCCTCACTCCAGTGGTTGGATTGATAGGCCTTGAATTGTGCTCTGTCTCCCTCCGAATAGCAGCACTTATCCCATAGATCGTTTAAAACTTTACGCTGGCTTATTATGAGATCTTTCAGGTTTTTCTTTCTGTCATCTTTTAAATTTTTCAGTTTTTTCTTTAAGTTATCAATTGTATTGTTATCAAATCCATTATTTTCGCTAAGAAATGTTTCAATTTCATCTGTATTTAGAAACATTTTCTTACTCAAAGAAGCAACCTCATTCCGCAGGTGATCAGCCTCGTGTACTAATTCTTCTTGCATTTTTTGATAACGGTTTGTAGTAGCTATAAGCTGATTTAGACGTTTAGTCGTAATAGGATAATCTTCTTTTTCAGAACTGAAATATTGTTCGATCTCTTTATTGGGCTTAAATTTGCACTGTTCAACTAGCAATCGTAGTTTATCTTTGTAGGTCTCAAAGTCATATTTCAGTTGCTCATTTTGCTTTTCTAACAACTCAATACGTTCCTTGAGTGTATTTATTTGATCAATTCCAGGAATGAAAATGTCATCTTGCTTAGAGTTGGCAGCTTTTTTAAACGAGAGTCTTTCTTCTCTTTGGGGTTTCAAACTTAATTTTACACAAAGTTCTCTTTCCTTTTTCTGAAGATGATTATATTCTTCCAAGCGTTTTTCTCTTATTTCCTGATAGGTGGTTAGGATTTTCCAAATCTTATCTTCTAAGACCACCAATGGATCGTCTTTGTCACAAGCTAAATTTTGCACTTCTGCCTCTAGTCCTAAAGCCTTTTCCAGTTTCAGCGCATCTTTGCCAGCTTTTTCAATACTTTTTGAGAGATTCTTTTTCCTTTCATTTTGACATTCTAACTGTTGTTCCCAGAATGCTTTTACGTCATCTATGAGTTTGGTGAAGCGATCGTCGGAGACACTCATTGGTCCGTATATTTCATTCCAAAGTTTGATCATTTCTTCAATACCTTCCACGTTGATTTGTATAAATGTATTTTTCATTTGTTGTAATTGGACGTCTTTGCCATGAGATTCGCCTGTGTCACCACTCATTGCGAAAAGGTTGAGGAACAATTTATAAAATAGCAAATTAATATAGTCAAAGTAATAGTTTTGGTAGTTGTGTACAATTTAAATGTGTTTAGGTCCCATATGAAAATAAACACTATTATTATTAACATGTGATTTTGGCCAGTATTAGAGAGGATATTCTAAATTGGTGACATAAAATTAGATTTTACTATCGATATGAAAAATTATTGTTGGCGAACATTTGTATTTGTAGCATCATTGGTTGTGCATCCCAAAATAAGGTATCCTCCATTTGAACGCACATTTGCATGTTTTATCATGCTTTATTGATTGTTAATCTTATTCAATTTTCGTGTGTTTTTAGTTCTCTATCAACCTGCATCCGTAGTTTCGTTCGGTCTTTCAATTGAAGTTTCTGGGTGCGATATAAACTGGTTTTATTAGTAACTAAGCACATAATACCATGGACTTTAAATAGTGTAAGCATGCGTATCAAAACAAAAAAGGGAGTATATGTAATCTATGAAATTACATACAGTGTCCTGTTCAATAAAGGACATCGTCTACTGGGGAAAACACCTCAACTGATGAACCAAGATGGACAATTATTTAAGCCTTTCTCCACGTTCCCAACTAAATTCCATTTCCATTTCAATTTCATGTGTGAAGATTAGATTTTTTAAATGTTTGAATTTTGAAAGAGGCTTCACTATTTCTTTCTTAGTTCATAAACTGAGTTGTTTTGGCCAGTAGGCGATATCCTTTATTTACTCAATAAAAAGAAGTCACTTGGGGTGGTGTCAAAAAATGTTGACGTCAGTTTGATGGCAAACCTCACCATTGTATGTGCTAGGTCACATTTTTCAATCAGATGAATTTGTAAAAATCAACTTTGGCATGTGGCCGAAACAACCAACACAGGTAGAACATTGCACTTCGTTGTTTATTATTTGTAACTAGCCTACTAATAATTGGAACAATTAATTACGTGACGTTTACCTGCACTATAACACTTTGCTTCTCACCAGGCTTAATACATTGACTATTTGGAAAAAACAGGTTTGCATGCTAAGCCATACTAATGTTACAAGCATATGTATGAACTTTGAGTAGGCTTACGAAGGTCCTATATCTTGAACAACTGATGTTATCTCTTGGTCTAGTAGACTTGAATATACTGCAAAGGGAAATAATATCTTTAATATTGTCAGTTACAGCCAGAAGTTATTTTTTATAATATAGCAAGCCAACAATTTAGCAAATTCTGTAAAATCAATTTAATACTTTTTACTTTTATTTAACAATCTATTTTATAAAGAGTAAGTTTCTGCACCGTTGGCTTCAACTCTCCATGACAAGATGCATGGATAACATGATGGATACGGTAGACTATCGATCATGGAGGCTGTTGCTGGGAGGACTATTTATAGGACCAGCTGATGTTGCTAAGCAACCTCCCGGCCCGCACCTGTTGATCCTTCGTCCTATAATCTGTCTTCGGTGGCTTCCATAAAAAATATGATTTACAAAGTACACTCACATTTTGTAGTCATTTTTAGAATAAAATAATATGTAAATGTTCATTCAAATTAGCCTCCAACAGAGTGCTCTGATATAAATTACAAATGTTGAATTCACCAACTGTTTTCTTAAGTAACAACAGCTAAGAGAGAAAGTAGAGTTATCACACCAACACACTCTGTGAACGGATTATTCAACTATGTTCTTTTGTAAGTAAACTACAACAGAGTTTACTTATAAAATAAAAGTATATTTTATGAACACTAGATTCATTTAGATAAACAAGTCACAGTGCATGGCTATAGATCCATACAGAAGCATTTCGTCTAGTATGGAAGTGGGAAGTCGCCATATGTAAAAAATACATTTCAAAACAGTGTTACCAACACAACAAATAATGTAATACGAAGAATATGGAGAAACACTAAAATGTAAAACAGGTAGTCCATATAAATCGAATGACTACTTCAGTAGGTCATAGTGAATTGTGGAATTAAGTGGACTTGAGGTCGTCCAGTGGTCGAAACTCGACCAAAAATATTTAATGTACAGTCTTCTTTATTTTCATCCCACACTGTGAATAAAACATATGATTGGAGTTTCTTCCATTTGTTTTGATTTTCTGTTTATATTTCGTTGTTATTTCGTAACCAGCATGGCAACCCATTTGATCCATGTTAATTTTTTTCAAAATTTAAATTCATTTTTTGTGCTTATTTTTGAGCCTATTTTAATTTATAAAGGGATTCTGCACATCTACAGGTAAATATCTTTCCAACAGTATGCATAGATTTTTCCTGCGATGCACACGAGCTGAGAAAAAAGGTTTTAAAGAAACATGCTTGCCTATTAATATATAGATAGATAGATGACCTGAGTAATAGGTTATGCACATTGTCCGACTTAAGTCTTATAGTCTGGGGATTAAAATTTTCGGGTCATGAGACCCATTTTAAAAATCCAACATCAAATTCATGAAATCCGACAGAAGAAAATCCGAAATCCGACTGCTGCTGGCGTGTTCGCCATGCAGCCTGTGTCAGTTTATCCCAACATCCATCCCGTGATAATGGTTGGACCACCGTTTTATTAAAATGTTTATTTATTTCTTTTTATGTAAACTTTGTGTCGATATGTGTTTATTTATTGATAAGGACTAGAAATTGCCAGACTATTTCTTATACTGTAAGTCTGAAGACAGACAAAGGTGCATACCAATATAAATTTGTACAATATCAGTCTCGATGGCAAGAATGTTCAGAAAATTAATATATTTTCCCAAGATTGGCAAGTGCCTTTCTAGTGCTTTAGCCAGGATTATGTATTGAAAGATCAACAATGATAAAGGACAGCTGACTCTAGTTTTGAACTATCAAAAAGCTACTGAATTTTCACATGATCGAACCAGCAAGACGAGCATCGACCACTCAGCTTACCAGTTATGTGTCTGAGGAGCTTAAGTAATTAATACAAATTTTGAGTAGGTACTTAAGAATAGTGCACATTTTTCAGCGTAATGAACTACTGTAAGTCATCTACTTTGTTTTCATTATGAATAAGTAATTCTTCCCACTATCCTTGTTCAATTCATTGATCTATTCACGTCTACCAGAGTTGAAGTTTGTTTAGGACCCAGATTGTGTTGTCATGTTGGTACAACTGATTATATCGAGTCACGGTAATGACATAATTAGATTACATCAACACTTCAATATAGGGCTTAACCATTTAAGCACTGTTTGGAGTATATGTCCATCCATAGTCCACTGCCCACTCCACATTTTTTGACACCCTGTTATAGAAATAGAAGTAAGTTTAATAGGTTTAGAAGTCTGCTTGCAATATTTTAAGTCGAATGTGTTATTTATGTAGTACATGTTATTCCGTGACGTGTATTAATGAAGCTGTAAAAGTCATGGTTTCAAATCTATATTTTCTGAGGAACTTAACTGGGAAATGGCAATAATTCCAGGTTATTGTTAGAGTACAGTTTTATTTTTATGTAAATTGTAAATATTGGCCTATCCAGCCTGTGCTGGTATCAAGCCAAGGAGGAGGTAATAAGGAGTACAATGCCCAGTCAAGGGCATAGCCTGGGTTTTCTTTTGGGGGGTGCTGATATTCATAAGGGTCAGCAGGGGGGTTTGTTGGAAATGACCAACATACGGATGGTCCTGGATGTTGAAATTTTAGAGCAAAATTGAGGGTTTTAAGCATTTAAAATCTCTTATTTCAATTTATTCGGGACCAAAGGAAAATTCAGGTTAAGTGCTTCAGTTAGTTATGGTTATTTTATGAATTTGTGCCCAGTTTTTTTGTAGGAGCCGAGCCTGTAACCTGATGACTACTTCCTGAATTTAACCTCTTCCATGTATTCGAACATGTGTTTTAAAATAACAAACACTTCACATGATAGGGTAATTTAACTTAAAGGGAACCATTATCAGTTCAACTTTTAACTTGCCAAAAAAATTAAGATTAAAAGATATTTCTTCCCCATAATCCTCCTATATATTAATAGGCAAGCATGTTTCTTGAACCGTTTTTCTCAACTCGTGTGCATCGTAGGGTAAATCTACGCATACTGTTAGAAAAATATTTTCCTGTAGGTCTGCAGAATCTTACTAATATTATAAATGTGAAAGTTTGTGTGTTTGTTTGTTTGTTTATTTGTTTGTTTGTTTGTTTGAAGTTCAATCACGCATAAGCCACTGAACGGATTGGGCTGAAATTTGGCATGATGATAGCTCACATTCCCGATTAACATATAGGCATATTCTTATCTCAAAAATCCTTTCGGGCTCTGCCCCAGTGGCTCTGTAGTTCCCCATGTTAACCTTATGAGTATTCATATTTAAAGGGAATTTAAGAATTTAGTCAGCTGTTTCAACTAAAAAAGTTGGTTCTATGATATACAAAAGCATTAAAAAGTTATAAACTTAACAACAGGGTGCGACACTATAATCTTTTTTGCATTTATGTAAACGGCTAATTTGAACTAAGCAGCAACAAAAAACTGTGATACGCAATGAGAACTGTCAAAGTAGGATTGTTTACAGTTATGTTTATGTTTTTAATGTCATGAATAATTTGTGATTTTTTGTGAATTAATTTTTCTTTATTGTTTAAGTGAAATGGTAGAACATTATGGCTATGATAGATGTGTAGTACCATTGTCATACCGTCAATTTAATGAAGCAAATTTTATCAATTTTCGACCTCTCCCATTTCAAACGCAAAGCTTGAGTATAACTGCAATAAGCAATACGCCAACCCCGTACGAAGGACGGGTACTCTGCTAGTCCCTTTATAAATTAAAGCAGGGTAAAAAATAAGCAAAGGAAATGCATCTAAAAAAATAAACATATTATGGGTTGCCATGCTGGTGACAAAATAACAACGAAATATAAACAGAAAATCAAAACACATGTTTTATTTAGTGTGAGGTGAAAATTACATATTTTTGGAGTTTTCGACCACTGACCGACCTCTACTGTAGTATTTATATTATAGTTTAAAATTATGATTTTAACTCGAATATTTGTCTAATGTTTTTCATATGTATAAGAAATCTATTGCTCAAAATATGTGTTTTTGATGTTAATAATTCAAAATTAGTTTGCATCTAATGCTATCTCTTGAATTTATAAAAACTTTCTTTTGCATTAAATTCTGTGCCACTTTTTAATTCTAAGATATTACAGTATTGAACTTCTTGACAACTCCAGTATGCTATCACAACTCACAAGACTTGATGAGTTAAAAGGAAAGATAAATAAGTTTTATAAATTTGTGATAGATACCCTGTATTTAAAACTTTTTGAACATTTGGAAACGATATTATTATCACAGAAGATAAGTTTAAAATTCATGAATACGAACAGAATGCATGCATAATGTATGGATAAAATGTTGATGTGTTCTTTTGTTGATCAATTTTTTTACTGAACAATAGATTTTTATCAAAAATAAATTGGTTTACATATAATACAGGAAATCGGTATAGTGAGTTAATACTGAACATGTGCATCTATGTTCAAACAAATAGTTAGAACCCGTATGTTAGGGTACTCGATGTATTTTATATTTTGTGGAAAATTTCAGAAGTTTGAATCACATTTCCAACTACGCACCTGAAAGTGGGGATTTTACTCGACAATAACATGTGGGACAATAAAGTTGACATGAAAACGTCAGAGGAGACAGGACAATATCCTTGTTGTATGAATGACGCATTTATATCCCTCTGTTGTGAATGTAATCTCAGCTAAACTGTAACCTGAATTTTCTTTATTCACAATTGCAGTCATGAAAGTTTAAATTCCATCAATTACATAAATAGAAAATGGATTTATTTATGGCTGATGTTTTGGTAAATTGTCTTTTACTTTCTTCCCCTATACATATATGGAGAAAGTAACATATGTATGTTTTTGTCGAGTTTGAGTTTTGGGTGGGTAGAAATGTATTTTTTTAATCCTTCTGAACCCGCAAAAAATGGTGTCTGTGTGTGTGTGTGTGTGTGTCTGAAAGTATGTCTGGGTGTTTTCACACTACAGTCTACACCTGTGGTGCGATTTTCATGAAATTTGGTAGGCTGGTACTAAAATTCCATGGTATCTCTAGGCATTTTTTTTTTATTTAAATTTTTAATGATATTCTCACAAAACTCCCTGAAATAACAGATAAATTGGATTTTTACAAAAACAGCCGGACCGATTTTTGTTCAAATTTAGTATGTTATGACCCTTTTAACTCTAGACAATATGGTACAGCCCACGGCCCCAAACACTGTAAAAAATTGTTCAAAGGTTATAACATTTTATGTGATTTTCCCCATAAAATAACACAGTTACTACCACCGCTTACCCATTCAAAGGGTTGTTGACAAGCTAATAGAAGAAAGGATGTGTCAGTTTGCTGATACCGTATATTTTAATGCTCAATGGTTCAAAGTTGCTGTTTGACCTAGAACAAATGAAGCACTAGAAAGGTTAATAAAAAATGTATTTTGATAATTTATCTATCAAAAATAATAGTAGGCGGCTTCATACATTAAGCCTTACCTGTATGAACTATTACAAATACACCACTTTACAATACGAACCACATTCACAGAAGTTAACATGTGGTTTAATTTTTAACATCATTTTTCAAATCACAGTTTTATATATAAAGTTTACTTGGAGATGAATATTTAAGGTTTTAGAGTTGATGAAGTAAAATCACAGTGGGAAAGTTTATATAAGAAAACTCAAAATTTCATAAGGAATGCAGAAGCTTTGATTCACAGAAAAGATCCAACTTTAAACATCCTTAGAACTTTCTCTCTTGCAGATTCTTAACTTTACCTTTCGCCATAGTTTTACTTTTAAGAAGCATTATTACTTTCATCTTATTATAAACGGAGATACAATTCTTTATTTCTTTTAACCATTAAAACAGAGTTTCCTTGCTAAAATGATTATTTTTATTTTACTATTGAATGCAGGCTAAACTGTAAAAAATATATAACATTTTAAGATTCACAATCTTTGGGAGATCTGTGGAAAGTGTTTTCTTTAAAATTCATAAAAACTGGTTATATTTATAAAAAAAGGTTTTGCACAAGGAATACTAATTTGTGTATCTAGTGGGTGAAGTGGCACTTTGTTGCACACAGAGAAATGTTTACGCAAAAGCCGTAGGCGAGTGTGGAAGGTTTCTCGAGTGCTGCAAAGGCACTTGGCACTCATGTAACGCATTATATTTTCTCTTCAGTTACTATAAATCATATAAATATTTAGTCTTTCAAACACTGTACAACACTTTTTTAGTTTAGATCCAATCCAAACATTGAACGAAATGGGAAACGCTGCACCAGCTGATCGTAGTCTTAATATCTTTAAGTGTTGCCAACTTATTTTCAAGCGTACATAGATTACGTGCATAATAAAAGCACACTGATTGTGTTGTTTGGTTGGAATAGGTACTAGTGTGCGTAAAGTAAAAACTGTGCAAAGTAAGGCTTTCTGTACTATAATCTGTGCACTTTGTCGTGTGACTGTAGGAAAAATAAATATCTCAAGGATGGAAAAGAAATTTATTTCTATAAATTCAATTATGTAATAAATAAAAATGCACAATACATATTTTAAAATACAAAAAAATACAATACCCTACACAACACTAATATTTGCATTAACAAGCAATTGGCTTTGTCTGGCAAAAGTAACCATTAAGTATTTTACAGTATAACCCTACTCAATAGGAACCAAGTCAAATTTAAATTACAGATTAAAATACAAAGCATTTAATTTTACATAATTTGTTTGTGCCACAGCACATAGATCTTTTCTAAGATTCACTAAAATAATTATTAGTTTTTTTTACAATTTGGTATTATGTTAACAGCCAAGGAATTAAATTTGTTACCAAACTAGTTTGAAAAGTTAAATTTTGCAGACAAACGCAAACTGCTTGAATGAAAACTAATACAGTTTTTTATACTACACTATCTTCATCAAACTTGTTTAATGTTTACCATTGCTATGGGTCAAACTCATCAAACTGCACATCAAGCTTAGTATATACATATAATACAGTTTGCAGTATTCTGCAATAAAACAGAACAAAGCACAGGGTGGTTTAACAATAACACAAACTAGACCAAAGAAACAAACAAAAATCTAAAATAATATGCTAAAACTACAACTGAACACCTGTGGTACCGATAAAACTTTACACTAAAAAAATATATAACAAAACACTTTTAAAAGTATTCAACACAAAATTTAAATAAAAGCTATTTGGCTTTTCTTCTGAGTGGTGCTGATAACACACAGTTCTAACCAGAACTCTCTATAAATAGGCAGTCGACTAACAAAAATGTGCAAATTGCATTGATGAAAACAAAACACAGTGTTGGTGCACCACTGGTAAGACGCACACACGTGTGTATTTGAATCTGAATGTGAATGAAGGTTGTGTGTTTGGATGGAATTATATTAATGTTCTTATCTAAAATACGACCCTGGCAAAATACAATGAATCTAGATTTTTACCCTTCTGGTATCTTTAACCATAGACTAACCAACACAAGTAGACTTCTCATCCCATTGTAAATTTTGAAGCCCATTTTACGTGTCTAGTTCACGTCCTTTGACACTGATGGCTAGTGTCGACGAAATCTTGTTTACCTATATTATTTTAGGGTCGATTTCATGATTGAATTGTTTTATTTGGTTAATAAGGTTTTAAATTACTGAAATAATAAGAAACAAATTGTTAACAAAACACGACCTCTACAGTGCACCAAAGAGAATAATAAAATTGTCTTCAGCTGATCCATAAGGATGAGAAATCCGCTAAGGGTATGTTTTATCTTTATCATAGACTAAGCAACACAAGTAGACTCCTCATCCCATTGAAAATTTTGAAGCTCGTTTTTCATGTCTAGTTCATGTACGTCCACACTCATAGAATCGCTGGGGTAGACAAAATTTTGTTTCTATTATTTTAGGGCTATTTTCATTATTTGTGCTTTACTATTTATTTGGTTATAACTAGGTGACCAGTTATTGTTTACGATTTTATCGTTTTATTTGGTTAAATGAGGTTTTAAGTGACTGAAATAACAAGAAACAAATTGTAAACAAAACACAACCCCTACAGTTGGACGTACAGAACTAACAATATAATTGGCTTCAGCTGTTCCATAAGGATGGCAAATCTACTAAGGGAGTATGTTTCATCTATGGTTTTATCATTGACTATTGGATACTGAAGTATTGAAGTTGTATTAATAGTCAAAGGTTTTATCTATGCTTTAACTTAGACCTATGTCTCAAAATAGTATAACCTATAAGTCTCATACCTCACAGAGGTAAGATCAGTTTATTACCTAGTTCATTCTCATTTCCAAAACATTCTGCATGACAATATTTACAATACCCGACTTTTGAAACTAATCTTAAAAGAAATGAATATCGCGGGTTGGATTCCAAGCAGTAGATTCTAGACCCAATGCCTTGCTTGTGTTATTGAACTATCAATTAATGACTCTTGTCTTACAAAAAGATTTACGTTAAAACAGTAACATGTCCAATGTTTGACCATTCACTTACAAAAATGTGATGCAATAGCATGGCTAAACACAAAGTAAACCAACACAGAATAAAGTTTCTCACCTTTCTCGGTTGAGAAGTCTTGATAGTTTCAGTATTTTCTTCACCTCAGATTTTAGCCCATAGTGAGTCACAACTTCAGCGGGATCATAGTAGTAAAAAAAACAAAAAGTATGACGGACAAAACCGACGGGCAATAGGCTAGCTAGTAATATATAAAGTATATCTTTCTTCCACTTGCATATGACACTTTTTCATACCATCCATGTACAAAGAAAATATTTAACCACTTGGCATTCGTAAAATAGTTCAACATGCTCTATTCACAACTTGTCTTCTGAATTTCTATAAGAGAGTTAGTATCGCAGTTTAATCTGAAGAAATTTGTTTTATGGTCAAAAACTGCATTCAGCAGTTAATAATCACCAATTTTCACTCAATTTTTATTAATGATGCTAAAACCCCGGATGGTCCAAGTCAACAACAATGGTACAAAATGCAATTCAACACATCTCTTATTTATCATACTGTCGCTTAAAATTAGACTAAGCTTCATGTCAAGTCATTAAATGTACCTTAACTAATATTACAAGGTTGATTGGAATCTTTTTACACATCACCAAAACATGCTCTGCATTATTTTGTAAAGTGATGCATACGGTAGGGCCTATAAGATAAAAAATTACAATTATGGTAATTTTGTTATAATCTACTTAAGATAATTTTAAATCTTTGTTTAAAACAACTTTGATATTAATTCTAGCTTCATGTTGCATTTTTGTAAAATAAAAACTATGTTGTTGCAGCTCTAAAACAGGCCATTCACTTGTGCAATATTGATTGATGAAAAATATTTAAAAAACAAAACCAAACGTTATACATGGTGAGGAAAATATGTATGACGAATTTACTCCTCCGACAACCACAGCGGTAATTACCAGCCTTTGGTTAAGTGTAAAACCAACTGTTGTTATATATGATTTTTTAACTAAAAAAGTCAGACATATTACAGTTTAGAGATTTTCCACATGCAAGGGTAGTCTCACTAGTCTGCGCTGTTGAAACAAAGGGAACATGATAAAATATGAGCAACTCTAGAGTGAGACTAAGAAATTTGCCTAACACAAATTATAGCCTATGCCATTATAAGTTTTCCTTTTCCTCTTGTTTCAGTTTCTTGTGGTAGTTGGCCAACGTCTTTTCAATCGTAGTTTCTGAGTATTTGCATTTCTCAGCACCACAAGTGCATGTAAACATGTTCCTCTTGATTATCCAAAACTTCTCCCCATAGTCAAATCTGTAAAAAGGTTTATTTTTATTGTACTTTCAGTTATTCACAAAATTATACAATGTAAAGATTAGGTAAATAGTACCTTTATGTTAGGCCTACCTTCTTCAGAAAACTTTCAGCATGTGAATAAAGAAGGATTTACATTTATTCATTCATGTGTTAATATAATTTTTACAATTTTAAAAAGAGTGTTTTGTTTACAAGCCTTTGTAAGTCTCTTAAACCTTAATGGTCGTATCCAACATAAATAAGAATGACACTCTTATGAGTATTGATTTTCAAATATTTCACCTAAAGCAACGTTTAACAGTTCTTATTGAATATGAAGACGAGTTGTGTAATTAATAAGTTTAATAAGTACCGTAAACAAAAGCTCAAATGATTTTTACATAGCTAAGCAGTTGCACTGTTCTGAACAAAAGGTAATATTTTGTTACATACAAACAGATCATCAACGTTTAGATGAAAGAAGATACGGTTTATGAAGTAGTGAGTCTGGAAAGAGCAAGAAAAGAACTCTGTGAAATCATAAACAGTCAGAATACTCAATGAATCACCACATGCAAAAATGCTACGTAGAAAGTGTTGTTGTTGTGACTTGGATAATTTTACGGAAACAAGGTGCTCAAATACCTTACCACAAATTGTAAACAACAGAAGGTAAGAAAACCCTTAATTTATTCCTTTAACTATGTCAAACAAACCGATTACTTGGTTCATTCCCCATAAGATTCGCCATCACCTTTCGTAAATCACAGTTTTACGGCTGAATAGCTTTGCTACTTACGCAAGTTCATCATTAGCCTGTATGTCCTGGTTGGCAAAGAAGGCTATACGAGGGAAGTGCAGGTCCTGATGGTCAATGAACACTCTGACTGGTAGCAAGTTGGGTTCACAGCTGTGGTTGATGAACCTGGCAATGTTGCCGTACTTGCGAGCGTCTATACAGTACGTCTCTCCGTCCTAATGTACATCAGATGATAAATGTTGCCACCCACAATGAAGACACGGCTTTGTATTTTAAACCTGCTTTAGTAACTTATCTGTACCTGAAAGGAGGCTAGTGCTAGTGCACTTTGCTTACTAACATTTATAAAAATAAACAAAGGTTAAAGCATTGTTCCATAAAGTAGCTTTATAACGGTAGCCAAAGAGACAGATAAGAAAACAAGGTATGTTAATATATTGGATTTGAATTTCATAGTCTTGGTGGCAAGAATGTTTAAAATGAACATGTTTAGAAGCCAACCATACAATTGACAAAAGCTCACAAATTAAAAGAAGGACTCAAGAGGTGTGAAAAAAGTGGAGAATGTCAAGTATGACATAGACAGACAATTTCTAGATAGAAAAACATATTTAAAAGTACGGGAAGCATTTTTCTATTTTGGTGCATGCTGAATCAAATAGAATTGAATCAATATTTTGATACATTGCACACCACAATTTGAAAGTCAAAAATTTTCTCTTTTCTTTATACATAAATACCCAAACAAGATGGTGGAGGAAGAGGAACTGAGAAGGAATGCAGGAATATGGAGAGGCGTAGTAGTCATCCAGACCTGGAAAATGAGCAGAACAAGGGAGGGTAAGAAAGTATGTAGCCAGACAAGCAAGCTGTAACATGCAAAAATGTAGAGGTAAATATTTGTGATGCTATTAAATATTCCAAATAGATTTTGAAACTTGTTATAATTCTCTGAAGACTGAATTTTAAAACACTAGCATTTTTATGTTATCAAACCTAGCTATCACAAACTAGGAATATGTTTTAAGAGATGTACAGTTAAACTATCTCAACGATCCTGTAGACGTAAGACTAATCTATAATCCAGAAAATTGGTAACAAGGAGTTACTGTAATTGAAACAAATCCACAGTTTAAGTTCTCCCAAGTTATCAACTAAGCAGACCTATCCTCTCCCCTCCAACATGTTATTCCTCAAATTTATGTTTAATGTAACTGTGGGAAGACAATTTTTTTTTTTTTTTTTTTTTTTTTTTAAAGAGGTTGGCGGCCTCTTTTAACCTTGCATTTGCCCGTCCACATAGACTAAGCGCCCGTGCGTGGATCGTTAACAGCAAAGCAAGGAGTGATCCGGTACAGTACAAAGGTGAACTGTACTGATAAAATGTTATCGGCAGTGACCAGGATCCGAACCCACGACATCGCTGCCTTGGGCCCGAAGTCCGCGACGCTACCGACTGAGCCACCGACTCACTAATAAGAGATGTACAGTGTTAATAGAGACTTGTAATGTGTTGTTAATGTAAATGTGTTAATAGAGACTTTTACCTCATTGTAAACATGACAAACACATAAGATATTTGCCTTATAGGTTATTTAACACTTACCCTGTTATCCAGATCAAACAAATATGAGTCATCTTCTCTGGTATCAGCTTCACAGTCTGATATGATCTCTCCAATGTATCTATAAAAGTATTACAACATTTACAACACCATTAATATAAAATTTGAAACCAAACTTGTTCTGTTATAATTCTTTGAAAATCTTATTTTACCAACAACTTGTCCTGCTCTTTGGTGAAAACATAGACTGTTCAGTGTTCACTAAATAAACACTTGGCTAATATTGTAAGTGCCAAATGAATACCAACCTAAGTAGGTCAGGGGTGGGCTGGGCCTGATTTATACAATAACAATAAAACAGTGACAAAGAATAGTGGGTTTATCCATTACAGACAGTTGAGGTTTGTTTTAGAGGCATCTCAACTTGCTGATGGTGCTTCTGAGTTGGCTTTTTACTGTACCGTAAAATTCTGCAAGTGACTGTTAAATGTTTTGAACTCTTAAGAGACCAACCGATTAAGTTTGCAATTCTTGTTGACTATTGTAATTTGTCAGAAATTACACTTCCGAAGTGTAAAACAGCCAACAACTTGGACAATAAAACTTTTCATACATATTCTTCACATTTGCATTAGTATACATTTTGGAGTTATTTAGATACGATGGACTAACTAAGCATTAAAAAGTTTTTTGGAAAACTGTCGGCAAGCAACTAATTCAAGACTGAAGTCCTAAAAGTCAACATAGCAAAACAACCGGTTGTTACAATGACGTTAACATTGACAACAGCCTTTGAAGTTTTACATAAGTCAAAAAGGCAATGTGATGGATGTGCTTGAATAGTTTGAAATTTACAAGTCCACTTCATGTCTAATTAATTTTCAACCCCCTTCCTCACTGAGACAACTCATTCTAATCATCTAACCATTCTACTCATAACAAGGGCAATAAAACTCTGCAATCCAGACTTGCTGGTTTTTGTAAGGTGATAGATAGGCCTATCTTTCAATATACCTTGATCATAATAGTGTTTGTGGATGTGTCCGTAGAAAAAGCAATAACAGATAATTAAGTTTCCTGAAGAGCCAAAACACTTAACACCAAGTTAACAATTCAGAACTGCAGTTAGGTATATTAACATTAACATAATGTTTAGGTAGGCTACTCACTCGCAGACGTACGCCCCCTTGGGTATGAGCCTGAGTGTGCGCACGCCCCACCCCTTGTTGCCCTTGGTGCGGAACAGCTGGAACCTCGCGGTGATGCCGTGCTGTACCACCCGGTTGCGACAAGTCAGGCGGTTGCACGAGCAAGCCTGGTTACACTCAAACAGCATGGGAGGATCTGAAAACAAAAAACAGAGGCTGTTAATACTTTTTTGGGTTTTTTAAAATTAGTATTGACTGTTTTCTTTGCAATCTGAAATCAAAATTTAAAATGTTAAAACAGTAGTCTCTGTATTAACTCAACTTTCCTGTGGATTGTAGAGTCTTGTGCCTCATTCGGGTATTTATACCACATAGGAATACATTTTTATTCCTACAGTATACTCCCTCTTATCCGGACATCTTTTAACCGGACATCGGTTTAACTGGACTACACTTGGTAGAAGTGACATCTCTTTATCCGGATAATATTTATTAGCACATCGGTTTAACTGGACTAGATCGGCAGGAAGTGGGCGGTACTGAAACGACTGTTCTTGTGGGAAAAATTTGAGACCAGTGATTACGTGTCTAAATACAATGCTCTCCTAATTTTAAGTCAAATAGAGTAAATAGAGTATGCATTTAAACGGTCCGTTTTAACGAGATTTTAGGGACATCGGTTTAACCGGAAAACCCGTTATCCGGACTGGCCTCGGTCCCGAGGGTACGGATAGGAGGTAGTCTACTGTATGTGGTATGATTGTACAACATAGCAGGATATCAAGAAAATTCATTCTGCAGCTCCTGACTATACATGGAAAATATTGGGCATCTTATTGTTTTAGAAAGCTGTGTGCTGCAAGTTTGTCAATCTAATACCTACATATGTCTGTACTACAGATTGGTTACAATGGAAATAGTGACTTAGAGGAGCTCTATTGCTTTATCATATACGCTTACCCCGTACGAAGGACGGGTACTCTGCTAGTAAACTATAAATCACCTGCAAAGTTGAACTCTGGCAGCAGTTTCCCCTCATCATCGTACCAACATCTGATGCTGATCTTGCCACACATACAGCCTCCGCTGGTGCACATGTCTCTGCATTTACACGACTGGACAGACAAAACATCATCACCTTACTGCGGCTACAATACAGCTTATACAGTACAATCCCGATTATCCGAGGTCGTTTTTGGCATAAATATATCATTTGTTTTCAGTAGGAAAACAATAATTATTATGTTATTATTATGTTTCAATTTAAAAAAACGTGAAAATACCAATTATTTTGCAATTTATTGAAACAAAAACAATACTTGGAATAACCATTAAGTATTCATTTAACGTTATAGAATGAACCGCAATAACCTTACAGATTAAAACCACACAGTACTAGGTTGGCTGGCTGCCGATGGCAAACTGGACTCGACAGTGGACAAGCCGTCTGCAGAACATAAACAATAGCAGTGTCAATCTTCTTCATTACGATGTTGTTTATACATGATTGTGTCAATATAGATCAGATTAAACTTAAACTAAATGTAATTTATATGCTTTTTGAAATAGAAAGATTGACTTTAGCGTTTTATTTTAAATAATGTAGTGTATTGGTTTATCATAATTCAAAGGGAGTGTTGCATGAACTCCAAGTGCTACGACATCCAATGATATTATTCAGTGCCACGACGTCCAAAACATAATTTTTGAGCTGTTGCACAATGTCCAAGTGCCACGACATCCAAATGTACAGTAACTTAAAAAACTTGGCACTTGGACGTTCTGCAATGCATCCTAATTCTAATAATGTTTAAAGGTGACAATTGAAGAAGTGTTTAAATTTGTTTCTAGTTTTTTTTTTGTTTTTTTTTTTTTTACAATACGTTATCTGGAAAAAGGATATATTTTACAAGTGTTTGACTGAATACCGTAACCCTAAACTCAAAATATATGCGACTTCCGTGTTATCCGAGATTATTTGTAACCGAGGTAGTCTCGGCCCCAACAACCTCGGTTAATTGAGAATGTACTGTAGTGGAGAGAACTCTTCAGGAGACAAGACTCAAGGTGAGTTATAAACCACTGGGTCACACCATTATTGTCATAACATTGCTTGAAGCTACTGGTGGTTGGCAAGGTTTGAATCTAACCCCGAGGTCATAAGTCCCTCCCTATAGACCAGACAAGACCTTCTATTAATACATAGATCCAAAGAAGTTGTATTTGCGTCAGTTTTTACTATTGAGATTAGTTGGTTCCTTTAGCTAAGACTATTTATTTAAAAGCCCAAAGATCAAGAATGTTTTTGTGGTAACAATATGATGAAATGGTCGTTTCCAATTTTCCAAACAATACAAAAATTGAAAAAAAAAATTCAGTAAAAGGAAGAAGACATTTATAATTTTTTACACAACACATGGTAAGACAAAAAACAACTCAAATTGAAATATTTTTGAACGGTTTCAAATTACCTGCAATGAGGTGATAGTTCGATCCACACTGATGTTGGAGGTGAAGCAGTTCTCCATGACATAAACAAAGTCCCTAGGCTCCGGTTCATCGTCTACAGCGTTTACACATTGTACAGGATTGGCCTCATAACCTCGCGTGATGTCACTGTAACACCCACCATATATTGTATATCTTGTTACCACTCCATTGGATAACAACCAAAAATTACTTGATCCTACAAAATAGGCAAGAGATTTATGTGATATCATTGCAAATACGGGCTCTGGTCAAAAAAATTAAATTCCTGGCTTTTGGAAGTCATAACAGCAGAAGGTTGGAATAACTAACAATAGTACCATAATATAAAATGTAGTGCAATGGAAATCGATTTTATTAAGATTTCACAACAATCAAATCATCAAAATATAACTAATTAAAAAGTATAAATTCTAAAAATATTTTGCTACTTGAATCGAAACTAGAGTAGTTGCATCCAATAATCAACTCACAGAAAAATCCACTGCTTCCTCACCCCTACCTGCTATACTAAAATAACCTCCTTAGTTATTACAGCTATAAATCGCAGAAGAAATTAAATACCTAATGAATAATAAAATGAATAAATACATTTAACTGTATTGCTCACTTAGTCAGTATCTTCTGCGCTCTCTTCTGCACGTTGAGTGTAAGGTTGCGCAGCTCTACCGTGAGTTTGATAGCGTTGTATGTGTCGTTGGGTGCGCCAGGCACACACTCCAGTGGCACGAAGCCAGCCCTGTTGTGCATGTCCACACGCGCACCCCTGGCCAGCAGTAGGATCACACAGTCGTACGCGTTCTGACGTGCTGCTATGTGGCTGCGGAGAACCATGAGGACCAATTAAATATGTGATATATTGTAATTATACTTTGCTAACATCAATCATATTGATATAATGCCAAATCAATCTTCCTAAATTACAACTGATTCCACTGGTAATGCTTGCAAAGTCAATTGTTCATTATAATAAGTGTCACTGCCAGTTTACACTGGAGGCCTACTTACTTTATTTTCAAACAGAAGGATTTAACTATGTTTATAATAAAACAAGGTTAAGATTATTAAGTGTCTACGCCAGTGAAGTTTTTTATGAAAGAAACACAAAATGTTTTAAGTAAAAGCTATAGAACCCATCTAATCATTGTGGATAATTATACCTCTCCCACCTTCTCTAAAGTGTGTTTTGAAAATGAATAGCAAACATATTACATTTAATGACACTAAACCAAATCATGCATATTGGCATTAACTAAAAAATGTTGTTTTTTTTCAATGACTAAAATTCAATTCAAAATGTAGGGTAGTTCTTAAAGTATAACGCTTATTTTGAAGTTCAAAAAATAGTAAGGAGTAATTAACAAACTACAAGCTAAAAAACAAATCTAATAAGTTCAAAACTCTATGTTTATTGATACAATGATGTAGACTCACAGTGGGGTATCGGCGTGGGCGTTGGTGGAGTTGACCTCCGAGCCGTAGTTGAGCAGCGCCTCAGCTATGTCTATGCTGCCGGACAGCGCTGCCCAGTGTAGCGCTATGTTCTGTTCTGCATCCCTCACTAACGGATCTGCTCGCTTCTCTAACAGGAACCTGGAAAATTACAGATGTTTTACAATACTGCTGCTCTGTACTTATATTATTGTATCACTCAAGGTTTAGTGGATTAGGAGTATACATTTTCTTAGAGAACTTTGCTTAAGGTGAAACTTCCTAAGTAAGTCTGCGCCTGCATCATGTGAGGATTAACAGTAAATAACACAAATTTTAATTAGGGCACTGAAATACATGGTAGATGTGCTTAAGCATCTATTTAAAGAATAAGCTCTCTACTTAAACACCTTCAAAACGGTTAGCCTCAAACCATTTTGGAGTTTGGATAAGGGTTAGTCCGAGAAAACGTAAGAGCGCTTACCGGACATGGGCAGTTCAGAAGTCTTGCCTATTATAAATTTAATTTTTTAATATCTTATCAATTTAAGATCTCTTTCACAGTTTTACAACAACAAAATCAAATTGTCTTGTCATTTTCAGTTTTGTATTTGGATTAGGATTTCATAGTTTACAAGCAACAATACGTTGTTGTTTGACACCCTATATTAGTACAATAATTAATCAATATAACCAAAGATCTAACTTATGAAAATGTTAACATGACTGAAGGTAAAAAACCGTAATTTAAACACATTCATAACCATACTAATTGTGTATAAAGGCAGTAAAAGAGTATTAAGGCTTAGTTGTTTTCCCTAAACTAATACTTTTTCAAAGCAACAGTTTATTTTATGTAAATTTAACAATTTCATCAAGACTAAACTACAAGTTAACTAAAAGTTTTTAGTAGCAACCCAGCAGACACACAGGCAACTCTTGCCTTTGTCTACTGATTCTGTAAACTCGAACTAACTAATATGCAAATGTGCTTTTCATTTAGTATTAGCCACGTTGGATGCTGACCTGATGACCTTGTAGTGCTTGTGCTCGGCCGCCCACACCAGGGGGGTCCAGCGACCGTCGTCCACAGAGTCTATAAAGTTTCGTGGAGTGTTGGGGTTGGAGATTAGGTAGTGACAAGCCTCTATATTGCCTGTCTTGGCTGCCAGGTGAAGTGCTGTCATACCATCTCCTCCCTACAACACACACTAACCTAATATCACCCTGCAAAACTATGGAGAAAACGTAACTTGTATTGTAGAAGGTTAATTTTATCATCACTAATATTATAGTTCTTTTATAGTGTCGCGATTAATGTTTAACTAGTCCAAGACTAATGGGGAATCATAGGAAACAGAGCTTCAACAAATAAACAATTATATGATCAAGGATGTAACATAGAACACAGGGCTTAGATTATTAAGATTTAGTGATGATAGCAGACTTGCCTGGATTGGAAAGAGTCCAAACAAGTGCAAGAAACACCAAACTTTATAACAGTGTACGGTATATAGTGTAGTTTTGTGTTGTTTTGTACCAGTTTGGACTCTTTTTTCCATTCAGGTAAGCCTGCCATCCTCACTAAAAATCACAAATTAAATTATGTCATCAATTTCATATCAAACTTACTGTGATACCAGACTGCGATACTAGTCTGGTTGTATTAAAATATGGTATCTGCATAAAAGTTATAAATCAGATTGAAACGACAAAACAACAACGCTAACGGATACATTATCAAATACTCATCAACTGTTGACCAGCTGTAAATAGTTTAAACAATGGTGGATGTAAGCTAGCTGGTAGATGTAAAACTTGACTGAACTCCTCCACATTATCCGTTTAGAGCTGATTGACCCCTAGACACAAACATATGACTGTATGTATCTTCCCTTCATTAAAAACAAGATGAATACAACAGAACTCTTGTACTCTCAACAGTGATTGGTTTACCTTGAAGGTGACACTGGCTCCTGCCTTGACCAGATACTTGACCACGTCGTTGTGACTGTTGGCACAGGCTTGCATCAATGGAGTGTTCTGGTCCCTGTCTACCACATCCAGATTGGCCCCAGCTGCCACAACACACATACTAACTATATTCTCAGGACATGGAGCATACATGCCATTAACTAACTGTTTCTATAAAGAGGATACTATATGCATGTATAAGAGTTTTGCCAGGTACCATGGGGCTGTGGAAACTTCCTATGATGCTTCCTAGAATTTTGCAGTTTTTTTTTAGACAAAAAATCCAATTTTAATCTAACATTTTTATCATTTAAACAAGATCAACACTTGAGGTTAAGAATGTAACATAAAACACAAGAGCCTAGGGTTTTATGATTTTTTTGTGAGGATAGCAGGCTTACTCGAATGGGAACGAGTTCAATTAATTTTGCACAAGACTCACAAAACTTTACAAATGCAATTTGAATATTTCACTGTCGCTGACCGCATTTTCAACTAAGGAAGGTATGAGTGACATAGAAATATTATATTTGTTTGTATATAGTATAGACTATATCCAGATTAGACTGTTTTCCATTCAGGTATGCCTCCTGTTCTCCCAAAGAAATCCTAAAGATCGAAACGTTATTTGTATTTCCTGACGCAAAGGTGACATGGGCCTGGTGCTCAGTGATGAAGCCTTACCTTGTATCAGCAGATGTACACAGGTCAGATGACCCCCAGCACACGCAGCATGTAGGGCAGAGCCCATGCCCCACTCTCTGAACACATGGTTGGGGTTCAGTCCAGCCGCTATCAACACAAAACCACACTATGTCAACTAATGTACATTTAAAATATACCTTCATACTTAAACTACTCAATGATTAAGGTTTCTACAATTTGGCAGGCTTTACCTTAATCAACTATACCATAAACTAAAAATATAATAGTGCCGAAGGGAGTATATTACCTGTGCAAGGACCATCCGCGTCACAAGATGGGCATCTGTTTTTTTTAACATGTGTAGGTAAAAGAACGTCTTACAATGATTTAGGTTACATAGCGAGGTAAACAAAGTACATTACATTTTTAGATATTATAATAGTAATTCAGGAGCACTCAGCATGGTTTATGACATACCAACAATTAAAAAAAAATTAGTGGTTGCATTTTTAACAATTAACATGGTTTTTAGTGGAACCTTGATAAGAAGACCCTCGATAACAAGTCGCCCTTGATAACAAGTGTCATTTTCAAATCCCCTTAAAATGATTAAAACCCCTATTCACGTGTTATTACAACTTGATAAGAAGAAAACCTTGATAAAAAGTCTTATTTTACAATCCCCATGAGAGTCTTGTTATCAAGGTTCTACGTATTATGTTTACATCCCGTAAACTAATTAACCATTTAGCTTGTTTATTCAAATATGATTATGCTAGCAAATAAAATATTACCAAGCTGATAGTTTCTATAGCTTAAAAATTACTAAAGCCCCCCCCCCCCATCATTAGGCGATTTGGCCTAATTTGGCCGCCGATGAGCGTTGAGATTGCCGGTTGAAACATACTTTTTAGTCCAGCAATCAATCAGTCGATATCATGTGGCAGTCAAATCAGAGTCTGTTGATCAGTGTGAGAATGGAGCTTGAATTTACAGAACAATAACAACAATATAACCTTAAATGTTAAAAGTGAATAACAGCTGTTTTATTAAATACAGTAAAATGAAATTAAGATTTAATACTACACCAGGTGACGCCAGTCAGACGTCAGTGTGCATGGAGAGAATATCACTCAAGATGATAGCTCGGTCACACACACTTGGCAATCTTGTAGTCCAGCGATCTCTGAATCGACACCAATTTGGTGGATTATCAGGGAAAATCGAGCAATCAGAAAGTTGCCGGGCAAAGTCAAAATTGACGGCAATCCAATTGAAAAAGCAATATTTAGGCAATATGGTTGCTGGCAAATTAATCACTCATCGAGGGGCAACCAAATCGCCTAATGTATAAGAGGCTTAACACTTTACTGAAATATATTACTAACCATACTTACCAAGAATATGAATAAGTTTCTCTGGTTCTCCATGTTTTGCTGCTTGGTACATGTTCCTTAAAGTGTATCTAAAAATAATAACACCAAGATAAATACGTATTGTGTTAAGTTTGATAAGATATATTTTTTGTCTCCAAAAATCCTTTGGCATAGTTATTGCAATTTGGGAAAAAGAACTCATGTTTAGGTAGAATTGATTTAATATTTCTGGCACTAACCCGCCATTGGTTGCGTTGTTTGTTCTCTCCTATTAGGAAAAGATGTTTTATTTCATAAAGAAAAATTAATTGTTTTTGCAACTATGCTTATCAAACTCATGGCTATTTTCAAAAAATATAAGAGTCATCTCTTACATTCCGTTCTACGAATATAATAGGATGTGTCTAAGTGCGTAATGTCAGGAATGTGAGGCAGTGCCTCAAAACAATACCAACCGCATTACTCTCCCCAGGCGAAATATAGCCACAAAATTGATTGTTCATGTAGTCAAAACTATATTTTATAATACATATGAAATACATTCAGTGTCCAAACCACTTGATTTATTAAACTTTTGTCTGGACTAGATCCACCAGTTCCAAGAAAGTAATGCTCAAAATTACTGCTATACACAATAATTATATCATACATTAAGTAAATTTTGATAAGGGAATCTCATAGTATGTCCGTTTGGTCTTGTATATGAGAATTACTCTTTTCAAGTAAATATTTTCTCTTTAATTGTGGGTTCCTGAATCATTTGTTTTTCTGCCACCGTTGGTTGCGGGTGGGTTGCTTAGTGTGGCAGTCCTCATTTAATTTCATACACACTTTTAGGCCCCGGGTACAATACGAGCGGTGAGCGGCGCCGCTCTGACATCGGGCCTCATTTAGTTGCGTGTAAATTTGTTGAGGGTGGCCACAATATATTTGAGCAGCGAGCGGTGTTAAGTGGCACCGCTCAGTGCCGCTCATGGCTTAAAGTCAAAACCAATTTTTGCGAAAACGCCGCTCACCGCTCAGGTGAGTCATACTTCAGTTTGGCCTAAAATAACAGGGAAACAGCAGCAAACATGCGATACGGGTCGATAAGTGAGGTGCAGTCCAGGGAATGTTTGTGGAATGACCAGCACGGAGGTTTTAAAACACTTCAGTCACTAGAAAAGTATGGGACAAAGTTAGGGTTAAGGTTTTTCTAAAAACTAAGTTTTTCTTTAAAGGCAAACAATTTTCGGCTTAACTGACTCATAAAACTGGGGAAATTTGAAGAGCGTTATAAAAGTGCCGCTTGTATCGTAGCCACCACCGCTGGCGCTTGACGTGCCACTCAGGTTGCCGCTCGTATCGTACCCGAGGCCGTATTCTTTGTCGCAGAGACCAAGCCACCAAGTTTGACCGTAGCCTTAATTTTATAAGGTCAGTGGGCCTAACTCTGTCCCTTTAAAAAATATCTCCTTAATCAGCCACATGACAAATACTTAAATTAAAACATCAAACGTTGCATTGTAAATGGTATTATCAACTTCTAGGGTCCTAAAGTAATATCAAAGACATACAAAAACATCCACTACTACCACTACATCTCACACAAGCATTGAATAATAATGCCACTTGTATACAGTAAAACATACACCAATTGTTCTTACAAAAACACTCATCTAAAGCACATTGTTCCTGAAAAATATAAGTTAATCAACATAGGAATATTAAACAAAATTTAAGATGTTATTTTTTAACTGGAAACTTCTAAAGTGCATTTTAAAGAGACGCTTTTTTATCAGTATTTTAAAGTAATGATCATTCAACATTTTCATGCTTTCATTGGTATTTTTTGGTATTTTTTTTTTCTTTGTGTTTAAATTATGTACAGCTATACCATTTTAGATAACAAGACTTAAACCTATTGTAAACATTGAAAGCAAAGTTAAATTATACACAGCCTCTATACTAAATAAACAACATGACATTCTTGCATCACTTTCTGTATGTGCCCCAGTAATAAATAAAGAATCTTTAGACAAATAATTAATTTTTAAATGTATTACCCTAAGTTCTTTTGAGTCGGTTACAAAGAATTTACTTTCAAAGAAAACACTTTTTGAACATTCATTCCTGAATTTAAATAATAACAACCAAACCCAATTTGAGTTTGTTTATTCAATTTATAGTTTTTTATTTATTTCATTTCATAAAACCTGTTTTTAGAATTTTTTAAGTAGTGTGTGTGTTATATGTTTAAATTATAGACTATCCGTTAGTTCCTGCGCTCTAATTTCTCAGGTGAGCTAGATGACCCCCACTTTACAAATAAAACCCTCCAGGCAAAGGCACAACAGCACAACATAACCACGACCAAGAAAAAACCTAAACTGATAGTTGCAGTACACCATTTGGCCAAGGCATGACACAACCATGAATAAGACAACAAATTTATACCATCAAGACTGATTTTTAAGACCAAGCTGAGCTGTTGTAGTACATTTGTATCATAGACACAGTAAGCGTAAGAGAATGTAATTATGGCTGTCAGGCCTACAAAAAGGTAGTTTGAAACATTTTAAAAGGTATTTTGACAGTATGAAGATTCTATAGCTAGCCATAGTAAAACTTTCAGTGTCAAAATGTACAAAAGTAATCACTATACTGTGAGGACAAATCAGTGTACAATATTTGCTTGATAACTCAGAATTAATTGGCTCCGAATTAAGTCACTGGAAGTGTGCAACGCGACATTACGTGTTGAATTGTTTTACTGAAGCAGCAGATGAGTCAGGCCCAGTCAAGACCAATCTACAAAGAATCTGGTCTTCCGACCATTGGGGACAGCATTTTGCCTAGTGAAATTCCACTTAAGTCTATTGTAAAACTGGTCGTATGCAACAGGTCGTCATCATCTGGCCAGTGATTTGCAAGTGATGCACTATGGGCATAAAAGATAATTTGTCCACTCTTCATTGGGAGATATTGTTCTCTTCCTTGGGCCCACAACAAACCTAAAACCTCTTGTGCCCCTGGGGGGGCCCATTTACTAAAGCGGCCCTATTCGCCATGGTCGGGCTAGTGCACTATTGTCCTTAGCCACTTGGTTTCCTTTGAAATAAACCCCATAAAATATTATTAACCAATACAACTGGAAAATTTTCTTACAATTGGTGAAAGTGAGCATTTCATGACGAATGTGGTGCAAAAATAAACAAAACATAGGTGTAACTATAAGCAGACCTGGGCAAGCTAAGAATGTCAATATCGCACACAGCATGCAACAACGTCTCTAACTTGTCCTTGTCCAGTGTGGGCAGCCCCTGCGAAGTGATCTGTAGACCAGAGGGCAACACCAGTGATGACGACGGAACCAGAGGGATCTTAGACAAAACCTCCTCCAACTGGGTCAGTTGCTTGTCTTCTTCTTCCACTTGCGAACTGTACGTAAACGTCATCTTTGCGCTCGGCCTGCAATATACATATCTAGTAGCAGTTTGGACGAGTACTTCTAAATTGGTTTTATAAACAAGACTTGGTACTGTGAAGATGTTAAACTGTGAATTTGAAATTTGTTTTTTTACACGGTTACAAATTAACTACATGTTAGGCTATGAAGTATGAATAGAGAGAGACATCACAGTAAGTAAAATTGTGTCTGTGTAGGTATAGTTTTTTTATGAATCATACAGCAAACTCACTGATTCTTTAAAATACATTTTTGAATGTTATTAAATACTTACATGATTAAATATTTTATTTAAATTATATGAGCGTGCATTTAGAGTTATAATCAGCGTGGTTAAAATTAAGCTTTGTTTGCACTTTCTCTAAAAAAATGTTTCTAATTTTAAGAACAAAATGTGCAATATTGACATATAGAAGAACTAATTGTCATCATGCTCTAGGGCCTACGACTAATTAGTAGCCTACAGCAGACAGGTAGGCAATATAAGATCACTTTGAATACAGTTATTGCTTCTTGAGTAGGCCTACAGTATATTTTATAAGAAAACATTGCAAACCTTGCATTGATATACACAGCTAAGTCCATATAATATGAATAAAACATTAATTTATTCTGAATTTTACCTGTTTTTATAGTTTTACTTTAACTTTACACGCCCATTTTAAAAAACCTTTTAGGTTATCTGATAAAGGCCCAGTTGTGTGAGGGTGAGCTGTATCAGCCGTTGGACTCAGTTTTCTCAAGTAAGCAGGCTGAACTCTTTGAGAAATTATTTGGCATTTCTCTATAGTGTTGTATTGTATCTAGTGAATTTACGTACGTGTTCTTGTTTGGTTTCTGCTGAGGCATGAACACCGGATACTTGTGAGCGCCGAGGCCGATGATGACTTCTCTAGCGTCCTCACTGCCACAGTGTGGACAAGCCTCCTTGCCTTCCTCCTCCAACTGGCAGTCCTTGTGGTAGTGGTGGTACGCCCAGCACTGCATGAACATACCCTGCAAACAACCAGTCAGTCAGCTTCTAAACCAACACTAAGCCGATGTTCAATAGTAACAAAACAAGTGTTTGGACTGTTCCCTAACAAAAGCTTAAAAAATTATGTAAGCAACACAAATAATTAGGCCTGTATAAAAATTAAAAGGGAATAGTTAGTATGAAACAGGAAATAATGAAAACATTAGAGGTGTGCAAAGTGTGAAATTTCAGTTTGGATCAGATAGGTAGTTGTAAATGCAGTCAGTGAGAGTAAAATATTCCAATGTTTTGTGTATATAGTATAAAGTTTTGTGTTTCTTGTGCCAGTTTAACTCTACCCTATTCAACTAAGCCTGTTACTAACACGAAAAACCCCTAAAACCTAAAACCACTATAACTCTCTCCATTTTGAAGCCAAATCAGATTGGAAAATGGCCTAAGTAAAAATATTCTATGATCTACTTATAATATAAATTCAAATTTATTTTAAAAATTGAAATCTTACTACACATTGTAGTCTGCCGTAGAACAAAGAATAATATTACATTAAATTTTGCATACAAATGAAATTCAGATCAGTGTTTCAAACAGTGGTTTTGTATTTGTAGCTGACCTGTGTACAAAATATGCCGCAGCCAGGACAGCAGTTGTGCCTCAGCAGACGTTTGTAGTGGACATCACACAACAACAGAAATGGAACACGAGCACTTGGTCTCAGCAAACGGGCATTGTCCTGCAAACATATGAAGAGTCGTCATATTTACTTAGTCGTTATATATCAGCAACCAGTTTTATGTTACATATTATAGTTTTTGTGACATTTATTACGCGATCACCGCCACTAACCAGGAGGGTATAGGGTCTCGTCTAAGCTGGGTTGCCAGATGCTACAAGCCATAAGTATTGTTCTTTAGGTAATGTATATTAACATTATTAACATCATATCTCTGAGTGTTTTATCTCAATCAATACAATTGAACAATTGATGTAGTACCTAGTAAGTGGTTACAGTGATTGCCTTTAAATTTAAAGGATCTATGGTTTTATCCAAAGCGAGATTGATTCTGAACCCAGATGTCATTTATCGTTGAGCTACCAATTAGTGATGCTTTCTTACAAAAGGTCAATGGGAAATGGGATCCAATGGGATTTAAATATAGCTGGAGATTTTGATTTGATTTTAAAGTCAGTGATGTAAATAGACCCACCTTGTCCACTGTATTACAACAACCGATGGGTCGGCCGTCCAGAGAGTCTACAGCCTGACAGTAGAGTTCCGTTCTCCAGCCATTGGCCTTGGCGAACATGTTGTCCCTCTTGTTACACAAGCAGATTCCAGCAGTGCCAACCTACCAGAGTAAAAAGTACCTAACTAATAAATGTTTACCGCAGAAATGAATTTTTGATTAGCTTAATTAATGTGTAGCTTTGAAAATTGTTATTTAATTACAGTAGTATAATATACTTTGAAATATTATTTCATTACAAGTACTGAAAGTGGCATTCTCCGGTGCACGCTCAAGTTCATGTGCAAAGCAAAGACGAACACAAGAACATCATATTTTACGTGTGATACAAAGACGAGCTTGTGAGAGTGAGTTTCAAGTACAAGGCGAACCCGAAGACAGGAATAATTGAAGCAAGTGCCAGAAAATAACTTTCTGAACAAGTAATGAACCAAAATTTTCACCCCAATGCAAAACTGGCTTATGCCTATTTCTATTTACATTAACAATGTTAAACAGTAAAATAAGCATAGGCCTATTTTAAATATAAAAATAAAAGGTAAAGAAACACTAGTGTGCGTATTAGGAATATAAATAAGTAGCCTAATTGAGAGCAAAGGAAAAGTTAATTTAGATCAAATAAAAATCAGCTGATCCTTTTCCTCCAACCTGACATTAGACTTTGAGAAACAATGTTTTTATCTTTTAGTTCTATAAACAGTCCCCAAATTCATCGTTTTAAGTTAACTTCAAATAGTGAACAGAAAAACATACGGTTTGCTAACCTCCAAATTTTATTCAGTGCATTATGAAAACTGTGAGCGCGTTCTGGGAACATGTACCGGTGCACCAGTGCAAAAAATGTGTCGTTCTAGGAGACCGGTGAGTTAACCTAGCAGACAGCTATTTCCTCTTTTTCCTCCACCGGTGCAAGATTTATGCACCGGAGAAATTGTACGGTGCATAATACACCGGCGGCCTCTGATTGGTCAGTTTCTTGGACAACGACGACAGCATGCAGCTACGGCAAGATGGCAGGTCCATAGAATAATTTAATAGTTCATCAGTTTTATAGGTTATGTTGCGTAATGAGTGAATAATTTATTCTACGAGGGTGTTATATTACACTACGTATTAAGTGAATAATTTTCAAATAATTTATTCTGTGAGAACAAGTTTGTTTGGTTTAAATATTATAAAGTAAATAATAGGTGAATGTGTAAATTATAATCCGATGTGTACCTTAAACCGGTGAATAACAGTTCTGGGATAACAAGACTCTTGCCCGGGGGCGGTACCGGTGAGTAAGTCACCGGTTAATCTGCACCGGTGCACCGGTACGTGTTCCCAGAACGCGCCCAATGCTAATCACATGATAATTAAAGCTATGTTTGTAAACAAAAAAATTTAAACATCCATTGGTCGCTGGTAAACATTGATGACGACTTTGTATAACCTCAAATATTTTTTTTTTTTTATTTGGAAAATCTCAAAAATTTTACAACATTTTATAAACAAAGCTTGCTGCAAAAGCCAGGAACAATTGGCTTGTCTGCAGCTCATAGAGATAAACTTGTTCTAGATAACAATGAACTTTGTCCCTTGGTCAGTCTTCTCCATATTACACTGTGGTTTTCCTTGTTTCTAGTCAAGATCTGCTATTTGTTGTTTTGACTTATTCTCTACCTTTCTATATAAGACTAGCTTGCTTTAAAAACAACTTGAAACAATTATCTTAAATAAATAAAATATATAACAATAAATAACATGCATTAAATACTTCTCAACTTTAACAATAATATAATGAAATAATTTTTATAACAATACAACAATACATAACTAAATAAATAATTTATTTAACGATTAGAAGGTTATTTCCACAGTATGGTGAAAATAGTTGTTCATCACACGGAGCTTAAGTGTCTTTTTGGTACTTAATCGTATTTCCAAACACGATTGTGTACCAAAAAGGGCAACTTTCGCTCCTGGTATTGAAAACTACAATTTCTTTGATACAAGTTGTCATAGAAAATAGCTAGTTTCTGTAGAGGATTAGCAACATATTTTAAGTTTAATAAATAGCCTGAATTATTTTTGAACAAGCCTACTAAAAAGGTAAGTTTATGAGGTAAACACTTGTAATTGTAGATATGAGAAACATACCCCGATTGAGATGGCAGTGGCCTCTGGTTTATCAGGTTCAGCATCTGCATCTCCTTGACTTGGCGACGGAGCATCCACACACATGCGCTTTTCTTCTTTGGATTCTAATGAATTTAGTACAAACATCGGACTTGGTGAATATTATTTCTCTATTGTGATAATAGTTGTAACAGCATGCGTGAACTGACGTAGCAATAATAAAACTACATTACAACATTAAACATTACACTACTACCTATGCAAAATTTACTAGACAAACAGCAACATCAGAATAAGCTTATTATATTAGTTTACGGAGTTTAACTTCAAAAATGTATTGCTAATGCAATAGTTGACGTCCTCTATAAATACGTCCTCTGTTTAAGTTTCCATCATACTGAAAATACGAGACAATTTGTAACAAAAGACTAAAAGAAAGATTATTTACAATAAATAAATCAAATGTTTATTATATCAACATTTTGGGCACACATGGGACACAACTAAAATACCAAAGACTTTCCTGAGAGATTATGTTAGCCGGGAGCTGTAAGCACCCTGATAATAGGATGTATCGATTTCTTAAATCATAGTTCATTGCGTACAATGAAGTTAACATCCATCTGAGGTAGAAGTTTGTTAACCTATTTGTGTGTTGTTGTTGTTAGTAGTGATTGTATTTACTTTGTCAAAATAAATCTGCAGCTTACCCAAAGATTAATTTTTTTCATCAAATGAGGTTCTGAAAACAATTGACATCCTAGTGTGGTGAAAAATAATGTTTAAATATTTCTAGCGATGATGGAAAAATTAACATAAAGTTGCCCTTACCGTCATCACTGTCCTCGGGATACTTGCGTTTAGCAATGACAGTATGATCAATGTCTTCTGGCAGCTCTGGGTTACCATTTCCTTCCGTTACTGGAATTACAATTATTTGTTATACAGGGTGACACAAAGGAACCGGACGTTTTTTAAACAAGTAGTACAAAGTAGTTAAAAGGAATAAAATGGTTTTAATGCTGTACATAGTGAGGTAAACATTTGCCATTTGTTACAAAACCATCATTTTTTGAAAATGACGTCATGCATATGGTGGCCATATACTTATCTACAAATGTTCATTCTGGTCTGAAAATCATCTGAAACTCGTGTCAGGAGGTCTTGTTCAATGTCATTGATATTTTCTGTAATTTCAAACTTCAAATCCTCTAGAGTGCGTGGTTTGTGAGCATGAACACGCTCCTTAAGAAACCTCCAAAGGATATAATCACTAGTGGACAAGCCAGGTGATCTTAGCGGCCATGGTATGTCACCAAAGAGAGAAATCACCTTGTTAGGAAACATTCATTCAATACTGCTCTCACTCTGGCTATGTTTTCGGGTTTTCTCGAAGTTCTAACAAGGCCTGGTGTTTTCTTTATTGATATATTTCCAGTTGTTCGGAACCCTGAAACCCATCTTAATAGCGTATTTCGGCTTGGAACCGTTCTCCATGGCGTTCAATATTAAAATATCGACTCAATTCCCGCTAGATTTGACGACGGATTCACCATTTCGGACCAAAGTATCGTATGCAAAAACGCAATAGTCTAGGGTCCACTGAACCGTTTCAACAAAAATGGCAAGCTTTACTGAAGGTATTGACATAACTTCAATCTTCCTACCATGTGTGACAACAATGGAAAAAACGTCCGGTTCCTTTGTGTCACCCTGTACAACAAATTTGTAAACAATTTTCTATTCATATTAGCATGTCAAAGAGAAATAAATTTAAAACGGCCGTAACTCAAGTTACAACAGTTTCAGCTATAGACAAAGGTAAATACCTGTTTTTAACTAAACTAAATGCTTGGCCTACATGTTAGTGTACATGTTAAATATATAGGCCTGAACATTAAATTTGAGAAATGTATTAATTTCCGACTGATAGTATAAGAAAATTGTGAAACAAAGTGACCTATTTATACCGTGTAAATGAAATACCGGCTGTCATTATAGTTATTAAAATCGGACACGTTTCAAGCAAACGCAAGGTGAAAAACCAATATAAAGATTATTTTTTATAAAGTTTTTTCTATGATTAAAAATTAATAGCTCCAGTATTGTTTACGTTTTTATGCTTGGAACTCTAAATAATCAGTAAATTATAGGCTTTAATTTGAGCTTTTGATCGTTTGAATCAGTTATGTTCAAGATACTAAATTACTCAATCAAAAATCATAAATTTGATTATTTCTCGGATATGATATTTATTTCAACGCTGCGGAGTAGCATGGGTCCTCTAATGTGATATTAATTTAATAGCATAACTTACCAGGTTCACTGATAAGTGGATCAGAAGTACTATCCACATCCTGTTTAGGAACTAACTCTTCAGAATCTTGAACAGGTTCTGCTACAAAATTGGTCTCAGTTATATTGTTGTCATCAGCTGCATCAGATTGCAGCAGTAAACTATGATTTGATTCTTCTGTTTTTACATTATCTTCTCTATTATAATTTTCTTGCCTGTGCATTCCTTCTTGGTTCTTTTTTCTGCCTCTTTTTGCTAACAATGCTTTTTTGCGAGCAACACTTCCACCAGTAGTGAGAGAGTATCTGAGACCTTTAAAATGTTTAGTTCGCCGTTTACCAGTCTTAGTATACAGCTTATCAGTCTTTGATGGTTTTAAATCGGCCGGTTCACTACTTTGGCTATTTGTGCTGGCGCTGTTATTATTACCGGTGTCGTTTGAATCTTCACTCATTTCTTCATTCTCTGATTTCATTAAGGATAAGTTGAAATCTGATTCCGTTTTTATCGCCATCAATGTATTTGTATCACACAACTCACCTTGCCCCTCCATATCATACGCACCACCCATTTTGGGAGATTTTGACCTTGTAAGAGGTCTGTTTACCCTTGTGTCTCCAGGACTCTGTCGGGGAGATCTCGCCCCCCTTCTTGTGGTCCGTTCTTCAGTTTGACCGAGAGAACTGAATGATTTTTCTTTCCGAGCAATTGCACTCTGCAAAACCGATTCTCGGCAGTGTTCCTTGGAGAAGCGTCTTGATGATCGTTTCATATTTGAACTCTCGTTTTCTCTGTCTGTCAGTCTTGAGCTACTTCTCAGTGATCTACGACTGATGCTCTCCCACTTAGTGCCCCTGTCCTCAGAGGTGTCGCTCACATCGGAGTAGCTGGCATTCAAACTGTCACTTGTACTATGACAGACATTGCTCCTCCTCCCCAGTCTCCCAAGTTCTCTATCTTCTTCACTTGTTCTCAAAGTCAAAATTAAACGAGGTTTTTGTTCATCTCCTTCTTCTTCTGTATCAAAGATGGTCTTGTTTATGATAATAGGTGTTCTTTTAGATTCTTCCATGACTTCATCAGTATTTTCACTAAGATCGTTATCTACTTCACTCGATGGATCTGCCATTGCTGATTCAAGACCTTCTTTTTTGACGTCCAAGTTACTCACACTAGCGGTATCGGAAGCAGCATCATCATTGTCATTTCCTCTGTTGAATTCACTTTTCATTTCAGATAAAATTCTCCTTATCAATGAGCTATCAACTTTCTCAGTATCACTATTAAATGAGGAAACACTGGCATCAAAATCCAAATCATTTTCTTCCAGTATATTGGACGTCATATTATCAATTGGATTCTACTGCACATGTGCAGATTTTCAAACGCTTACTCCATTTAAGCTGTTTACATCATGGTTTACTTTCCATCTGAAACAATAAAAGACAAATGAATTAGATTTCAAAATTTTATATATTGAGTCAGCCTTACATCTGTAGCCTACTAATTGAACTTTTAGTTTTTCATCATGCGTAGGCCTAATGTTATGAAATGTGTCTGTTGCGAGTTATAGGCTCAGTATATCTAACTCAGTATATTATTTTAGGCCCTCTGCTCTTTCTCGTAATGATGAACAACTTCAGTGGTGGGGAGGAAGCTCTCCTTTACGCAGACAATACAGCACTGATTAGGGGAGGAGCGAGCTTGGACGGAATCAGAGAGGCAGCAGCTGCTGACCTTGCTTTAACGGAGATATGGTTTAGAAACAACAAATTTCAAGTCAATTTTGATAATAATTATAAGGTAATAACCTAAGTTCAACTTGATCGCTGATCACATACCTAGAAATACGCCTTCACTAAAGCCTTGTAGGATAACCTAAAGAAAAAGGCAAAACGTTTTAATAATTCATAGGCCCTACCTAACTTTTTTATAAAATCATCTATCTATGTATATATTAATTACGTAAGCCGATTCTTTGTGGCAAAATTGTGGGCGACTGGGAAGTCGTAGAATGACGGGAGAGGGCTCAAATTAAAGGTCTTAACCCCGTGACGGCGGGAAAAATAGTGAAATTCCCATAGCACGGTAGTAAAAGGGAGAACCTATATATAACAGTAGAACATAGAGGTAATTTCCATTTCTTAAAACTAACCAAAATGTTCATGTCGTGATTAGTTTCGATAACTGGGTAATGGAACCCTAACCAGTTGCAAAATAGTTAGTAGGCCTAATTAGACGTTGATTAGGCCCTTTTTTGGTAGAATATGTCAATCAATCGCACCTTTAGGAGGATTACCACCACATATACTTACACTAGGCTAATAGTGTTTTTTTTTTTGTTAATCAGAAACAAATTTAGGGTTAAGTTCTGTCAACGGGATGCCTCTACTTAAGACTAATTTTGATAAACCTTTAAAAAATGAGCATAGACTTAGGAATAATAACTGGGTAGGGTAGGAATGCTAATTTAGCGGTTTTGACCCAAGAACTAAGTTTATTTCAGCACACCATTTTTTGCCTTTTCCTATTTAAAGAAGACAATTTCCTGTATTTCAATCGGGGAAGCCTTTTTATCAACATTAACCAAAAAACCAAAGCTACCTTAATAAACTAATATTTATTCCATAAACATGTTTGCTGCCTTTAGCAGTTAAACCTCTGGAATCATTCAAATTCTTTATTGAAAATAACATCAACAAAAGCAACCAAAGACAAACTGTTTTTTTTTTTTACACAAAAGATAATATGTTGTACTTGGATATCTATCCTGACACAAAGATAATTTGATTCTAAGTTCGTTTAAATATTACAATAATTTCTTTTCCATTTGAGCTTTTTAGGGACTTGACTTATGTCCCTACAAGCCACTAGTCTATATATTAATTACGTAAGCCGATTCTTTGCGTCAAAATTGTGGGCGACTGGGAAGTCGTAGAACGACGGGAGAGGGCTCAAATTAAAGGTCTCGATCCCGTGACGGCGGGAAAAGTAGTGAAATTCCCTAAATTTGTACACAAACTTAGATATATCGTAGGATGTTCTCCATAAGAATAGCATTAGAAGCCATTTCTACTGCTGATTTTTGTTTACTTCTCTACAGCTGATCTTGATTTATCATTAAGCCAGTAATCAATATTACATTAGGATTACTTATTTGCCAGTCAATTCTGCAATGTACTATATACACTAGCGTCTAGATACTCAGAGCAACGAGTCGGCTCACCGGAGCAACAGTCGGGGCTGCACAATTTTTATTTCAGCTGCAGTTTTTTAATACAAACAAAATGAGAGTTTAAAATTAGAAATAAAAAAAATATTATAAAACCAAAAAAATATAAAATTAATTTTTTAATTATAAAATAAAACTAACCTAACTAACCAAACTTGCTGATAATGAAAAAATTGAATGCAGGTTTACTAATCGAAAAAATAGTTCTGTTCATAAAATAAAACTATAAATGCCTCAAATTCAATTTTATAATTTTTTAAATTATAAAATTAAACTGTCATAACCTAACAAAACTAACCAAACTTGTTGATAATGCAATAATCTTGGACAAAAAGTTTGTGCCATCGATGGGATTCGAACCTTGTACCATCAGATTCTCAGCCCGGCACGCTATCCATTTGACCACCGAGGCCGATGGCTCCGAACCGTATCGTTGCGGTAATTGTGATCCCTCAGCCAATAGAATGCTCTCATTTTGTCTTGCTCCGGTGAGCCGACTTGTTGCTCTGAGTATCTAGACGCTATATACTATATAAACAAGGGATTACATTACCTATAATAATTCAGACTTTTAGTTACGTCTTAGAAAGTTGAAATCAATTGTTTTACTGTGCAATTTGCAAACTTGTGTATTTTAAAGTAAATTTGTTAAGCGTATGATAAGTAATAGAATCATAGGATAGAGCTCAAATTAAAGGAATGAATGGCTAAAAAAAATGAAATTTTTTCTTCTTAACATGAAATAACGTTCCAATGGGCGTAAAAACAACATTGTTTGGAGGAAATTTTTACCAGGTAGCCTACTGCCTGTTGCTCCAAGCAAAAAGGTTCAAATAATATAGCATAGCAAGCACAGTAGTAAAGGAAGCATCCATATGTAACAGTAAAACCTAGAATTATTTTCCGTTTCTTAAAACTAACCAAAAATATGCATGACGAAGATGCTGATGAAAAGTAGGCTAATTTCGTGATTCGTTTCAATAACTGGGTAATGGAAACATAACCAGTCGCAAAACAGTTAGTAATCAGGCGTTCATTTAGGCCCTTTTTTGATAGAATATGTAAAGTCAATCGCACCTTTAGGAGGAATACCACCACATAAACTTACACTAGGCTAATAGTAGTTTTTTAATGTTGATCAGAAACAAATCTAGGGTTTAGTTTGGTCAATAGGATGCCTTTATTTTACACTAATTTTGCTAACCCTTTACAAAAGGAGTATTAACTTAGAAATAATAACTGGGCCGGGGTGCTAATTTAGCGGTTTTGACCAAATACTAAAGCTTATCTCAACACACCTTTATTTGCCTTCTCATATTTGACGAAGACAATTTCCAATATTTCATTCAATCTGGTAAGCCTTTTTATCAATACCGTAACCAAAAGACCAAAGCAACCTTAGTAAACCAATATTTATTCACAAACATGTTTGCTGCCTTACAGGGTTAAACCTCTGGAGTCATTAAAATTTTTTTATTTAAAATAAAAAAAAACAAACAACAAATTGTTTTTTACACAAAAGATATGTTGTACTGGGATCATCACACATAAATAATTGTATTCTAAATTTTGTTCAAATAGGCTATTACAATAATTTGTTTTACATTTGAGTTTTTCCCTACAAGCCACTAGTTTTTGTCTTAATTATTAAAATAATTATCTTAACCCTTTCTCTTATCCCCCTAAGTTAGTTCAGTGAACGACACTACTCTTCATCACTATCACTTTCAAAAGCTAATTCGTATAGTAGGCCTAACTTATGTTCTTCTAGCCTACTTAGCATTTGGCCTATCGATATAAACATAAAAACAGCTGATATTTACTTAACGAAAGATTAAAGAAGTTAACCGGTCAAAATTTGACAGTTAACTTAAGTAACTTAGTTATCTAACGAGTAAGTCTCAACTAGCTCTAACCCTCCGAGTGTCACGTGTTTTGGCCTTAATGTCAGCCTATTTTTTGCTCATTTGCAAGGTTTTATTAAAACTGATCTGAGAAGCTTAAAAACAATGTTAATTATACTGTTCTATATACCATTTTGTTTGGAAAATCTTTGGCTTCAATATTATATATAAAACATAAGGAAGATTTAAAAAAAAAAAAATTTTTAGGTAAAAAAATGTATAGGCCTAATTTCGAAAATTTTCAAAAAAAAATAAGTTTGCGCTCAATGAAATTGTATAAATTATAGGCCTATAAATATTTGAAAATAGCCACTTTGTTCTAAATTTTATGAGGATTACAAATCTATAATAATATAAGGAAGTAGATTTGCAAATAAAAAAGTTATGGGCAAAAAACAGATTTCAGTACATAGCGTTTAGCTAAGAATGCATAGCCCAACCATAGCTAGGAATCTGGCTGATAATTTACATCAATATCACTACCTACTTCTTCAGGATCATCAACCAGCACTTCAAAACCACTTAAATCTTCTTATAATGCACCACGTATATCACTACTTTTGATTTTTAACACTAAAACAATGATAAACGTAATAAAACACATCAGTCATCGGTCCGAGGGTAACCTAGCTGTTTACAAATACACGCACGTCAGCTCAGTCAGCTGTCTGCTACAATATTTTCGGAACTAAAATGAATAGTGCTTAGAGACAGACCTCTGGAGAAAGCTTAGAATATTACGGACAGAACGATACCTAACTCAATCCAGTACAGTCCGATTCAGTTAGTCATAGAGCCTTCGCCGTAAACAGTGTTCGCGAGTCGCTGCAGCGACGCACGACACTATACAAAGTGCGTTACACGTCGCTGCAGCGACGCATGACACTCGGAGGGCTAACAGCGAGTGGTCAAATCCGATTTCGTCAGTTAAGAGTTAGGGCCTAACTGCAGATAGAGCTTAACAGCCGTTTAAGTGTTTTGTGAATTCGGGCCTAAGTTACCCAGCCTGCTACTCAACCCATCCAAACATCATCTTTCTAACCTCCACAAATTACTACAGTTCTTTCCCTGTAAAAATGTGTATGGAGCCATAAACTTATGTCAGTGTTGGTAACATTGGGTTTTACACATTATATTTACACATTTTACAAATGAAAGACTTGAGAAGCACAGTAAGTTAACTTAGGCCTAATGTGTTTTTGAAACTGTTCCTAAGATGTGTAGCCTATATGTTGTGCTTTTTTTAACACGTTCGCTGCTACGGACGTTCCGGAACGTCAGCCGGGCCACGGCGCCAGGAGCTAAGAACGTTCCAGAACGTCACCGTTCATTGTTGTTTAACGTTGCTATGGATAAGCCAGCACGTCACAAGCGTTCTATATTTCTTTGCAGCTCGTGGGGACGTACTTTTCTGACAATAAAAAATATAGTTTTTCCAAATCACCACCAGGGTCGTTTGGAACAGGGCTTTGTTTTACCTCTTTCCTGCTAGATAGCGATACTACTTTAACGACTGTAACCTGGGTAGTGCTGCTATCTATCAGAATCACTTAGTACTATATCCAAAGCCAGTTGTATTGCAGAACATTGCCATCCAGTATAACTACTGTTGTTTTTATTGTAATTCAGTGTATCGGTGGCAATGTCACGCAGCGGCCGAGCGTTAGTTCAGCAACTGGCGCCGTCCCGGCATCTAGTGCTCAGCAGCGAACGTGTTAATAGGCCTAACTTAGGCCTAGGCTTTAAACTTAAATTTGAAAATAATAATAATGATTGTTAGAACAATTTAGGCCGACACGGAACAAACAAACACCATAAAAAGTGTCACTAAGTACAGTAACTATAAAATAACCTTAACGTCTTCCAACAGTCTTCAGAATTCAGATTACAGAGACGGACATAACCTCTCTCATAACATCGGATTTTCTAAATACCAATCAGGAGCAGTTTCTATAAAGGACTATTCCAGTTTTTAAATATCCAGGCAATGTATAGCTTTTTGTACCTCAAATGATTTAAAATAGATTGATTTTACGAACCCTGTGGCACCAAAGACACTTGCGTCGTCGTTTCCGCGTCTCTCTCGTCTTTCGTCTCGTCTCGGTTCGGCGCTCGGCGACTTCGGCGTCAGCTCGAGCTCAACCTCAACTCAACTCAACTCAACCAACGGAAGCCAAAGCTCAACCTCAGTCTCAGTCCTAACTCAACTTGTCAACAATGTCAACTAGACCCCCTTGCTGGCTGGGTTGCGTTCCAGACAGGCTAACAGGAGCCAACCGAGACGTCATATTGATGGTTCGTAGATCCATGAAGTCATACTTGATACTTAGTTATAAAATTAAGAAAAATTATAAAATTAAACTATCATAACCCATAACCTAACCAACCAAACTTGCTGATCATGAAAAAACTAATGAAGGTTGGTTTACTAATCAAAAGAATTTTATTGTGGGTCACGGAGCGTCCCGCGAGCCTTGCAAGAACCCTACGGGGGTTTCGTTTCAGTTCATAACAACAACAAAACAGCCATCCACCAATCAAAACAAAAAACAAAAACAACAAACAAACAACAGCACAAGCAGAGAGAGAAGAGAGAACAGAAGAACAGATCAACAGAACAGACAGAACAGAACGAGGGAGGAGGTAGAAGACGACGGACCACGGACGAGACGAGACGACACCTAACCTAATACCTAAACGAACTACAAAATAATAATGCTGATAGTACCAGTGTAAGACTTTGTTTGTAGCCTATTAAGTTAGACCTATTATCTTTTATCCACAGAAAGCCATAATTTTGGGAAAAATTCATTCTATGATGTTAGGCCTATGAATTTAAATAATAAATCTAAAGAAGGTTAAGTTATGTCTTGGCAACTGGGCCTCCGTTCTCTGAGATATAGAAATAGTAAGTACCGTATATTTTATATAGATTTTAAGTTCTCTCTCTTTAATATTCCTTAGTACGGGTACAGTTCCGCAGAGAACCTGTGATATATTATCAAATTAAATGCCTATCATCATCATTTTAGGTTAGCAATGATAACAGCTTTATAATTAATTTAAAAAGTGACAGCAACAAACCGTATTTAGTACTTAGATTTAAGTAAGTGAGCTAAGAGATAAGATGGTTTTCTTCGTATTTAGACAACAGAGAACAGTTTGTTGAAGTTGACTAAGATTATCCTTAACATGTAGTGTCAAAGTTGCTACATATGTTTCGGCAGTTATTTACTGATCTCTGCCATCGTCAGGCAAACAAAAGGATCCACTTGATGTGTCGTCAGAATAAATAAATAAAACACACATTTTACAAAACATAAAAACGAAAACGATAGGCCTATCAATTACACGCACTGCCGTGGACATGGCAGGGAGCAGACTGAACGTTATGTTGTGATGTGACAAATAACGTTTTCATGAATGTCGCATCACAACATAACGTACAACATTTAATGACTCACTTTCTACTCTTGTTTGGAAATATTATTGCTGAATTATCTACAATATTTCGTACAACTCAATTGATTTTAGCAATAAACTTTTAACTCAACTTTTTACTGATTCCAATATTGCTAAAGAAATTAGCAAAATGTGAGTCTATTGTAAAGGAAGTGGCCAAGGTTGCCACAACCATGGGAGTTGACAAAAATATTTGTAGATGAACTGTTTGATGAGTTTAGTGTGATCAAACCTATTTTACCTGGTGAAGGGTTGCCATATCCCCGGATTTCTCCGGAGATTACAGGATTTTGACGTTCAAAATTTAGCTCCGGGGGATTTCTGCAAAAAGTGGGATATCTCTTCTTTTTTTACTGTCAATCAAAATACGTTGTATAACACGGCACTTTTGGAATAAATAAAATGTTTGTGTTCTCAAATATTGTTAGTCTATGCAATTACTGAAAAATGCAACTCTTGTACTCTCTATTAACATATTTTTAGTCCTTTAATTCGCGTCTGCCGGCCAGTTCGAACTCCGAAGTCCGAACGTATCCGTGTTCACTACCAGAGCCAAACCGAGTCTAGCAGACAGAGAGCGTTTTGCTTAACGCTATTCTTTATTTTTAGTGAGATGTGACAAGCAAGATGCAAATTTTACGCTTTAGCGTACTATATAATATTGACATTGTAGCACGAATATTGAACAGAAACGGTATGGATTAATAATTAACGTAAATAAATGACGTCACTGGCCCGAATCTCAATAGACGTAGACTAATATTAGTAAGTATTTTATATAAATGTTTATGACTAATAGCCGTAACAACTGGTTTGGACGTTTGACAGTTCCATTTAAGTATTAATAAAAACGTGTTTACTTTCAGGCCAGTGACATAATTTTTTTATGTGTATGACCCATACCGTTTCTGTTATAATATTTATTTGTGCTATGTAGGTATACAATTTTGCTAGCCCGTACATTTTTAGGCCTATTTACTGTAGTGGGGGCCGCCAGCTAAAATATCCTCTTTTTTACAATTTACCATATGGCAACCCTAACCTGGTGTCAGTTCTATTGACTTACTGTTGCACATAAATGGGTAGGCCTATTCCATAATGTTACGGAAGAAAAGTTGCCCCGATTGTGATTCAAGCATTCTACCATCAAATACATATCTATCAAATCAATGCTAGAGGTTAAAATATCTTTAATCCGTCAGTGTGATCAACGTCACCGATGAGTGGCGACCGGTTTCAACCCGTAATGGGGTCATCTTTCTAAGGCGATAAAAGAACATAAATTCACTCTGAAGAGGTCATCAGAAAGTCTATAAATACATAACGAAATAAATACAAACGTGTAAACCTACATTTATTCTAACAAAACCAGCATGCTCGGACCATGGGAACAGGGATTTATGGGGTAAAAATGGATTTTTCTCATTTTTGACCCTCAAAACATAAAATTTCCCAGTTACTCTCAAAACAATTTTTAAATAATTAAAAAAAAAATAATAATTAAGTATCCTGAAGTGTTTTTGTACAGTTATTGGTTACGGGTAAAATTAAAAAAAAAATCAATTTAAAATTCCCATTTATTCTGATGGAGAATAAGTAAACTGATAGTTTGCATGTTTATGGATATATTTTGATCAAATTTGGAATTAGTTTTTTGTTTTATACTGAGCTATTAATATTTTATTAAAAACACACTTTATTACCCTCCCTATAGCAGCAAACCTAGGTACTCGTTAATCGTAGTGTTATTGAAATGGATTTAATTGAAAATCAAATGGAATTTTGCTTAGTCTGTAGGTTTCCTGCGGCAGGGGTATTTAAATTCCACAAACGCTTCCGAATACTATGTTCTCTCTTCATGAGTGGTCTAGGTTTAAATTTCTATGATAGCCAAAGAACACAACTAGATTAAGTCAATACTGTAGTTTTTCCAGCAATTCTGTATAGATTATTAACTGGTTTCTTCTCATACAACACAGTTCCGTGGATTTATTTTACCCTCTAACTTCATCTATATTAAATAAATTGCGATTGTTTTGCATTCATTCGTTATATGATTTGGTTATGGCTTTCAGGATTGTAACAAACTGTTCCATATAATTGGTAGAATCAAGGCAAACAGAAATAATAAGACGGCATGTTTATTTGCATTATTTCAAATTTCAATGGGTATAAGATTTTGCATATCTGTGTTTATCCGTTGTGGTGAAGAGGGGGGGGGGGGGCTGTCGTGACTTTCCCTAATCAAAGGCTGCAACCCTGGTCTAAAGTAAGCTTTTATTGAATGCAAAATGGTATCGAAAATAAAGTGGAACCGGAAATTTAGCCTTTCATTGAGGATTGGAAGACCAGGGTTTGAACTGATCCCTTAAAAAAGCAATAGGCCTATCAAAATGTTTTACAAAACATTAAAAAAAGCCAATGACGATAAAACAATATAAATAAAGGATTCAAAATTGTTGTAATACTTTAAAAGTTGCAAACAAAAGTAGTTTAAAAGTTTTGCAGCTTTAAAAGTAACAACTCAATAAATGATAATTTCAAGTCCAGCACAGTCTCTTACTTGATTCTAGACAACAACATAATATACTTATTGAATTTTAGAAAAGAAACAACCTTAAAACCTACTACAGTAGGTATATAGGCCTATATACTTTTGTAGCTTGCCAAAAATATCTCTTTTTCTTTGATTTTTAATTTGTTTAAAATCAGTAAAAAACTTAAAACCCCTTTGTTTTGTTAGTTTAATCCTTTCTGTCCTTTGGTGAGCAATTGCTTTGTTATCACATCAGATATTGGATTCTATTTAATTAAGAATTCTGTAGGTGCAATGTCTTGAGTCCCATAGAAGAATATCTATACATATTTATATTTTTGCGTTGCGGTATTGTTATAGAAAAAATTGTAAATATATGAAAAAGGCATGTATGTAATAGACTTTATTTTTGTTTTTCAGATGAAGTTGGTGTACCTAGCCAAGCATGGAACAGAATATTGGCATTGAGATTCTCTGACAAATCTGATCCTAAAGATAAGTTTGAGGATATAAGGTTAGTAGAAACAAAGCCTTTAAGTGGGTATACATATGACGAAGGAATCGAAGGATTCAAAAGTAAATGGAGACTTCCATTCATTCAAAGAAAGGGCTTTTTCAAGACCAATTTTGGCGCATTTGCTACCAATTACTTTGCAGCATCCATAACAAAAATACATCCTGAGAATTTTAAATACTTTGATCTAAAAACATGGTGGAAAAAAGAAAAAAGAGAACAGCTGGTATATGATCAACAGTTTAATGAAGAAAGGTTGATGATACTGGGATGCGACTTGGGCGCTGCACATTTTACAGTTTACCGTGGTGGTGCCGTCAAGTTTGTTGGTCATGAATATTGGATTAAAGACGACAAGAAGACACAAAAAGATTATGATGACTATTTGCCAAATGCATATGATCCTAACTACGTTTTGGAGGCAATTGATTTTTCAAACACACGTATTATCTATGAAGGGTTGAAAAATATTGAAAACCTATCATCGCTGAAATGGCTCAGCTTTGCTAACTGTGCCCACTTTGATGACTGGTGTCTTGATAGAGTTTCTGGAGAACACAGAAATAATCTTGAGTACCTAGATATTAGCTTTACTGGAGTCACGCACCGCGGCCTGTATGCTTTGTATCGTTTTAACAAGTTGAAGACTCTCATAGTAGATGAAAGTAATGAAGATCCTGTCTTTTTCCAATTGTGTTTGGAAATACAAAAAATTTGTCAAGGTTTGAATATAGAATTAGTGTCAGATCCTCTGAAGAAGTTGAACACAACAGGGCCTTCTAAGACACCTTCATTAATACAAAAATAATTTTGGATTGTGGCCATGGGCAATACATGTAAATAGTGTAAAGAATTGTAATAAAGAAGTCATGAGGAAAAACTCATATTTGTTTGTGTAAACCCTATTAAGTTAAATAACTAGGTTTTTAAAGTTAAATGAGTAACAATGACTGTTTGTGTTCCCATACTCACAAGAGGGTAACTGTAAGAAAGGACCATGTGGTCCTAATGTTCGACTCAATAAAAAAGTATTTTCATTTCATATATTTTAAAATCCAAAACATATTTTGGGCCAAAACCTTTTTTATTTTATTTGGGAGCAAATTTTACAGTATCTGGTTTTCCCTTTTTGTACTGTAATACAATGTTTAACAAACATGATTATTAAATAAATTGTTTTATTCGGTCAAAATTGTCTAATAGTATGTAAAATAAAAAGATAATTTATCAAAAAGCGCTTAACATAGGTACACTGAATGGTAACAGAACTAAAAATTGACTACTGATAACTTACATAACAAAAATAAATCTTCTTAAGAGTGTGTTTAAAACATGTCATGATCCACTTTTTGGTCTTCATAGATGATCAAACCAGGAAGCTTGCACTAAAGTTCCACTCGATACAACACAAAGTTTTCTTTAAAATAAATTAGATTTCTTGTACAAAATAAATATCACATTCTAAGACCTAACTAATTTGGTAATGCGAGTACTGAGTCCAACATAATACATAGTGTGTTTGACAAAACTGTTCATCAGCAATTTTATTGCAACTTAACACTTTCCTTCGCTGTATTTATAGACACATCATATTGGCAATTCTGGATCCACACTCGTAGTATTCTTGTTTTGATATCCTAATCTGCTTGAACAAATCTTGAGAAGCAAAGTTGGACCCTGTAAAACAAAATTTTAGAGGAACGCACATTAATTTATATCTATGAATTTTGTCATAACATATAGATTTTTAATATTGATCCACTACTTATAAAAACAAAATTGTTGAGCATAGTCTACATGATAACTGAGTTTTTTTTCCTAATAAGGCGATTCCAATGCAAAATATTAATTAATTTAGGTGAGCGGAGCGATCGAAGCTCTTATAGGTCTGCGACGTAAGAAGAGGTGAAGGAAGTAGTAAGGTGAGCAGTGTGGAGTTTAGAAACTGGAAACCGTTTGTAGCAGTTAGATTAATGTATCTGCAATGCTGAAATGCTATGAGAAGGGATGAAAGCATGCCCACGACTTAGAAAATGGTGAAAGAAGTAGTAAAGGCTAGCAGTGCAGAGTGTGGGCAATGTTTGTGGCAATTAGATTAACGTATCTAAAATACTAAAATGCTATGGAAAGTGATGAAAACAGGTCCACAATGTAGGAAGTGGCTTAGGAAGTAGTAAAGTATGAACATATTGAGAACCGTCTGTGGCAGTTAGATTAATGTATCTTCAAACCTAAAATGCTATGAGAAGGGAAGGAAACAGGCCCCACGACGTAGGAAGTGGTGAAGGAAGTAGTAAAGGCTGGCAGTGCAGAGTGAGGGAACCGTTTGGGCAGTTAGATAAATGTATATAATACTTAAATGCTATGAGAAGGGAAGGAAACAGGTCTATGACGTAGGAAATGGTGAAGGAATTAGTAAGGCTTGCAGTGCAGACTGTGGGAACTGTCTTTGGCAATTACATTAATGTATCTGCAATCCTAAAATGCTATGGGAAGAGACTGTAGACTGTAGGTTAAAATGATTATGAAGCACGAATCGTTACATATTTCAATACGTATTCAATCGTTTACAATAGAAATTTACAACTGAGTTGACAACAGCTGAGTTTTACTCCATAGAGGCTAAAAACAAATTTTATTCCCTAAAGAGTAAAAATGCTACTTTAGACCCGCAACGACATCAATGACGACTGTTTTTACTGCAGTATGACAAAAACAATATAATATGAACCCTTGATGACTCCGCTCAATTTTGTGGATGCATCTGCGAAAGCTACCTAGTATAATTTATGCAGAATGGCTGAGAAGTAAAGAAATACACTGTGACACAAACAAAATTGACTTGATTAAGTTTGGAACTTTTCCTAAATGTTCTACTCCAACTACAAGGGTTTAGAACACTTCCCCTAAAGAGTTTGGAAATCTCAGTCATAAAAAATAACTTTCTTCAAATTTAGTGTCAACTTCTGGTGGGGAAAACGGCAACGATATTTTAGAGAGGTCAGAACTGGTATTACATTTCCAGAACAGTGTTTTTGTAACCAAATTTGGTCAAAATAGAAGTCAAGAGTTCTTCTTTCTCCAATACAGCATATAAATACATTAATTTAAAATACAACCAACTTATAAGGCAGATTGGCAAGCCAATTATGACAATTTTATGGGAGTGCAAACAGCTACTACCAAAACTACGGAATTGTCAATATCACCATTAGTCTGAATAAAACTACTGACCTCCAATCCATACTGAGTATTTCCTCTCAGGGGGCGCACTAATTTTGACCTCCGTAGTAGAAGGAGCAAGAATAGTGATTTCTCTCTGCAATCTTTCAGCGATCCCAGGGTACATAGTATTGCCTCCAGACAGGACAATGTTGGCGTAAAGGTCTTTATGGATGTCACTGTCGCACATATTGATGGAGTTGTGGACCATCTCATGGATACCGTCACCAGAGACACCAATGAGTGAGGGCTGGAACATGGCTTCTGGCACAAGAAAGCGCTCTTTTCCAATTTTGACAACCTAGAAGATTATTTTTCAATTCAGCAGGTTTTTATAATACTTCATCAACAATATAATCTAAGGAATATTAAATAAACACTAACAAGACTACAAGATCACGCCACTCGTCATACACTCATCTCCATTCATACATGTCTCAAAATACCTTCTTTGTATGATCACCATTTCCTTGAAAAGTATTAACGTATTAATACATAGTTCTCAAATTTTCCTTTTATTGTTACTAAATAATGGATTAGTAAGACAAGTTTTTTTGTATAGTCCCAAACAGAGTATTAAGGAAGATTTTAAAAATAGGCTAGGGCCTACATCTAACAATCTAACACCAATGCTGCAATAATTTTATATCAGTCACATGGTTAGCTACCTATGTAGCAAGCTAAGTTTAAAAATATATCAGTTCTGATAAGGGGGATTTTCAAAATAGCAGGGTTCGGAATAGAGAGCTTTACAGTATTATTAACTAGCATTTATTGGTTATGAAGGTAAAAATCTAAAAGGCAAAGCCCTCAATGACAGACTGACTCAGTCATCACTAATTCTCTTACTTCCCATTTACCTAGGAGGCTGAAATTTGGTACACTGATTCTTTAGGCATTAAATAGGAAAACTAAGCTGTTTTTATTCTGATCTGACTCTCGGGCTCCGCCCCAGTGGCTCTGGAGTTTCCCATGTTAACCTTATGAGTACTCAATTATCAGTTATCAGTTATCAGTTATTGAAGATGGGGACGCCACTATGTGCGTATTTTAACCCAAATATGAGTGAAGGATGAGTGTAGGATGAGTTAAATGGAATTAATGAATCTTAACAGCTGTTTCAATTAAACATGTTGGTTCTGTTCTATGATGTTCAATAGCATTAAAGTTACAAAGATTACCAACAGGGTGCAGCACTATTATTTCTTTTACATTTATGACAACAGATAATTTGCAACCAAAAGGTGAGTGAGCGTAGCGAACGAACTTCAACCTGGAGGCGAGTTACCGTAGCGAACGAGCTAACCTGAAGGCAAGTGAGCGCAGCGAACGAGCTCCAACCTAAAAGTGAGCGAGCGTAGCGAACGAACTTCAACCAGGACGTGATTGAGCCATGCAAACGAGCTCATCTTGAAAATTAAGAAGTTAAACGGGGCAAAGCCCGCGGGTACAGCTAGTTGAGTTATAATTATAGTTTTAAGAATCTCAGGAGGCTACAATGAACCTCTATGCATCTCACCTGACCATCAGGAAATTCATATTTTTTATGCAATGAGTTGTGGTTGGCTGTAGTAATTTCTTGCTCAAAGTCCAATGCGATAAAGCACAACTCTTCCTTAACTTCACGAATCACTTCTCTCTCCGCCACAGAAGAGAATTTGTAGCCGTTCTCGGCCAAGGCTCTCATCAAACAGTCTGTCAGGTCTCGACCAGCAAGTTCAAGATGGCCAACAGCATTAGTTAGAACAGACCCTTAAAAATTAAATAAATAAGAGAATAAAAAATATAATTTCATGTTAAAACAATCCGGTAAGATTATTTTACCTAAATCCATTAAGTATGAAACATTTGCGAATTTGGTTGCAACGGGAGCTCGGTGGGGACCTTAATTTCAGGCCCACTTTTATAAACGGGCAGACTGGGCATATGCCCAGGGGCGCCGGTGGTTGGGGGGCGCCCTGAACCACCGCCCGGACTAGGAAAAATAGGGTTTTATCAGCCGGGATTTCAAAAATAAAATGGGTGATTTCAACTTCTAGTTAAGTGGTTTTCCCTTATTGCAAAAGTAAATAAATACAACAAAATTGAAAATACTCGACCTTCAGGTTATACCTTGTGTAGTCAGGGAAAGGCAGGCAGCAGTGTGAACCGGGCGCACTCACTATACTATCAGAGGCAGGGAGGCCTGCATGGTAGAAGGAAAATACATAGGTGTGCTATTCCCATCATATGCTGACCTCACTCAGATTGCAAACACCATTTTACCATTCAGAAAAATTGTAAAACAATAACAATCAAATCAAAACAAATATATACTTATATGGCAATACATCAGCTGATTTTTTGTTTGCAATTTGGGTAACGTCAGCAAATTACGGGAATATCATGTAGGCCAGCTGTAGTCTACAGGCCTACGGTTGACGTGCCCCTCCTCTCCCTCCCAGTCCCACCTACATCCCCACAAGTCACAACTACCAACTACCGCCCGGTGCCAGTCCAGTACAGTAGTACTCCTCCCTCAGTAGTCAGTAGGTTATTGTGTTCGTGTTGTGCCTGCTGCACAGCGTCAAATCAGTTTAATCAGTCACAACACAACCTAAACTGTGACAGTCACTAGTCAGTGTTGACACTCACACTGCAGTTAGTGAACCAGTAATAAATAAATAGAGAAGTGTTGATACAAGTAGGCCTATAAACAGTGAAAAATGCATAAAATACCTAGTACAGCCGAGAGACGCAAGCGGTTGGTTTAAAGAAAGTGAAATATATTAACCAGTATTTCCATTGATACGGAATTGAAAACTCCCTCCCGAAACAAAACTGGTAAAAAAACACGCAAATGTATAAATATTTATATTCATAGGCCTGTAGTAGAATCATGGAAAAAACATACTCCTTGGTGGAAAAAACATACTCGTTCAATACGTGTGTAATACAATGAACTGCTCACTGTACTATACTGAACAGTAATCACATCACTACGTAGTGCGCTATTGGCGCAGGACAAGAGGCATTCGCATAGCAACCACTGTCAAGTTCATTGCACTCACCCCAACCCCCAACCCACCTGCAGTGAATTTCGGCGAACTGATGAGTCAACCCCCCTTCCCTCTTCCCCTCCCTACACTGCTGTGGTCAAAACCTTTATAGTTATATATATATATATATATATAAGGGAGGGCGCTGCTTTTGGGTTTGCCCAGGGCGCCACTGACCCTTAACGCGGCCCTGCTTAATTTACATGATTTACATTTTAAAATGTTGATTTATCATAAATCAACCATCTTATTTTGACCAATAAAATTAAACTTATACCTCACAGTATGTTTAAAATTGTATTTTTGCCAAAAGTCAAATTTACATAATTTTTTTAGGGTCTGTTTGAAATTTGTACTTTGATAACAGACAGATTTAAACAATGAGCGCGTTCTGAGAACATGTACCGGTGCACTGGTGCCTCACCGGGTGCAAAATATGTGTCGTTCTGGGAGACCGGTGAGTTAACCTAGCAGACAGCTATTTCCTCTTTTTCCTCCACCGGTGCAAGATTTATGCACCCGGGAAAATGTACGGTGCATAATACACCGGCAGCCTCTGATTGGTCAGCTTCTTGGACAACGACTCGAACGACAACAGATGCAGCTACGGCAAGATGGCGGGTCCATCGAATCGAATAATGTTCATCAGTTTCATAGGTTATGTTACATTTACGTAATTAGTGAACAATTTATTATATGAGGGTGTTGTATTACATATTAAGTGAAAAAGTTTCAAATAATTTTTTCTGTGAGAACAAGTTTGATTGGTTTAAATATTATAAAGTAAATAATAGGTGAATGTGTAAATTATAATCCGATGTGTACCTTAAACCGGTGAATAACCGTTCTGGGATACCAAGACTCTTGACCCGGGGCGGTACCGGTGAATAAGTCACCGGTTAATCTGCACCGGTGCACCGGTACATGTTCCCAGAGTGCCCCCAATAATTGTAAGCTCTCACATTAGTTTTACACTAATCAGCTGTAGAGATGTTATAATGTCCATGATTATACTCCGCGCGCGATAACTTTTCACTTGGGACTTGCACAGCTTGGCAACGCTGCAGGGCTCGCTACCCCATCCTATACCTGTCACATGTCGAGCCAAAGCGACAAGAAGCGGGCGCTCGCCTCGGCAGTGCGACGTTGCCGATACAAAATTCACACGGAACAGCAAAAATCCCAAGTGAAAAGTTATCGCGCGCGGACTATAAAGTCATCACCAAGTCACACCTTCCTGCTTGACTACTGTGATTTTTAGTGGTCTTGATGATCCATTGGCGCTTAATGATATTTTCTACCGATTTTTAAAAGCATATAAACAAATTATTAAGTCACACTTCAATCAAATTAAATCAATTACAAAGTATCACAATTTAAAATACCTTCATAGATGGGGACTGTGTGTGAGATGCCGTCACCAGAGTCCAACACAATACCAGTCCTCCTTCCTGAGGCGTACAGGGAGAGAACAGCCTGAATAGCAATGTACATGGATGGTGTGTTGAAGGTCTCAAACATGATCTACAACATTGAAATTAAGGATTTAAGGAATAACTGCTAAAGAGGCTGACCCAGAATGTACCATTTTCAGGCAATGGACATAGGTAGCAAAAGTGACTGTTTTTGCACCAAGGCCCAACTCCATTACCAATTCCAGTTTTAATACGATAAAACTTGTTTTGCACATGTGTTGAAAAACGTTGAATGAATATAGGTTCTCTATTGCCAAACCTATACCAGGCTTTCAGTTTGTACAATTGCTTTCTCCGTTTTTAAGCCATCATCACAAATAACATAAAAAAATATCTGGCAAAGTAAAAATACCACTCTATATTCTACCTGAAATATGAGAGAAAGCGATAGTTATCCATTCATCTACATGTCTCGGATCCCAGTGAAACTTAAATGTATCATAGAAAGTGTGTAAGTACGAGGAGTTTACAATGCTATGAGTTATGCAGAGGGCAGACACAATCTGAAAGCCTGGCTATTTGCAGGAGCCTAACGCATTGTCTAAGAGTTTAGACAAAGTCAAAAAAGAGGATGAGATACTAATCAAAGCAATGTCTGTACCTCAGTCATTATCTGCCTGTTGTTATTGTTGAGGTTGTAAGAAGCATCAGTTAACAGTACAGGGTGGTCTTCCGGTGTGACACCCAACTCATCAAATGCATGATACCATACTGTCTGCATCTCATCCCAGTTGGTGATTGTACCTCGCTTTACAGGGTGTTCCAAGGTTATGAGACCTGTCAGCATATGAGACCTGGTAATACTCAACGTTAAAACAAAACTCATTATAGATTAATTCATACTGAATTAGCCACGTCAAAAACATTATCTTTGGTCATTACACATCACTAATATTGATATTCCATCACTGATAATGGAATGGACAGTGTTATAGCTGTTTACTTGCACTTGAGTGGAAGAACTGAAAAGGAGTGCTTTTCATAGGCACCTTCAATCTGCTGGATGGGAGGCCACTGTTTGGTCTTTATTTTTAGGACAGAGCATTGCAGGGGCGGCTAAAGGAATAATTTTTAGGGTAGGTCTAACAAGGATCAAGAAGCAGTTTGGTCAGGGGACGAGAGGTTTGAGGAGCTTCCCCGCTAAAAGGGAGGAATATTAAAATTTAATTGCAAAATAATGAGTTTTAATGCTTTCCCTTTATTTACCTATAAATTCCATTGCTTTAGTTATCTATAATTTTAATATATCTACCAAAATTTTTGGTAGGCCCGGGCCTACCTGGCTTACCCTCTGGAGCATTGTAGAGAGCGGTGGGCTCAATTAATTTTAGATTTTTTGGGGCGCAAGGAATAGATAGAGAAGGTAGTTTAAGAGGGGCACAAATATTCTATTTCAAGCTCAAAGGGCATCGCTTACAATGTCCGCGAGAGTAAAGAAGTACCTTGAGCCAGAGCGATACGCAGCTATGTTTGGAGAGTATCGGGCACTATTTTGCAGGCGCTAAGCATCTGGGCGCCTCACCTCGATGTCTGTCTGTTAACAACTCTTGTAAACATAATTACTCATATCTTTGTTTTTTAAGTGGATTATCATCATTTGGTCACGTAATTTGATTCAGTGTAGTGTCGTGTGTTAACGTAGTGAGTTCTGTTTTGTTTTGGACGGTCCTTGTAGCTATGGATTTAAGAAAACGTGGTGCTACTATACAAAGTGGACTCCACTACGTATAGTAGCACCACGTTTTCTTAAATCCATAGCTCTCTCCACTGTGGAGAGAGGGATTTAATTAGACGGGTGACCGAGTGTTGTGACAACGAATGTAAAGACAAAAAGTTATTAGTGCCGATAGAAAAGGCAACAGAACGTGCCGCAAACTATTGTAAAGTGTCAGAAAAAACTATTAAACGAATTAGAAAAGCCGGCAAACAAACTCCGGATGAAAAACTCTGTACACCCAGGAAAAAACGCAAGAAGGCTGACCACCATAAAGTACAAATATATACGTGATTTTTACACGAACAAAAAAATTGTCCCTTCATGTAAAAAACTATTACCTGTTTTGAGAGAAAGGGTTAATTTTAAATGGAGCGAATGGGCACCTCGGCGTCTCTTAAAATATATGGGGTTCAAGTGGAAGAAATGTAGTTCCAAAAGAAAATGTTTGATTGAAAGGCCTGGCATTGTTAATTGGAGGTTTAAGTATTTGCGAGAGATAAGAAAGCTAAGGGAACAAAAAAGGAAAATTTTCTATCTGGACAAAACTTGGATGGACAGTAATTTAACGTTCCAGAAATGTTGGCAAAGTGTAGACGTTGATGGTGTGTTACCTGATATGAAAGCGTCAAACCGCGCGATTGTCGTAGACATCGGGTCAAACGAAGGGTTTTAGCAGGGGGGTTGGCTTATTTATAAGGCAAACAGTGCCAAAGGAGACTATCATGGCCAAATGAATTTTTCCAACTGTGAAAATTGGATTAGGGAACGTGTATAGCAAATTTAACGCCAAATTCAGTCATAGTCATTGACAACGCTCCGTACCATGGAGAACAGGAGAAGACAAAGTCCCTAATATGTCTTCAACAAAGAAAGTAATAGTTGAGTGGTTGTCAAAACACGACAAAGACTATGAAGAAAAAACAACAAAGCGGAACTTTTTGAAGCCATTAAAAGACTTAAACCACCACAAAAAGTTTACAAAATTGATAACTTGGTACAACAACAAGGCCACACCATTTTAAGACCTTACATGTGTGACTTGAATGCCATAGAATTTGTCTGGGCAAAAGTTAAACAACATGTTCGATCCAGAAACACAACAGGTAAATTTACCACAACTCACTTTAGATATATTTTAACATTTAGTTTAAAAAATGTTAGTACTACTACTTATGCCTCTTTAATTAATTACTTATTTTATTCAATATTGAAAGAACTAAATACGCATAAAACTTAATGTTTTTAAACAATGTGTATACAATATTTAAATATACTTTAAAATTTGTGTTAAACTCTTGAAAAAGATCACTGTAAAAATTTAATGGTTTTATATTCAAAATATAGCCTAACTTTTTGACACAATTTTTTTTAACAAATCATAAACATTTATACAACTGTCAATCTTTCATTGATTTTTTTTAATAGCCACATATTCAGCATGATATAGTTTGACATGACATATCCAAAGGAAGTATTTTTATCAGGTAGCATGTCCCTGGGCGCATAGACTGACATGGCAAAAGAGGCGCTTAACTCTGTTACCCCTGCGCTGTGGAAAAAATATTCCAAACATGAAGAACATACAGAAAATGAGTACTGGACGACGGATGGCATAGTGGAAAACACGGTCGATGAAATTGTCATCATTGTGGTTTATTTGGGAGGCGGAGATGATTCATCGACTGAGGATTCCGGCTCTGAACCCCATGATACAGACGATAAGATTTGGAGTTAGCCCAACCTTTGCCAGTGAACATCGATAAAACTCTTACAATAGGCTATCAGCATTTGTAAATAAAAAACTATATTGGCAATTATTGTTTTCTTGATTTTTTGCTTTAAATAATAAGTTGTTTATTGATGAATGCTATTGAAACTGCTGTACTCTTGTACTTATATTTTTGTACCGGTAATACGCATTCACCGTAAGTATATTCATGGATCAACTAATTATTTGGGATTAATGGTTTCAAACTCGGATTTAAAAAGGATTTTATTGTATTGTATTTTAATGGTATGGTTACATTTAACTAAACAAAAATCATAAAGTAGAAAGGTTATTCATTTGCCTTAGTAACACTATAAAATGGGTTTCCTTCAATTGTATGACTATACAAAACAATATTATGACATAGATTTATAAAAATCATACAGATATTACATACAAAGATTAAGCCTAACAACTAGCAGAGCAGAGTGAAGACGGCTCTAATTGTCGCGCAAAACGTTCAAGCGTAACTAACGCCTTCAAACTACGAATAGGCCGGAGCTCAGGGGACTTCTTTTCTCTCGCGGACATTAAATCGCGGGCCTTTAGCATTAAACACATTATTAGCAATATTTATGGATCTCGCTCCACTACACCACTGGTTTGCAAGAAAACCCATGAATGAAATATAATACCATCTTATTATTGTAGGCTATCTTTAACTTAAAAACAACTGCTACCAAAATAAATTTCATGCTGGTGTTGTAGCCTCTTCCGGATCACCTATAAATATATTATAAGAATGAACATTGTATCAATTGAGGATCATCTTGACTCAAATTTAGTAGGTAACTAAAATCAACTCTACTTCAGTTTTAAACCATCAGGAATTTTAGCCAAAAATGTTTCATTGTGAATGTATCTAATATTTGGTACAATTAGAGGCATTTAGAGTAGGCCTAGGTAAATGTCAAGCCATGAACTTGTAGGCTCGGTCTGTTTTTAAAACAATTTTAGACGTAGGCCTACACGAATGTGTTGCATGTTTCACTACAGTCACTCACCTCTGGTACGTTGTGCCCTGTAGCCTACGAAGCAGTCTGACTCACTCATGCCAGCCAATAGCCCCATGCGATTCGGGCGACCCACTACAGACGGGAATACCACCCGAGGGGTTTTGTCACTAGCAAACCCAGCTTTGCACAGACCAGAACCATTGTCAATAACAATTGTGGAACTATTATCAGTCATACTAACATTGTTGATAAACCACCTAGAAAAACAGAAGAGGTTGATAACATGTTGTAGGTTCAGGATTTGTATGAAAGTAATATTGTAGGCTACTTAAATTTATCAAATATAAATACATTGCAGTAGGCCTAAATAAATAGTAGGCCTACCGGTACCATAAAAGTTTTTTTTAGGAAAGAACAAAGTTTTAAAGTCTTTGAAAAGTAACCATCGCCTTAGCTCTCCTTAGAGTCCTAGCTGCAGACTTCCTTTGCATTTCTTTTCTAAAGCATTGTGATTTCACTCAATAAATATGTACATCTAATAAATAAAAACACATCTTATAAAGAAACCCATTAGAATAGCGTACTTTCAATTAGGTAAAGAGACTAAACAACATGATATGATTTACATTGAACATGATGTAACTATTGGGTTGAACCCACAGTAGTCCAGTAGAGGTATTACAAAATTGTAAATTTATTTATTTTTCTCTGCCTTGCATGGCTTGCAGCATGTAGTTTTCATTTTTTATTATTTTTAGTTGCATGCATTGCTTTGCATGTTTTATATTGATTGAGATCCTGCATGTGTTTTTTTTTTCAGCTTTTAATTTAATTTTGTTAAGTTATTCAAGAATGCTAGAAGAAGCTTGGCATGTTATTTATTATTTATTGTATTGTTGACGTAGCCTATTGTCTTGTATGAACTGAATGGCCAAATAAATCATTTGAATCATTTGAAACTGTAAAAGAAATAATATTTTTAATGACCTTACTATTCATCAGGATTGTAAATGTGAGATAAATAATAAAGTTAATATCACTTTATTATTAGTAGATGATCTACCGAGTAGGTAAAGTTTAAATAGTCCTTTCGTCTACAAAGTAAGTAGTATCATAGTAGTATGTGACGTATAAGTCATAAGTTAACCCATAATTATTTATTACGAAAGATAGGCCTACTGGTGGCAAACACACAAGTCTAGAATTTATCAGCTAAATAAATCAGGTTATGTCTCCCCCAAGTTTTACTTGCCGTACTAAATGTTGCAGTTAACATGCTATAGAATAAAAGAATATTTATAAACTATTATATTTTTAAATCATTACGGTACTTATAAACCTAATTGAAATGGAACAAATATATACCCTTACCTAGTTTCAAACCGCTTAACTCGATATCATGGACATGTCAAAACAGAACGGAACAACAACAAAACCATGCTTCTTCTTCTTCTTCTTTTTCTTCTTCTTCTTCTTATCTAAATAAAACAAATCACAGATCCCACATGTTGTAATGAAATTCCAATTGTAAATTTATCCCGCAATTTACCATGAAATGCTCCACTTGAATTTACCAAAAAAAATAAAGTCCGGGAAATGTGAGTCTCGTTTAGATTACCAGTCTAAAAAAATCTAAATTATTACAACCAACTGTATTTGTTCTTTTTTCCAAATCTAACAAAATTGGGTATAACACAAACATAACTAAAACTTTTTAAATCTTTACAGTTGTCCTCTCTCTTAGTACATGCAACTCATCGTAAGAGATAAACGTTATTGTATTGTTGGGTACGCAACACTACCCTTAAAAACCACTGGGGATAACTTGATAAGGAAATCAAATATTGCTGGGGTAAAGTGCAAAGTTTAGCCTATACAATCGTTGCGTGTTAAATATTATCATTCCAAATATAGGTGCATCCTTTGCCCATCTACAGTATTTAAACCAACAGCAATAATTTTATTATTATTCAAATAAACAAACAATAGTTGAATGAGCCGCTAGAGTGTGCCACTGTCAACATTCTATTTCCTCTCTCTCTTATAATTTTCCGTTCTGTGACATAAAAGAAAGATGAAACATGGGATTTCAAGGTTATCAGGGCCGGATTTCCCAATAGGCCCGGTAGGCCCGGGCCTATGGGCGCAAGCTCCCAGAGGGCGCACGGCCGAGAAGAAACATATTTTTTAATATCTAAAAAAAAATTATAGCCATAGCTTAACATATTTTGCGAGTTGATAAAAAAGAACTCTTGCCAATGAAGCATTATAATCTTGAAATTCATTGGAAGAAATAACTGTTAGAAAATTTAAACTATTTTCAACATTACACATCAATTTCGTTACAACATTGGTAACGAACATTGGTTATATGGGAGTAGGCTGTAGGGATGTTGTCGAGCGCCCGAGCGGTACGCATCGTATTGCCACTGCACTCTTTGCACTGCCGCTATGCTGGCTGGGAGCTACTGATCGGAGTGATTAGGGGCGCATGCGTGTTAGATACCATTACCACCCTCACCTCACAAGAACAAAATTTACTAACTAATCTTTTGATCAGTTTACCTACAGGGTCAAGTTAAAATATTAACTTTTGTTGAATATTATATGTTGGGGTTTTGTTGAATATTATAAATACGATAGGTTCCTTTATCTTTAAAATTCAATAACGAAAAAATATTTGTCTGAGTTTGCAACAGGTTTTAGAAAAATTAAATCGCCTCCAAAGCACCAATAATGGTGTCATTTTCTCCTCAGCTCAGACCTGAGGATAATTATGGTCGGCGGGATTATTGCTTTGTTTTGCTTTGCAAATATAATCTGGATGCAGTACTACCATAGACCATAAACTCAAGTCGACGTTTTATCACATTGTTAATTATAAATATTGTTTTTCATGTCTAGTTCATATATGTTGGTGACACTGGAAGTTACTTTTGACGTAATTTTGTTTCTATTATTTTAGGGATAGTTCTATGTTGTGTGTTTAGATTTATTGTAATATAACCAGGGACGACCTGTTGTTTGTGATTACACCGTTTTATTTTGGACAAACTAGGTTTAAATAACCTAAATAAAAAGAATTGTTTTCAGCTAATCCTTAAGGATGACAAATCTACTGAAGGAATATGTTTAATCTTTGGTATCACGCACTGTTATGGAGTTCATGTTTTGGGGCCTGAAATCGGAATCAATGGATATGTTTTTTTGCAGGAATGCTCTGAGGGTTGGATTGTTTTGTTTCAGTCCCACAAGCGTGAGCATTTGCCAAAAGCATACAATTGACTAAAGTGTTTAAGAGGGCATTTTGTTAAGGCTAACCAAGACAATTCTTCAAAAAACCTTGCAATGATAAAATTTCGACGAGGAGTGGTGTTCAAGCAATTAACATAGGCCTATAGTCATGATATAGTTTTTAATAAAGGTTTGTAGGAAAGAAACTGTGACCAGACTAGGGGGCGAAAAAATTACTTGGGCCTAGGGGCGCCAAAATGCTAAATCCGGCCCTGAAGGTTATAATTTGTCCTTTCAATTTGGCTTTGTTTAAAATGATTGGCGAAGTAGAAGTATGCCTACAATATAGTAACTGACGTCGCAGTAAACGTGCTTTGTCCTTCATCCAATTTTGACTCAATTTTATTGAGTTTATTTTCAATCTTAAATTGGCTTATAGCAGCTTAGAACAATGTCAGTAGTAGTGCTGTTCAACAATATGGAATAAGACGCCATTAAACGGGAGGGGTCGCCTGTCTGCCATAGATTATATAGAACTTCTTTTACCTTTTACCTGATACATTTTTACAGCAATCCTGTCTACTCAGCCAATTCCCAAGCAACAGATGTTGACTAAGATAAAATTATAACAGCTTATCAGACGTTATGTTTACATATTTGCTCATGTTAGAACAAACTTATTCTATTTATTTATCTTCGCAATGATGGGTTGCGTCAGTTTCCTACAGACCCTTCCAGGACGCCTGGCGCTAAACAGCACTACTTGCGACGTTGCCAATTCTACCAGTACGCAACAGGGAGTTAATACTTTAATACTTTGCTTTGAAATGGCGACCATACAAAGTAGGTATTTCAAGCCAAGTATGAATGGAGATGAGTGTAGGATGAGTGGCCCGATCTTGTAGTCTTGTTAGTGACTAGTTGTTAGTGTCTTGAGGCCGACATAGAAACGGCTGTTAATAGCCTATACAGTTAATGGCAACTAAGGGACCAACAGTTTATAGTGGAATCCGAACCACATTTTTGCCTTGTAAAGAACGAATTCGTCTAATTATCAGAATAGTACTGCGGATAGTCGTAGTACTCACTAAAAAAGTTTGCAGTTGGCGGCAGCTTAATCACAAGACAAGGCTAGTGCGACGTTGCCTTATCACCTGTTGGCGACACTAATTAAAATACTAAACGATATTTTCAAATCAGCTGGTATTATTCGATTTGGCAACACCGCACTGTCCTCATTGGCTCCTTCGAAGTCACGAGGTAGATAGGCTCCTCCTCAACTGCAAACTTTCGTTTTTCGTAGTCCCGACTGTAGTAGTAGTGCGGAAGTTAATCCACTTCAGGGAACAAGAGGTGGCAGGGCCTTGTCTACTACTCACCAAAGAGAAAGGTTACACCATAGATAAAACATACTCCCTTAGTAGATTTCCCATCCTTATGGAACAGCTGAAGCCAATTTTATTGTTAGTTCTGTACGGTTTTCTGTAGAGGTCGTGTTTTGTTTACAATTTGTTTCCCGTTATTACAGCCATTTAAAACCTCGTTTAACCAAATAATACGATCTAATCATAAACAATAACTTGTCCCCTAGTTATATAACCAAACAGTAAAGCACAAATCAAGAAATTGGCCCTAAAATAATAGAAACAAAGTTTCGTCGACACTAGCGCCCACGTGCCACGTACATAAACTAGACACGAAAAACGTGCTTCAAAATTTACAATGGGATGAGAATAGTCTATGGTTACACGTAGGCCTACTGTACTGTATTCAACGAAGTATACGCTGTATTACGAATAGATGAACATAACTTATGTTTATCAGCTAGATTGTTTATAAAATGTTCGTTACAGAAAATAGTCGAAGAGAAAATACCTTTATCCATGACTTTAGATAATAATCGCTGTTACCCGTCGGCTTCGCCCGGCATAGCCTTGTGTTTTTACCACTACTTTTTAAACTACGCTGAATTAGTGACAGCTACGGGCTTAATTTTTGTTTTGTTTTAGAGATTGTAGGAAAATGGCACAACCATTGCAAAGATAAATAAATACATTAGCAAAAATATCAACATATAACGTCTGATCAGCTTCAGCTATATATTATGATCTCATCTTAGTCAAAAACTGTTGGGAATTGACTGAGTACGCAGGTTGCTGTAAACTGTATCCATCTCACTCTATTAACATTAACTTCTAGAAAACTATCATCATTTTACAACAGTTTGGATAGTGTTAACAGCTAATACATTAAAGTTTTAAGGGTGCAAATAATGTGTTTTGTATATCTTTATAGGTATATTTTCACCGTGTTCTGTGTTCTGGCCATCTAAAACTGTTACAAAAGTTTTTCCAGAAGGTGCAATATTTGTGGGAATTGCTGAAATCATTTCGTTGAATACATACACGGGGTTTTAAATCTTTAAATACTTACTCAAAATTCATTTTCGGTAGCAATATCTTTTGAAAATCATCTCTCGCGTGTTACACAGAACTATATTATGTCCTATTGATATGTTTCACGACAGTTTTTAATTTATAAAGTTATATTCAGATATCATTAAACATCACTAAGTTTTGAAAGCATTGAGTCGTTTTGCTGACTGCTTTAGTCAACGCACTTAAAATCTAATTTAGATTGTAAATTCAAAACTCCTTAATTATTAGTAAGTCATACACTTTGCTATTGAATTATATGGTTTCTGTCCCGTTGTTTTAATGGTACTTCTGAATCGTAATTAATTAGCAATAGGAACTACCTAGCGCCAATTATATCCAATTATATACCCTCGCAAGCTTATAAAACGTTTGGTACAGTACTTAGATGTTGTAAATTCGGAGTTGTTGGTATGTCGTCCAGTTGTTTTGTGTTTTGTGCTAATGACTAGTTAACTGCCTTGTCATTCAGTGCGCATACATCAGAAGCGGTTGACTCTGTTAACCAATAAACGATATTTACTATCCATGGTTCTGTTCAAGAATTAATTCTCTTAACGGAACATTTATAAAACTATTTCAACACAAACACTTTGATTTCCTCTTACTGCAGGAGTGTCTAAACGACTTAAGTCTAAATTTACCGTAAACAACTGTGACGTTCTTACTTTCTGCGGTATTTCAATTCGGAATTTCACAAGTACCGGCTCATCTGGACCCGAAGTGAGTGTAATAGCACAGTAAAATAACACAGTGCGTTATTGAAAGAATAGGTACTATTTTTTAATTTGCAGTTTACATATTCTCTAACATTTGAGCAAAAATGTTTTCGTGGTCAGAAATCAAGAAACATAACAATGAAGAATCTTGCTGGGTCGTTATTCATGGTAACGTTCACGATCTAACCAACTTTTTAGAAGAGGTATGTTGTGTTTTTTAATCTCTAAATACCATATTGTAAGTTAAATTAAATAATACAGTAAATACATTACCGGCACCCCGAAATGTACAAACCTAAACAAATAGGTAAAAAAATATGTTGTATAATAAAGACTGGCTAGGGAAAACAAGGTTTGCTTGTTAAAAACTAAAATCATAAATTTGAATTTTGAACAAATCATTAGCCACGTCTATCTTAATGTATTTGTCTCAAAACGTGGTTTTATTAATTACTTTTTTATCCCAATTTTGGGATAGTTGACAATTTTTACCTTAAAGTGCTTATAATTATGAAAACTCTTTCATATATAGGTACTCTTTGCATGTATAGGTACAAATAATTTCTTATCTACACTCCTCTTAATTGTTGGCTTTAGTCATATAGTCAATTAACATTTAAAGTGACGAAAAAAATACAGTATTACACAAACTCGTTCATTCGTAAATGAATTCACCACAGGGTGGGTTCGCGTTCTCCCTAAATATAAATTTATTCAATTAGAGTTATACTTCAAATGCATATAAAATATCAGTCATATGCAAATTGAAGATGAATCGTGTGGTATTTAACTCAACAATTACATACTCCTGTTGTGATCACGGACATACCTTCATACCTGCCGTAAATGAATATCACTTCATAATGAATTTATTTTCCTTTTTTACATATTATTTACAATTTGTTTAGTCAATTAAAAGGAAAATCAAAGACAAGCACTGACAAGTTCATAATTTTATCAGGTCTGATCAAATATCTGCTTTTTACATAGCTAAGACTTATTTATAATATACAAAATTTAGAACAAATTACACAATGGTACATACAAAAGAGGGAGAATATAGGGCCTCCAAGGTTATGCCTGTTTGAAGGTTGCAGCTATGTTTACTGTACATATTAGTTTAACTCTCCTGCAGATGTTAGTGAAGCAAAGAGAAAGTTGTCAATTATGGATCACTTTATGCCTCAGGAAACTTTCGTATTAGCTCAGGATTAGCTGGTCTACAAAGTATTCCGCAACTATCGCCAAAAGAGACATGTTGTGTAATCGTTTCTTAAGTTGTTTGTAGAATATTACAGATGTCTATATTCTAACGACTTACGGTTTTGACCATTGTTTCTTATTTGCTTTGCTTTCAGCATCCTGGTGGAAAAGACATTCTTCTGGGGTTGGCGGGTGGGGATGGCACTCAATGTTTTGACGACATTGGCCATTCCGACGAAGCGAAGGCTCTTTGCAAACGGTTTCGCATTGGTTCATTGCAAGAGGTATTTATACTTCACTACGGATATGACTTCACAGAAATAATCGGGATCGTTATTGGTGAAACAAATAATTATGTTAAATATGAGGCCAAGCCTATAAGCCTACTGAAATGTTATACCAGATTTTTACACAGGTAGATTGCAGTAGTATAAAACATATGGGCTATTAATTAACAGCTTTGTCTAAGAAATATGTTGGCCTTTAGTCACTAACAAGACTACAAGATCGTGTCACTCATCCTACACTAATCTCCATTCATACATGGCTTAAAATACCAACTTTGTATGGTCGCCATTTCAGTGAAAAGTATTAAAACTATTAAGGAATAATACGTGTATGCTTGAAACAGTTAGCAAAACTTAAAGATACCACTACTACGATCAGATAGTTTTTTCGCCATTCCATTTGAACATTGATACAACGACTTAACTAAACCTATCTATATAAAATCCAATGTATGTTTGTTTGTTTGTTTGTCCTTTATGGACTCCGAAACCGCTCGACAGATTGTAATGAAACTTTCAGGCATTATTAAGCATTATTAAGGATGGTTTGTTTGAAGTTTGGTGCAGATCCGTCAAAAGGGCTCCGCCCCAGTGGCTCTGGAGTTTCCCATGTTAACCTTATGAGTACTCATATTTAAATGGAATTAAACAATCATAACAGCTGGTTCAACCAATTTGATTCTGTGATGTTCAATAGCATTAAAAAGTTAATAGGTTTACCAACAGGGTGCAGCACTATATTTTTCCTAATTTATGACAAAAGCTTCTTAAAACGAACTTTAACCAGGACGTGATTGAGCCATATGCGAACAAGCTCATCTTGAAAATGAACGAGCATTGACATAAAACCACATTAGGACAGGACGACGTCTGTCGGGCCAGCTAGTAACCTATAAAAGACACTAACATTAAATTTCGTTCCAATATAGTTTCGTTTATAAATGTTTTCCGTTAGTTTGGGATAAATATTGCAGCGTGAGCTTTACGTTTCAGTTGAAATGCCGAAGGATAAGTAATAGCCATCGTAATAGATTGAATATTGGATACTAAAGGTGATAGATTATAAATTGTTCATTCAGTTTTTTATTCTTTATTATCATACAAACTCCGATATAGATTCGTAATCGTAATTTACGAATCAAATTTTCAGCAATTGAGCTATATTTCCTATAGTTGATTAATATATATATATATCAATATAATCACGGGCTTAAGGGTGAGCGAACAATAAAAGTATAGGATTTTTTATTTAAAAGGTTGGGGATACACTTGAGAAACAAATCTACACTGTTAAAAAAAGACTTCAAATCATTGTTTATAATTTTAAGAGTGATTTTGAAGCAGATTTGACCCAATTTGAAACCAGCCCTGTTCGAAGAAGAATTTGTATAGGGATGGCTATAGCCTCAAACTGGAGATACCATATTGTATCTTAATACTCTCCTAGGGCTCTGCCCTAACAGCTTATTAAGTCCAATGTTATTCTTCGAACAGCCATGAAAAGCCACCTGAAATTATACCCAGCCCGGTACGGCGATCAATAGTTTTTGATATTTTATCAATAGTTTTTGATATTTGATCAATAGTTTTTGATATTTGACCAATAGTTTTTTTTTTTTTTTTTTTTTTATCATAAGTTACCTGTACTAAGTAAAACGGGGCGAAAGCCCGCGGGGAACAGCTAGTTCATAAGGAATCTTAACAGCTATTTTTTTTTTACTAAATAAGTAAGTTGACGTTTAATAGCATTAAAAGTTTATAAGGTCTCCAACAGGGTGGAGCACTATTAATTATTATTAATTTGTTTTGAATTTATGACAACAGCTAATAATTCAAACCAAGCAGCGGCAAAAAGGCCTTTATCGAAACTCTTTCTCATGCAGAAATTTCAAAACTTTAACCATTATTATCTATTGATAAAGTTTGTTGACAAGTTAATGGGAGAAATTATGTGTCAGATTGCTGATACCGTTCATTTGATCTTGAATTGAAGCGGTCACAATGCTGTGGGCGTGGGACTCCATCCATTGCCCACAGGTTGTAGTGGGAGCAGCGCAGTGGTGGTGGGCCATTTTTGCTGCTAATCAATGGAAATTACAGTTACACAACCAAAACAAATTTCACAAATTAACATCGTTATAGAATAGATAACAGTTTTTTGATCAAGTGATCGGGAGGGCGCTTACTGTGTACTTCATGCTAGGCAGCCAATTTAGTTGGTGTTGGTAGCACTGCGCCTTTCTCTATGGTAATATTGTATTTTTTTGTTTTGTGACCGCAGCTGCAAAGTGTAAACCTGCTTTTGCGTTGTTGTGTTGTGTGTATTCGCAAAGCAACTAAAACCAAAGAACCAACCAATCACTGATCAGTCCTCCTGTCCTGTCTCCTGTCTCTGTCTGTCTGTAATCTGTAATCTGTTTCTTTTCTATTGGTGTTCGGTGTTGACGGTGTTGAATACTCGACTCCGTTCCGTCTGTCTCTGACCCTGACGTCTGTATACTGTATACAGATACACTATACAATATACTGAACTGACTGCCGATTGAGACTGACTGACTGTAGTAGATAAAGCCAAGCCATTAGTTAGTTTAGTAGTTCGGATTGACGCGAAGAAAATTCGTAATTTAAATAACCTTCAACCTTGGGAGATTAATCTTCTTGAATAGGACGTGGTTAGGGAAGTGATCAGTGTTGGTGTATAAAAATCTACAGTTTGTTATTTAACTGTTCATTGATGCTATTTTAATCTGATTAACCTCGGAAATAGTTTATCAGACTTTCTCGTGACCATTTCAGATACCCTACCTGTTTCTTAGGACTTGATATTTATAGCGTAGACTTACTAGGCCTACAGATATGGCTTCTGACAAAGTGTACACTTACGCAGAAATCAAAGCTGAAAGTGAAGATAAGAATTCAACCGTGATTGTAATTCACAACGTAGTTTACGACGTGACAGATTTTCTGAATGAGGTAAGCAAATTTAGCCTAACTGCCATTTGGCCAGTATTTCCACTAGGCCTAGGTCTAAGCTAAATTTAAGTTAATATTTAAAGTTGGCCTAAGTTAAATAAGCTTAAGTTAGGCATGCTTATAGCTTAACATTGATGTACCGTTTGTAACAGCTTCAATAGGCCTAGTGAAATTATACACCCAGATGTAGGGGCTGCACTTTACTTTAGGTCCTACACTCATTCGACCGAAAATATCGATCAATATATCGATTAATCAATTGTTTCATTCGATATATCGTATGGTTAGTTAGGTAAGGTTAACCTAACCAAACTAACCGAACGATATATCGAATGAAACAATCGAATACCGGTAATCGATATTTTCATTCGAATGAGTGTAGGACCTATAGTAAAGTGCAGCCGATGTAGGCCTAGGCCTAATCCTTAATTCTTATGCCTACAGATAATTACCTACGGTAGGCCTACCGTAAGTTTACTAGGCTAGGCAAGTTAAGTTAGGCTATCCACTGAAATATTTTGGCTAATCACTGGTGCCTAGCTTGTAAGTATTTAACTTAAAAAAACTTGTCCTTAAACTTATTGGTTATTTAACTTAAGTTTGGCTTCCCCTAGGCTTATCAGCGTGAAACTGGCAATAGATAAGTAATAACCCCTCCCACTTCTCCTACCGCCCCTCCGACGAATATACGTAACAGTTAGGCTCGTCACACACTGCGTCCGGTCCGGTTAATCCTGATCCGGTGTTTGTCACTGGATCCGGCAAATTTCCACACACTGCATCAGGCGTTCCAGTTACGGCGACCAGTAGGCTATATGCGTGGACAGCGGTACTGTGAGTTGAAGAAGTGTTTAACCAACAACACATAAGTTAGGGTGTAGTTTTAACAAAATTTACCTAAAGCAATAACTGACAGTGACCGTGAAGAAGAGATCTTCGTAGTTGCAGCAGCTCTTGCTTTGGAAGAGGAAGAGCGTCGGCGACAGAAGATGTTGTGGGCACATAGTATAAGCGTGAGTAAAAAGAATTCAAAAGCAGCGGCTACACTTGCCCGGTTCGGTCCGGTCTGGTCCGGCCATAAGAGGTAGCTACACTTGTACGATATTTTGTACAATAAATTATCATGCTTTTAATAAATAAATAAAAAAAAAAAAAAACTGTAGCCTACATGTTAGGCCTACTGTACATGTTTAAATAGCTATTTTTATTTATCATCGTCAGAATTAAAAACAACACTGCTTGTTGCCAAAATAATGTCAGGTCTATTTTCACAACTGTAATTTGCTATAACACCTAACATGAAGTACTGTATAAATAAATGTTTGCACATCAAAATTATTATTGATTTTCCTTTTAAATGATCTACCTATCTGAAATCAATTAGTTTACAAACATTTAATATTTGTATAGGTCTATCCATTTTAAACAATGAAGTAGCAGTATATATAATCATAGATAAAACATACTCCCTTTAGTAGATTAGTCATCCTAATGGAACAGCTGAAGCCAATTTTATTGTTAGTTCTGTCCAACTATAGAGGTTATGTTTTGTTTACAATTTGTTTCTTGTTATTGCAGTCATTTAAAACCTCGTTTAACCTAATACAACCATATACAGTAATCATAAACAATAACTGGTCTCCTAGTTATATAACCAAATAGTAAAGCACAAATCATGAAAATAACCCTAAAATAATAGAAACAAAATGTTGTCTACTCTAGCGATCAGTGTGGACGTACGGTACATGAACTAGACGCAAAAACAAGCTTCAAAATTTACAATGGGATGAGGAGTCTACTTGTGTTGCTTAGCCTAGTCTATGATATAATACATCAATACTTTACATTTATAGGTATTCAATAATTCATTGGTTATATATTTTTAAAAGAACTTGACAAATTTGAAAAGGTATTTCAATATAACAGTGTATATTAACACAAAGATATATTTTTCATTTTCTAAATTAGTTTGAAATGCGGCACGAGGAAACCACGAGACTTCGGAAATAGCCGAGTACTCACGGAACCACGTCCGATCCTCATTTTCATTTTCCTCAATTTCGGGAGTAGGTTGCTACATCCCCCAGAGGGGAGGTAAATGCTCCGTGTTGGTATCGGCATTTTCAAGTTGGCCACAGACATGGACGACTGGGCATTGGGTCCCAGTGACATTCCTTTATCCAGGATGGAGGGGTGTTTAGCTCTAGGAGAGATGGAAGTGCATCATAATCTCTAACCTACCTGTGTCTGTGGTTCTTTGGGCTTCGGCCTGCTTGTTGTGTGCGACCAGCATTCAGTGGGCAAATCCTCGACTTTGGAAGTAACCTTTCCTGGAGGTGAAAACGGGCAAGTACCCGTAGCTCACGGGGACACTCAAGGGCAACGTAACTTTCCGCAGTGTGAAGGCAACGGTTTGTAGGCACTTATGCAAACCAATCCCTGTCTCTGAGCACGGACGGTATGGTTATCTTGAGTGTGGGGGGTTCTTCCCGGAACCTCAATTGAGTCAAGGGTGTCGCCACCTCTGGTGGATAGGTTCATCCGGGTGGGTCCCACTTCTATACCTGCCTCCTTTGGGAAACCCTGATGGCCTGGCAGTGATGTTGGGTCTGACGGGCAAACGAAGTAGATCGGGTGCTGGGTCCGAGCCCGCCAGGGGTATCTGGGGATCTATCGCTCTGGTTATCTCTGGTTTCCCAGCAATGGGTAAGGCCTCGATCGGGCAGTAGTGTAAATGGGAGGTTGGGGCTCCCCCCGTCAGCGTGCTGACGGTCCCCTTCCTCCTGGCTATTGATGGCGGGTTCTGCCTGTCAGGGATTAGATAGGTCCCGAGTGTTGCTTGCACTAAATGCCAGGTGGAGTGACGCTTAAACAAGCAGCCGGAATCCCTGGTTAGGATTGAGGGGCAACCCTCCTTCCGAAGGGTCTGCTTCGGCAGCCGGCGAGCCTGATGACCTTAAGTCATCCGCCCATGATGTGCTAAAGGTTGATGCGTAAGCTTCGGCCTACATCATGAGGCCCGGGTATGTCCTAACGGATAGGTACCGGGTATGCAGGCAGGGGGCTTCGGCTCTCATGACAAATAAATAAATAAATAAAAAAAGTAGGTTGCTACACTTGTCCGGTTCGGTCCGGTCCGCCCCAAATGCTTCTGCCAAATTCGGATGAATGCACCCTGGAGGATTGTTCCGCTCCGAACCGGACCCTACCGGACCGAATTGGGTAAGTTTAGCCGCCTCCATTTAAAAACGTGGGGAAGCATTGTTCCGCATTTTGGAGGACCGGACCGAATCGGGCAAGTGTAGCCGCTGCTAGGGAGAATTTTATACCTTGATTGAGGACAAGAATCATAACAAAACCACGTCTGCTGCTACTGTCAGTGCCTACTGTCCATGTCACGTGGTACGAGTAGAAGTTGTCGGCGCATGTACCGAGCTCTCCGGCGCCGGAAGCCTATCGCTTAATTTTACCGGACCCTACCTGACGCACCGGACCGGATTCAGTGTGGAGACTTCCATTTCAATTAGGTAATGGTTTTCGAATTTACCTGATCCGGCATGCCTGATCCAATTTTACCAGATCGGACGCAGTGTGTGACAAGCCTTAAACGTCACAACAATGATGGCGTCACAGCTGGATTCGTCATAAAGCAGACGACATAACCTGCAAAATATCAAGTGGCGGGAATTTGTTCTTTTAGCGAAACGGCCAAGATGGCGTTCGGCAGTTCCCGTCAAACCTTGAGCATAAAATATATGTAAAAACTGCATAAATTGCTGAATGTAAATGAATGAATGTTTCCATGGAGTAAACAAAGTAAACGCTTAAAGCGTATTCTAGCACTATACACCTTATAGTAAGTTATAATAATTGTGCTAGTTAGTTGAAATGTGTAAGAATATTACCATAATATTTTATTGGTGGCCTATGTAGTACCCCATACAACGATCTTATTGATTTCTTTTATGAACGATGTTTATTACATTGTTATGAACTAGAAATAACATTATTTGTATATACCCTCTGTTCTTTGCAGTTTTGAGATATGCCACCGTTAATGGTGTTGGTGTGACCTCGGTTACATTTGAACCCAACTTACTAAATATCGTTTTCTTTTACTTATCTATACATGTTAGTTACTGCATAATAGAAGATAGGCCTACCTAACACCATTTCTATAAAAGGATCATCATTTATCAGTTTTGTTGTAGGCTATTATTAAAAATTTCCTCAAGAAAATGGGAAATTAATATAAATTTCTATTGCTACCATCCCCTTGTCACGATTTTCTTTTTTTCTTTTGAAATATGTTTATAACATTGTTATGAACTAGAAATAACATCATTTGTATACCATTACTACTTTACAGTTGAGATATGTCACCTTGAATGGCGTTGGTGTGACCTCAGTTCCATAAGAACCTAACTTACTAAATAAATCTTTTTTTTTTTTGCTTACACATGTTAACTTAACTTACACATTAACTACCAGCTGATTATAAAATGAAACTGGTCTATGTATGTGGCTGTGTGAGTAAATGTAAGTTAGGACGTAAACTAAAGTGCAGCCCATTTGAATAAACCCTGATCGATTGTCTTAAGTTAGATGTGCAAACATTTGGTATTTCAACATCCCTAAGTTCTAAGCTAGTTTTTAAGTGCTTAAAGCTAATGACATTGAATTGTGAATAACTTATATCTACTGAAATACGGTTATATTGATATAACTTACTATTCTGCCCCTTTAAACCCTATCGGTATTATTCTGGCACTCACCCATTCGCATGTAAGATAGCCTAGTTTAAATTAAGGGTTCGAATAAACTGTGATGTTTGATCTCTTTCAAATACCATGAATTCAAAGGAGGATTCACCACATTTGAAGAAGTATTCCATTTCATTACCGTACCACTGCCGAGTGATCTGTGTCGAAGTGTTAGACGACGCTGGCCTAGTCCCAGGTATTGAAGTTTACTGCTACGTTGTCAATGCAGGAGTGGCCTCTCGTCGGTTGTGTTGTGGTAATGAAAAGTCCAAGGAGATAGATTAGGGCAGATCTCTTGGGATCTTCTCCAATGAGGTTAACATTAAAATCATCCATCAAAACCAAGTTTGAAACATTTTTCTCAAGGGAAGACAGACAGCTCTCCAATAAAATAAGTTAGTCCACAAAAAGAGTATGAAATATACCCACTTAATGATAACAACAGATGACAGCATAGATAAAACATACTCCCTTAGTAGATTTGACATCCTTATAGAACAGCTGAAGCCAATTTTATTGTTAGTTCTGTACGTCCAACTGTAGAGGTTGTGTTTTGTTTACAATTTGTTTCTTGTTATTTCAGTCATTTAAAACCTCATTTAACCAAATAAACAATATAATCAACTGGTCTCCTAGTTATATAACCAAATAGTAAAGAACAAATCATGAAAATAACCCTAAAATAATGGAAACAAAATTTCGTCTACCCCAGCGATCAGTGTGGACGTACATGAACTAGACCATTTTATTAAGGTCCCGGGCCTTGGTCTTACCGTGCCACCTACGGTAATATCGGTAGCTACTTCCCTATAGGGAAATTTGCTAGAAGATGCTTATATATATACAGTAGGCTATAACTCTAGGTTTTCTGTAGACAAATTAACCGGTAGGCCTATGTAAAGTTTAATTTTGTAAACAATTAACTTCTTGTTAAATGCTTCTATGTTTGAGTTACGAGGGATTTCTGGCATCACGACTTAAATACTTACTTAAACTTTCCACTATCTTAAATAGGCTATACTAGATACCCTACTGAATATTGTTAATTTTGAGCTTGACCCAAAGTAGTCTAGATTTATAATAGGACTAGACCTAAAACCCTACTTGCTGGAATCAAACGAAAATGGAACATATTTCATGACTTGTTTTCTGTCCAGTTTATAACTACAGAGTTACACTTAATTTTGATATATGGATAATTACTACACATTAAACAAAGTGTTATGGAAGTGTATACAAATAAAATGGATGTTCAAAACACAGGACAAATATATCAATTCTGTAGTATCGTAAAAATCTATTCACATCTCCCACTTGGTGTATTTGAAAATTAAATTCAGATGTAACCTATGTTTATCAAATGTCCAGCACTTACAGTAGATGGGAACATTCAATCAAAATAAAGTATATCTTGTTAACAGTTTAATTCAGTTTTATACCATTTTATGAATAGCAAACTTCAGTTCTTCATAGTTAAAGTTTTTGATATACATAATGTTTTGGACTTAATTTTGTATTTTAAATTATGTTTCCGTAATCTTCTTTAGTTTTCTTGTTTGATTCTCAATAGATACTTAACACGTTAAGATAAATAAAAATATAATAATATATAGGGCTAATTAATAAAATTGATTAAGTAGGTTGGCAAAACATTCCAAGATGTTTAAGTAGGTAGTCAGACCAAAAGGTTTGGGAACCGCTGGGCTAAATAATGAAGGCCCACCATTGTCCTGTTTTGTCAATTTTCTAACTTAATTGGTGCAGCACTGGCATGACAAAAGTGTCTTTTCAAGTTATATGCTAATTTTCCGACCTTGGAAATTTAAACAAATCTTCACTTTAGGCTGTGATGGTGTAATGAAGTAACTACAATTACTTTAGTACTGCTATTACTACTAATATATTCTACTAATATATTCTATTAATATATATACCATAATTATCTGGATCAAGCTCATGCGAGTTTTGAGATATCTTACATGATATGGTGGTTTCAGCATCCGGGTGGAGAGGAGGTGCTATTGGAGCAGTTGGGAAAAGATGCAACGGAAGCATTTGAAGATGTCGGCCACTCTACAGACGCAAGAGATATGATGAAAAAATACAAAATTGGGGAACTTGCAGAGGTAAGATGAATCGTAATATTCTTATTCAACCGTTTAAAACCAAATCCCCACAGCAGTCCTAAGTATTTGATAAGAAACTGGCTTTTACTTTAAACTGTGAGAACAGATAAAAGGACATAGTTAATTTAGAGAAGCAAAGTATGCAATCTGCATTACTGATTATTAAACTATTTGCTAGAAGAGTCAGACACTTGGAGCACAACATTCCCTTCAATTGTAATCAAATGCATTTTTGCCTAGGCTAGGCCTACCTTAACATTTGTTTATATTTTCTATTTAGGCCTAGGCCTAATTCTGATTTTAAAACTGACATAAAGTGATTTTTCAGTCTGAGAGGTCAAAAAAAGAAGAAAAGAAAGCCACCGCCGTACCAAAGACCGATGCTGGAGATGGCGACAGGTCAGTTAAATAAAATATTTTATATTGTAACAATCATAAATTTATAGTTGTTGTGTTTGATTTTGTTTTATTAAAAAAATATATTTTAATGAGTCAAGTACTAACCTAAATAATAACAATAAGGTGACATGACTAACGGTTCTGTTATGAATATAATGAAGTGTTGATTGCTGTCGGCTGTTTGCTTATGATTGCTTACTTGTACAGACCCTGCCGCTGGTGCATGCTATTGTAACGGACACAGCGGTATGTTGTTCAAAACTATCACCAAGGTGTCGGGCTTCAGGCTATTTTCGCTTTTATCTACAACTTGCCTAAATTGGTTTATCTGTCTCAATAATATTCCAGAAATCATGATAGAAATACTTGCAAGAAATATTTATTACTTAGATATATCTGCTTGTGAAACAATGCAAATCAAGTTGAAAATATATTCTCAAGCCCCCAATTTTTACAGCTATGTTTCTCATAAGCACTTTGACTAAATGTTGAAAGATTGACCCCTGATGTAAAAAATCTGTAATATTATTAGTTGGTTACTTAATTTTGTGCACAACAATTTGCAATTTTCTGGGATCAAATAGAATTTATATCTTGAAAACCACACTCCATGGTTACATTTTCTTTAATATACTTCTTTCTGCTATGGCATTTATACCATTCCATGGACGTAGTTTGTTTTTGCACCCAAAGTTGTTCCAACTATATTCAAAACATGTTCTGAATGTAGATATTTTTGCCATGTTAATTTTCACCTCCTCGTCTCTTAGAGATGGAAATACGCTTTGTCATGCACGAGTGTTTATCTGTGGCTACTGATCAGATCTGCAAGTCATTGCTGTAGTTCACCACACAAAACAGCTGTGCACCTTATCAAACCTTGCTCTTATCAGTTTGTTTGTAGAGTACTCTGCCAGGGAAATAACTATAGTTGGAAACCACTTTTTAAAGTTTATATAAAAATTTACCTAAGTTTAGTACTAATGCAATATAACACATTTAAATATCAAAATAGCAGTATCAAAGCTATTTCCATAAAATCAGAAAGAAGTAAAATGATCATCTTAAAGTAGATTTTGAATTTGGTTATTAGTGGTATCTTAATTTAGTGTAGTATGAGATCGATAAGGTTATTGTTTACCGTAGTCAAACACATTAATTGGCTAATTAAAAATTATGTCCACTGTAAATAATAAGAGCTCCTCTTAAAATATGTATTAAAGTAAGTTTTTTTTTCTTTTGAAATAGGCCTACAATTTTATTTATTTTGCAAACCAAAAACAGAATCCCCATGAGTAATATACTTATTTCTGAGCAATGTATTGACATTAATGTCAACGCTTGGATTTATTTTACGACTCAAGTGACGAAACAAATTTAATTTGATACTTGTATGAGATTTAAGCAAAATTGTGGGACCGGTTTGATTCCAGGTGTATCATCAACAGTTTTAATTTTAATTCTCTTCTAAAAAGTCCCAATTGCGTATGCCCTAACAAAATAATTTGATCTACTTAACGTAAAAGGATTCTATTTTTTTATAACAGAGCCCAAAATAGTAACTCAAAAATTACTATTGCATTAATTGATTATAATTGCAGGTTTAGTGACTTAGTTTTAAAGTAAAAATTAAAAGCTCGATGTTTTTATGTAATAGTTTTGGATGTTCATGTTGAAAGGTTTTTTATTTCTAAAGGCATTGGCTGTTATTTTTACTTGATTGGTTCATCATTGTGGAATCCACAGTGGGTTGAGGCCACCAAGATTAGCTTAGAAGTCAAGGTCAAGGCTCTCAGCATTAGTCAGCACATTTTGGTGGCCTTGCCTCTGGGATCCTTAGTTGTTATTAGGGTTTAATAGTAGTAATGTGATCCTTTCAACATGAATTGCACTTCTTTACAATAATTGCTAATAGAGGTCGTCCAGTGGTCGAAAACTCGATTGAAAATATAGAAAATATACAGACTTCTTTATTTTCACCCCACGCTGTAAATAAAACGTGTGTTTGGGATTTATTTAATTTATTTTTACTTTCTGTTTATATTTCGTTGTTATTTCATCGCCAGCATGGCAATCCATTAGGCCCTTGTAAGTTTTTTAATATTTTAAATTAATTTTTTGTGCTTATGTTTGAGCCCATTTTAATTTATAAATGGATTCTATTCTGCACATCTACAGGAAAATATCTTTCTAACAGTATGCGTAGATTTATGCGTGGATTCACACGAGCTGAGAAAAAAGGTTTTAAAGAAACATGTTTGCCTATTAATACTGTATATAGATATGATAAATCATATGTTTTACTTGTAAATATAATTTGTATGTACATTAGCTTGTGTTTTATTAGATGTTTCATGCCAATTTTATTATTTCAGACTAACAGTTAAAATTCAAGTTCAACCGTTTTTTTATTTTTTAAATTTTTAATAAGGTTTTTAATCTTTGCTGTGTTTTGAAACGTTTTGCGAAGTGATGTTTCATTTAAAATAACTTATTCAGAACAATGTCATAAACAAAAACGCATAGCTTACACAAAAATTTTTAAATTTTATAAACTTAATTACGAATTGAGAATATTTTACTGTTGGTATTTTCAATCAGTATGTGCCAAAAAACTTTTATTTTTATGGCAGAACTTTTAACAAGAACGATAAACTCTCTCTACTTTTTAAATCGTTTAGTGTTAACTTTTTATAAATTACTCAACTTTACCTTAAAGTTCAAATCTCTTGCCATTTACTCAATGTGCTTTAATAAACTAAACATTCCCACTATTTATATTTGTGACTATTTCATATTAATCTCAGTAAAAAAATATTCAATTCAATTTAAAAGTAGACTTTTGATTTACATAGCCTAACTTTTTGATAAAATCTGATAAGAAAGTATATGTTCTCTGTAGTCAATTTTTTTTATACAAAGTACAATGTTACTTTTTTGTTCTCTAAAATAGTATACACATAATGATTGAATTACGTCACTGTTTACAAAATAACTGCAAGGTTTACTATTCTGATAACAATTTATAGAAAACAGTTTAGTTATCTTCTGAATAAAAAACATCAATGAACTCTATCCTCTACGAATGATAACATTGGCTGTGCCATTACGTGTAGCCTTGGAGGTCATTTTAGCAATTCACTTGGACAAGTTTTCAATGTGACTAAGAAAATTGTTTTAAAACTATTTTATAAATTGATAAAATATATCAAATTAATTAGGGTATACACATACAAGTTTATAGATTATCATAGTATTTTCTGAAAATATTGTTGTAATAATTACTACTTAGCTCAAAAAGCTAGATGTTTTAATACATGTTATATCTTTAAGTGTTCAAGCTGCTCAAGATTGATCGAGCTGAAGATAACTCATTGCCAACTTATCACTACATTACATTCAATCATAAATTTATTATTTTGTCTGATTTGATTTTCACACAACGGTATTGGAAACATCTAATATTGCTACAAACTCAAAATTGCCTTGTTATGAAATTTGTCTTAAATTTTGCAATAAAAGTTATTTCAGAATGTGACTATCCACCTATTCATTCTCTTGTTAAAATTAAAATTACATTGAAACTTTGAACAAACGCCACCTTTTTAAAAGAAATAAAACCTAAATAAGTATGACATTTAATGTTTTCTAGCTAAACATATTCAGACTGGTAACCATTCCAAATAATATAAAAGATAAAAGGAAATATAAAAACCTAGATAGATATTTGAAACAGACATTGATTACTAACAAATGTTTGCAATCACAAACATGGATGCATTGCTTGTACAAACTTGCCCCACTGCTCACTTGTCAATCGGACTGCTGTTGACCGTAATATTAATTCAACACCAATGTGCATTGTTTTGATCCCTTTGTTTGGAAATGTGCTCCCACCGCGATGTGGCCCAAATATTCAGAATGTGTTTGCTCTACAAAATATGCTTTGACCTAAATAGTATGTGGAGTCTGAGACAGTTTAATTTTGATTTAATTGATTTATAAATACTGTGTTTTCTATTTTACGATTGATTTTTCAATACTTAGTGAGGATGGATATGGTCACCTTCACAAGAGATGACATACTATGTTGCATAGTGAAAAATCATTACCATTTTACAATTTATTTTAAATAGGTAATAACATTTAAATCCCATTAGTCACACCTCGCCAAATACACCACTTAAAATGAAGAAATATAATTATGATTATAAGTAGAACTAATTTTGTGTGTTTTTAATATAACTTTTACATACAAATTATGATTGTTTTAATTAATGGATTAGTACAGGCAGACCGAGCCTTGCTTGGTTAATTAGGTTTGACCGTTAAAACAATCTCGTAAACAGACAAATTTTAATTTACAAATAACATTTTTATTACGAACCATAGCCATTTGATCACTGAAATAAGAAATAACTTTGTATGTTGTACTCTGTAAAAGTATGAAATTTTTAACAAAATAATATTATTGGTTTCAAATGCTTGTGACAAAGATTTTTCGCTGTTGCGCTATAATTTAGATTCTGTCTCTTTTTTCATTGGTATTTAGCATAATAGTTTTATGCCAATTAAAAACCCCAGATGTGGTGATATGATCAAAATATCAAATCTATTTCTGCTCCTGTAATTCTCCGATCTAAAACCCCATAAGTCCATTGCTAAGACTTTTATGTTTCTGTAAGACATGCTTGTAGGCGAGGTGTTATTCATTTATGAATATTATTGTGGGCCTCACTCATCTTTATTTGTGTCTGTGTCCAGGACTCGTCAAAACACATATAAACACACATATACACAAGACACGTAATCGTCCATGGTATCAAATGTCTGATGTTTCGTGGAACTTACTATAAACGTTCCGCTTCCTCAGGGTTGGAAAACACTATCTTTTTCCCCGCACGTGCGGGGGAAAAATAGTATTTTCCAACCCTGATTTTGATGCCATGGACGATTTCAAGTCTTGTGTAGCCGTCTTAGTTTTGACGAGTCCTGGACATCACAGACAAAAATAATGGTGTGAGTGAAGCCCACAATAATATTCATAAACTGAGACTTTTAGTTACCAAATAGTTTTTTTTTTTCAACAACATTCACAGTTCCCTGTGATAGGCCTTACTGGTCCACCAATAACTTTGTTCCAAAATTGACGATTCCTATAATTACAACCTTATTCTTCCCCTAGTTTTTAAAAACATTTAGTTAGAGCATCCACAAAAAAATCAAAATCTGTACTGTAATCTTTGCTCAATAGATACAACTGATGTTTTTCCTATTGTACTTTATTTTGTAATCTGTGGATAGCTTGTTATAAATACATGCTACAAGTGTTTTTTTTTTTTACTTTTTCCTTGTTATTTTATTCAACCAACATAGTTACTTGGCTACCCATAATTTTAATTTTTAACATTTTAAATTAGTTGTGTAGTGAAATATAAAATTTCCTGAGTTAGTGGCTGTTGCCAATCACGTTTTTAGGGCTAAGTCCCTAATTCCAAAATTTAGTCAAAATCCTTCTGCTGGATTTTGACTTTTGAGATACAGAACCTCCCTAATCCGACCTCCGATGGTCTGACTCCTCGCTTGGTCCGACCAAGCGAGTGCTTGCGTTCACATGGTAAAGCGTGAGCTTGTGCCGCCAACACAATAGGCTTACCTAACATAACCTTATTGTCCAAGAAAAATATCTAGAAAACTTTATAAATTGTTGTGTTAAAATTTGTTGTATATTTAACCATTTCTGCCCATTATGAATATTAAGTAGGCTCTCCCATTATTATTTTTGAAAAATCACAGTTCATTTGACAAAAATTACAGTAAATGGAAGCGAAATGGATAGAGGAATGTCGATCAAAGCTTCAAGGTCAAGCTATCCTGTACTGACAATCGTCTGCTCCTTAGGCCTCTACACATGACACATCTGTCTGCTGTGTGCTTGCTATGTCACAACATTTTGTCATTGGGTGTTTGGTAATCATGACAACTTAGGTAGCCTGTGATTGGGTGATTAGTAACCATGGCAACTGGTTGAATTGGTGGATGAAGAGAAATTCATGAAAGAATAGAAAAACAAAGACAAAGAATAAGCGATGTTTTTATGTCATTGTTATCTTTATCGGTGTATTTTACGACTTTTGTTATCATCTATAAGTATATATTATAGTATGTATATATTACAGACAGACAAACAAACAGACATTTCTATAGGATTAAAAAGAAAGTAGTTGAGGTGCTACAACTTGTCTGACTAGCGGCTAGTCCCTGCCCACCAAATCTGTTCGGGAGCGAAACTTCTACACTCCAGCTGTTATTTGGAGGCTTCTGATTGGCTGAGGGAACACCATTACCGCAACGATACGATATGATGCCATCGGCCTCGGTGGTATAGTGGATAGAGTGCCGGGCTGATGAACTGAAAGAGCCGGGTTCAAATCTCACCTGTGGCACTATTTTTTTTGTCTCGGATTTTTTCATTATCAGCAAGTTTGGTTGGTTTAGGTTATGACAGTTTAATTTTATAATTAAAACATTATACAATTGAATTTGAGCCATTTATAGTTTTATTTTATGAACAGAATCATTTATTCGAATAATCCTTCATTCGATTTTTCATTACCAGCAAGTCTGGTTAGTTTGGTTAGGTTATGACAGTTAAATTTTAAAATTAAAAAATTGAATTTGAGGCATTTATATTTTCATTTTATGAATAGAACTATTTTTTTATTAATAAACCTATATTGGATTTTTTCATTATCAGCGCTTTTGGTTGGTAAGGTTAGGTTATGACAGTTTAATTTTATAATAAAAAATTATAAAATTGAATTTGAGGCATTTATAATTTTATTTTATTAACAAAACTAATTTTTCAATAATTAGTAAACCTTCATTATAGTCAATCAGAAGCCTCCAAATGACACTGTTGGCAAAACTAATCCTGGAATAAAAATTCAGCAGGAGGGAGGGTAGAAGTTTCGCTCCCAAACAGATTTGGTGGGCAGGGACTAGCCGCTAGTACTTGTCTGTTGCATTACTTTTACCCAACCTAACTTTTTTAAGCTGTCTAGGGTCTGTTGCTCACTTTACTTGAGTTCATCTCAAATCTAAGGTCTGTCTATAAGGCTAGGATTATACTAGGACGCCAGTGTCCGAGAGGCCAGCGTCTGGGACGCTAGCGGGGCATTAAATCAAATGTGGGCGATTATACTATGGATGCTAGCGTCGGATGCTAAAAAAACCCACCGGACGCTCGAAGCTATTACCGTAGGTGGCATGGTAAGGCCTAGGCCCGGGACCGATTTACTTTTTCATCTTGATGTCCCCAGAGGCCAAAAACACCATCCGTTCATATAGATTTAAATATTATATATATATGTCTGTAAACGCAATAACTGGAGTAACTTTTGTCATATTTTTGAAGAAATTTTGTTTTAAGGTGAAGGGTGGGATAAACTTGAATGAGTTCGCGAACCAGCATGAACAGACCTTTGGGACGGGGTTGTATGTGCTAAAAAAGGGGGTTTGTCATTTTTGACCCATAAAACTGAAAAATTCCCAATTTCAATGAGCTCAAAAACAAATAATTTAGTATATTTAAGTGTGTTTGTACTGTTATTAGTTATGGAGAAAATTAAAAAAAGAGTATATTAAAAATTGCCATGTTAATTTTTATAGAAAATGTTGTTAAGTGTTGGAATTTGCTTGTGTATGGATATATTTTGATTAAACTTGGCCAATTTGTTTTATACTAAGCTAATAATATAGTATTTTACTAAATACACACTTTATTAGCCCCCTTAATGTTATTTAAATAGATATAAACAAAAAGTGACTAAACATTGAAATAAAATGGCAGTCCGAGAGGCTAGCATCCAAACACAAATCACGTCATTTTTCGGCTCGAGGTGGGACGCTAGCCTCTCGGACGCCAGCGTCCTAGTATAATCCTAGCCTAAGGTCGAAAAATAAAGTTTTGATACATCTAATGGTTTTTCTCCCATTGCTTTGAATGATGAATCTTGTTGTTTCTCCTGAAGACACCTTTTCATCTTGATAGAGGTGCATTTTTTTAATTGACTTGAACTAGCTCAAGTACCTGTGCCAGACAAACAATGAAGTTATGAATTGTAAAATAAGTAAATGGTTTTATCATAGGTTATGTTTCGTTGATCTGTGAAAGGTGAGAAACAAGTTTGTAGTTTCCTGACTTAGTTTTATTGTATCTTAATCGGCATTCTTAGTAGTGCTTTAACAAGTTATATTTATCACATCTTTTAACTCATGACTACCTTAGTAAACTAAATAAGTTCAATAACTATAGACTATTTACTTCAGTTTCAAAATTAATTTTGACTTGTCAGTTTATTATGTCATTGGATTATCAATTACCATTTCATCAATGAAAATCCATCGTGCTAGAATAAAAATATCAGACAATAAATGCTTATGTAACGATAAAACATAATATTCGTTTCCACAAGCATCTAAATCTTTTCCGGTCTCTGTCAAAATATGTTCCATTAAACACGTTCTGTTATGTGTTGTTAATTATTTTGAACACATTTTCACTTCAGTGTCTGTCACTTAATAACATAACCATCACAAACAGTTGGTTGGTTTCTATATACACATGTTGTATTGCATTCAAATTTGTTTCATGAAAAATATGCAACAACACGGTTTCAATATTGATTCGGTGTAATTAAAATTATAATTAATGTTGATCAGGTAAGGGATAAACATGGTTTCTTTACTAAGTGTGATTTCATCTTTAACTCGATAAACTTAAGCACATTTTTTTAAACTTTAACATGACGTCATGAGTGAAATCGATCAGATTTCGATGACATTTTGTGCAAACGTGTAAACTGTTGTTTATTCAAACGAGCCCGCAAACCAGGATGATCGGACTATAATAATAGGTACAGTTTAAAAATCAGATAAATATAGTTTACAGGATTGCTGCTTGGAAGTATTATTTGTAAAGGTTTAACCAGAGAGAGGTTATTTTAGGTCTAGAGGTGTTTTTTATTTTTCTAACAACAATTTTAACCAAATAGAAGAATTTTTATGTAAATTGTTGGGTTGTTTGATTTTTGAAACAGTTAAGAATTTATCTTGCTTGGAATCCAACCAGTGACCTTTAGATTTGAACCAACTATGTAACCTACTTAGCTAGTAACCCTTGTTTAGCCCATCATTTCACCAGAAAGTAACTATTTTTGTAAATCACCCAAACAGGGACGGGTGGCGTCGTCCTGTAATCCAGCTACTTGGAGGTTACGAATTGTGGATATTTATAGGCATGCACTGAGTATACGATACTCTCTGGTGTGGATTAACGTCCGCACGAGTGAGTACGACGACTATCCGCAGTACTATCCTGATAATTAGACCAATTCGTATATACCAAGGCAAAAATGTGGTTCGGATTCCACTATAAACTGTAGGGCCTTAGTTGCCATTAGCTGTATGGGTATAGGTTATTAATTAACAGCTGTGTCTAAGGAATATGTCGGCCTTAGTCACCAACAGGACTACAAGATCGCGCCACTCATCCTACACTAATCTCCATTCATACTTGGCTTAAAATACCTACTTTGTATGGTCGCCATTTCATAAAAAGTATAAAAGTATAGTATGTTATTAACAAGCCTTTATTAGCCTTTATGTGTTTATGTTATTAACAAATAATTTCTTCTTATTGCAGTTCCTGGAAGTCTTGGTTGTTGCCCATTGCCATTGGATTGTTAGCAACTGTTGCGTACAGATTCTTCTTTCTAAGCCAAGATGACAGTGGGAAACCTTAAGTCATTATTTCACTCCAAACCCATCTTTGTAATATTTGTACACATACAAAAACAATTACCATGTTATTTTCAGTTACTGCATTTATTTTAGCCTTGTCAACAGTCTACCAACATCCCAGTAACTTCAATGCTTACATTCTATTTACATTATTTTTGTGAATATCTAACTCAGAATAATTTGTTTTATTAATACCTTATTTAGTCTCTTTTTTTGCTTCTATGCTAAGCTATCATATTTTATCATTACTTCTTGCACATATGAAAATTATTAACTTACTGCAAGTGCTGATGATCAAAAATGGAGCTTAAATGTATCTGAAGGAATTCTCTTAAGGGCAAATATTGATTCTTTAGTATAACAAGATTAAAAATCATACTGACATAACCAAACATATCCTAATAAGAATAAATATTCTCACTTGTTTGTATTCTCCGTGTGTAATGCAATACTAAAAATTACTCATTGTACCCTTGTAAGAAACATGTAGTGTTAAACAGATGATTTTGGAAGTTATATTGGTACTATAGTTAAGCGGTTTCTCATCTTGAGTAATATGAATCTGCAAGTTATTTTTGTTAATGCACAAATGTTTTACGTGTGCTTGACTTGATTAGGTTTAAATATGTTAAACATTAAATGCTCAGTTAATTGTTATGAAACTAATTAGGTTGTGCTACAAATAATACACATTCCTAGTATACTAAATCTTCTAATAAATGTTAATAAGTTTGCATGAATATTTACATTTGTGTGAGGGATGTGGTGAATAAAAGAAAACGCTTTCTAGAATTTTGTAAATTATCTCTATTTCTTCTGTCCAAAGAGTGAAGTGCTAAGAATCGTGGGCTTTTATATTTTGCGATGCCCAAATTTGCCAGGTGGTGAGGTTTTTGATATAGGAGTTTTATAGATATGGGTCCATTTAGATTAGTTATATACAATCACAGCGGGGATTAAATCATAAGACTTGATATTTTCTCTAAATTTAAGATGCTATATATAGTAAATGTATATCCTTATATCTGTTGTAATATTGTTATAGAGAATAAAGTTTTTGAGATTTAACACTGCTGCGAAAAGTATTGATTTCTCCTTTATCTATTTAGTGATAATTGTTTAGTTAATAAAAAAAACTAGTGTACCTGTTGAAATCGAGCAATTGTCAAGAACCAGTATTATACAGAAGTTATTTTAAAACTACAGTCATAACAGTCATAATTTTCGATGAGTTAAACTAATTGAAATTAGCTGTTTAATAGAGCTTGTAAAAATATTTTAGAATTATTTAGACCCGGCCTTATTTTTATCATCAAAACAATACCAATACGATACGGTATACAACTAAGAGTGCAATACAACGTAACGTACTGCTCTGCTCTAGGAGGGGAGAGTGATCAGGGGCAGAAGGGAGGGGGATGTTTCTTGTTGTCTGGTACTGCGCGCTTATCTCGAGCAAGAGTCATGAAATAAAACCATAGAACTATAAACTCAGGCGCCGCGCTGTACGCTGCCGAGCGTCAGCTCACTACAATTCAAATCGAAACTGCAAATCAATGTCTTGAGTCCTTGAGTTGAAGTGCTGTACAAGTATACGCATTTTCAAGTGCTGTTGGTACAAACAGAATAAATTCCTTTGGTGTGGTGCTTTAGATACTTGAACTCTGTCCTGTTAGTGCCACTTTTTTGTGGCGCCATATGCGACCGGGTAGTTCGCGTATGGGTTAAACCGGCCCTGGATACAATCAAATTTTATGTAAACGGTTAAGGCCATTTACCAAATAAAAATATAGGCATATGGCATATCAAAATGAAGCTTAGAGTGTGTAGATTTGCCGAAAAGTATTGATATGGACGAACTCCTTTTTTAAGGGCTCTGCCCCACAGGCTGATTTCCAAAGTGTTACGCTTTGCAGGTTTTGGAAGTTATTATTTGAATTTAGTGAACAACAGCTGGCCAATGCAATTGACAATATAGTTTGTTTGTTTACATTTTTGTTTACTTATTTTATTATTTACTTTTATGTTCTTAAAAGAAGTGCGGTGAATGGACACTGAAGCTATTTCTAGCTGTTTGATACAAGTGAGTGATTAAAGGTTTTCAAAACACGATGAATATGAGATTAACAAACCATGTATGTTCTTCGTTCCAAGAGGTTATCACCGATCTTTAACAGGTCGCAATTTCATTGAAAAGTATTAAAGTAAAGTACTAAAGACGTCGTGAAAGAGAGCTGCGTGTTCAGGTACAACCTCGGCCAACCTTAGGAAGTAAGGTATGAAGGTTCCACTGCTTTTAACGTCCTTTCAGATGACAATTTCCCGAACTTGGGCCCTTTAAATGAAATATAAAGTCAAAGTTGATTAAATTAATTTAATGGTGGCTTCTGTTCACCCGTGAATTCGCGGGTAGAACCTCTTGTAAGAGATTAAAGGACATCATTTTTTAAGCGTTGAACACTAGGCTTGTCTTCAGCTGTTTCATAAAATGGATATATGTTAAAGTTGTATGTTTAATCTATAGTAATTACTTGTAATATCCTTCAAAACTTCAAATTAATATTAAACCATCGGTTATGAAATTGACTTGATTATCTGAAATTATAATTGTTTATAACTAACAACGAATATTAAATCAAACTTGAGATAAAAGATTATATGGAAATAAAATTCACCAAATAGTTATTTCAGCAATCGCCAAGAGACAAAAAGAAACTGGCACATTTTTCAGCTCCTATGCCTTGTAATCAGAAAAATTCTGTGATATTCTGTTGTTTTGAATTTTTTGCGTGTTTATAGTCCTTAATTAATTAATATAGTATTATACGTGGAGTCTATATTAGGAGTTAGCATAATGTCATGTGGTTCAAGCTACTGGCATATCATCTATATTCAGTTACAAAAACGGATAATCATATTATAACTATCTTCTCATCCACGCGGTTCTTATAAAAACATTTCAACATTTATACATTCAGTTATAAATGAGCTGCCAGAAACAATAAATTTCGACCACAGGTATGAAACTTACAATGAAAATATTTCTAGACTCCCCAGACTGTTTGACCCTATATAAAAAGTTCATCATATGCTGGGCTGAGATTGTACAATGTGCTTCCTTCAGGCTACGAGTCATTGTAAATAATATACGCCCAAGTATTATTTGTTTTAGAGGTTAACGACTAAAGGCCATTCCGTACCTCACACGTGCATGGCTGGATGTGCCACGGCGGCCACACTAGCTACGCCCCAATTCACACAGACGCGGATGCTATACCGGCCACGTTTGCTGCTGTTTCAAAGGCGTCCCCAGATGTTTTCATTGAGGGAATTCACTAAAACATCCAGTTGCAGACAGAGGTGATTCATTGTACAATAGGAAGGCGAAACATATGATTGAGAGTACATAGTGGTTGGCGACAGGGAAGGAACAAACGATGTATCTGACCTGGGCGAAGTGGTGGGATCGTAGTTCAATTTATTTTCTTCTTCAGCTTTAAAAGTGATATTGAAGTTCAAATTTTACTTGGTTTCGTACAATTTGTCCGCCACGTTTTAAAAAGATCGCATGAGGAGTGGACGGTAGCTACGCGTGGCCAGGTAGTGGACATAGCTCGTGGCCGTGGCCCTGCTGTGTGACTGGTCTCGTATGATAAGCAGGGGAGCGATATTTTGAAAGGTAGCTAGCGTCATAGACAAATAGAATTAAATATAGACCGTCAGCTGTGCTGCGGTTACCATAGGTTCTGGCGCACACCGCTGGGAGCGCCATGTAGTTACCCAACGGTGTGCACCAGAACCTATGAGATGGAGATCCCACCTAGGTGTGTATTTTAATCCAAATAATGAGTGAAGGATGTGAAGCTTTGTTCCTAAGATCAGCTGTTTCCAGTAACAGCTGGGGCCAGTTAAGAACCATCAAAAAGCTACTGACTTTTCATGATAATTTTAGGTGCAAACAACTTAGCCTGATAACGGACGTAAACCGGTTTAGAGATAATATTTCCTTTCAGCTTCCCACAGAAGATAACGTGTCTACCACAACTTCCTCTGATGTCGAATAACTCAAGTTTAGATCTGACAAATTACAAAAATTGCAAACTAAAATGTGCAAATTTAAACTTGCTTTCCATTAATCTCAAACCATACTTTTACTTTCTCATTAATTTAAGTACCTTAGGCCTAGTGTATTGTAAACATAGCAAAATCTGTTTTTACCTCATCTCCAGATCTACTTGTATTCAAATTGGCCGTGGTATTCAGTGTGAAACTTGTTGGTATGCAACGGTCATGCATGGATTCCCTCACTCACCACTTTATGCATAGGGTGCTGCGAGATTTATGACTCATGGTGTTCTGAAAAGAAAGTTTACAACTACTTTGACAATAGCTCCAGCCCTAGACCCAAATTGATTGGTAGACCATATTGCCAGCTTATATACTACATTGGATTACTGTCTCGTTCCCATTTTACCTAACAAAACAATCTCTTGAGGTATCATTGAAAAAAGTTGACATCATACACGACATCTAACTTATTCAAACAGGAAGGTGTCTTGTTTAAATTATTCTTAAGACGACTCCTTGCTTAATTTATATTGCCCTAGGAACACCATAAAAAAGTCAATTAAAAGCATCAACTATAGTTCGGCCGCTTAGAAAACGACCTGCGCGCTAATGCTAAACCAATGTTGGAGGAGGTCGCTTTCTAAGCGGCCGAACTATAGAAGAGTAACTTTATCCGTGATTCTCGTCTAATCTCAATGCCACCTAGGTGCGTATTTCAGCCCAAATATGAGTGAAGGGTGAGTGTAAAATGAAATATGTGTGTGTAGCTTTAATGTGAGCCCAATGATCAGAACCAGCTGGGTTCAGATCGGAACCATCATATAGCTACTGACTTTTCTCCTGATGTAACTGGTGACTTTTATTGCTATGCGAGCACTTTAAGTACTCATCATGAAACAAATCCAGAGAGAGAGAGAGAGAGAGAATGATGGTTGATCAGTAAAAAATATTTGAAAATTGAACATTTTGACTTCATGTAGGGGATAAATGATTATTTTAATCCTAAAAATATTATCAATATTTAATGCAGTTAGCCCTCTATTGCTTATTGTACATATCTTAATTACTGTACTTAAATATGTGCATACCAGACCAGTGCTTCTTAAAATGACCCAAAGGTCCTAAAAAAATTCATCTGCGAAAATCAAAATTCATAGAATGCGATAACTTCTTAACTGTACATCTTTTGTTAGAATTTGAGGCATTTATAATTTTATTTTATGAACAGATCTATTTTTTCGATTGTAAACCTTTATTTGATTTTTATCTTATATCTTTTTTATATTATCACCAAGTTTGGTTAGTTTGGCTAGGTTATTTGACAGTTTAATTTTAACTAAAAAATTATAAAAATATTTTATAATTTTTCTTAGATCGACGTGAGGGGCTCTCCCACAATCCCCCACTTCTTCCCAGAAGAGGTTCTCATCGGTTTTTGACCAACCCCCTGAGACGCTAGTGTATTATTTACATTAAGTCAGTATGTTGAGAAGCGCGTTAGCTACAGACCTTGTCATCAGGTTGGCTCTTAACTAAAGCTGGGTTTTCCTAGGCGCGGAAGCGGAGAGAGGAACGCGGAGAGCGGAAAAGAGATTAACATGGTGTTCCGCTCCGCTTCTTGGAAAACAGTAACATTGAATTCCCTAAGACAAGAGAAGTCCGCTCTCTGCGTTCCTCTCTCCGCTCTCCACTTCTGAGCCTAGGAAATCCCGGCTTTATGAGGTCGATCTGGAGGGTCTTGACTGTTGTGAAGTTCTTGACCCCTCGGTTGAGGCTCAAGGAACTTCGCTGCAGCCAAAACTTTGAGAGCAGACTAGACCTTGCTCAACCTATAGGTTTGTTTGAATTGTAGTTCCAATTTGTACAATTTAAATTGTCAGCTCTCATGCTTATGACAGGATTGACATTGAAGTATTTTTTCTGAACAATGATAGGTTTAAGTCCCGCATCTGCCCAGTAACATACCAGCTCTTAGCCAAACAACTCGCTACACCGAATAGGACCTCTCCTGATAGTTTAATTTACATTTTTTTTATAAGTTACCTGAAAATGAAAATATGATTTATACTACTATGAGGGAAGTAGGTGGGAAAAGAGGACAAGGAAAACATATTCTCTTTTATAAACTTTACTTGTTTATATATTAGAGGTTCTACCTGAGAATTCACGGGTGTACAATTATGAAGCCTTTACTGTATTAAGTTAATTAATTTTGCCTTTGTATTTCATGTTCGAGAAATTCTTATCAGAAGGAATGTTAAAATCAACGGGACCTTCATACCTTACGTCCTGAGGTGGCCAAAGTGGGTACAGTTGTACCTGAATTTCCCGCTCTCTTTCGGCGACAACCTTTAGGACAACTCTTTATTTGGTTAATGGCCGTAACCATTTACATAAAATTTGATTGTATCACTTTAATAATATAATTGGAAATCTTGTTAGATAGCCAATTTAGACAACTTTTGGTTAGACGGCCAAATTTAAGAACCCTTTAGGAGAGTCTTAAATTTTTAGGTTTATCAGGGTGCTGGTTGCTGGTACCGGGTAGGAACTCTACTGAACATAAGAAATTTTTTTAGTGAAGCGGTAAAAAAATACAAAATGGAATAATTTTATTTATTAACTATTTTCTACAACAAATATAAATTGTATAAATCTATCTACATGCCACAAGTAGGTAATAAATAAATAACTTTTTAATAACACAATCCAAAAAGGTATACCACATTTTATGTACAGGAGGTAGGCCCAATTATTGTTACTTACAAATATCAATAGTTCTTCATAGGAGACAGTCATACTCAAAGCTAAAAAGCATTTACTGCAAACTCATATTCCGTCGAAATAAGTCCAAAAATGGCTTCCCCCAGTGGGGGATTCAGGATTCAGCAACAAGGGGTAGGAGTTAGGATACATCCTCAGATATTTAAATATATAAATATTTCAGATCTGTGGTGTATAAGTACATTTTAAGTTTATTTATTGTATGATTATATATACTTGGATCATTGGGGATGGGTCAAAAACACTAAGTGGCCACAGGAAAATCGAGAAGGTCTTCTGCAGTCACATATAGGTTGTGAAGATCTTCCCCAGTTACAGCAAAATTGTGAATTTTTTCCACAGTCATGGTAAAATCATAAACACCTTCCTTGATTGCAGTTGGTGAGATCGAGAACATCTTAAGAGGTCTCAGCGAAATCGTCATGTCAAAATCGTAACCATCTTCCATCGTCACATCGATTTCATTATGTTCCACAATTGCGGTAAAACAGTGAACATCACCCACGATTGCAACGAAAATACAAATTTTTGATCGTGCATCTTCACATTGTGGGTCCCAAAAATAGCAGGGACCAGCAGACCCTTGGTAAAATCGTGCACTTGTTATCTACAAAAATGATGTCCGTGTCTGAGAAAATTTGTGATTTTTTGTACTAGAAGTCCTGTGGCGACCCTGTATGAAAGTACTGTTTTGTCATTGATTATACACCTACTAAAGTAGACACTCAATAGGGGCTGTCGTTACCTGAACAGCGCTGATGCAGAGTAGAGTCAACGTCCCGAACTATGCTACCTCGGGCATGTCGGTGTAAGTCAGATTCGATTTGTTTTAATATTGAGTTTATTTTAGGTTGTTAGGCCTAAATGTGGTTTTTATTGGTGAAATTTGTTTGTTTAGTCGTAGTTTTGTTATTTTATAATGCATTTTTAATACTAAATGATTTAAAAGTGCTCAGAGGCACACTGTACTACAGACTGACTACCGGGAAACAAGTGTCAGCGACCCAAACTACGTCACCAAAATCGGTAACAACTTTTAGCATTACCTGTCCCCTCTTATATGTGTTTACTTAATGGTTTTCTAGCGTAAATTAGGACATATAAATGGAGTGGTCTATAGCCCTTCTGTGTATCCGCCACTGGCTGCTCCTGCTTAGTCGCAAAAAAATAAGCTTTAAAAACATATATTTTATAGTACCAGTAAATAAAATTAATTAAAACTTGGTTATTTATACCAGACGAAATAAAAATTATTATTCTGCCCACAAGTAAAAAGAGTTAATATATTTTTCATATTCAATTTAACTAAATACAAACCTTTATAAATCTCTTATTCTCAACTTACCATCCTCTGGTGATGGAAAATTTGTAACTAATGTATACGTTTGAATAGCGCCAAATCATCAACAGCCTAACCAGAGAATAAATCAATCCATCACAAACAAAACACAACTAACATAACCAAGGAATAAGTTTCAGGCAGTTTGATACTATGCCCCAACAAGGGAGGGGAGGTAAACCTTTTGCGCTGTCAAGCACTGTAAACTCTTAACATATATAAGTGTATTCTTTCCTCCTTCCTCAATGTATTCCAAAGCCTACTACCCTTTCCTCCAAACACTCATTTATGAAATAGATATTAAACCGGTGGGGTAATTAAACACAAAATGAAAATAAGCACAGGAGGTGGCTGGAACAGCGTTCGTCCCTCCTAACAATTGAACACAGCACATCGAGCATCACACTTCAGCTGTTGAAGGAATGTAGCCGCTCGATACTCTCGCTCAGTTGTTCAAGGCTGGTCATGAGCGCACTCATGTTCTCGCTACCCTGTCGCAAGCCCTCCTCGCTCAGTGGAGTGAACAGTTCTTGTTGAGCTCCCAACTCAAAGTGTAGCCTCGCTAGTCGCTCCTGCTGCTCACGGATACCTGTCATCTGTTCCATGCTGCAGTCTTTGCCTGGCAAACAAGATAACATCAAAGACAATACCTTCTACCACTTTTCACTATGCTGTACTGAAGACTATATGCTATGCTCATTTTTATAATGATTAAAATAGTAAAGTAATAGTAGTTTAGGCAACAATAGTGTAAAGATATTAACGACACGAGTAGAAAATTTAAGGTACGAGCCTTAAAAACTTCTCGTTTAGCAAATATAATTGACTTTTTAGCAGATTTCCCTGCAGGGAAAAAGCTATTACCATAGGTGGCACTGTAGGGCCAAAGCTCAGGACTGATTTACTTTTTCATTTTGTTGTCCCTAGAGGTTAGAAACATTATTCGTTCAAATTGTTGTATACGTATAACAACGCAGACTCAAGAAATTTTGGTCAGATTACAATGAAATTTGGCTTTAAGGTGTAGAGCGGGATAAACTTGAATGAGTTTGCAAACCAGTGAGATTGGGTCATGGGAACAGAGTGGTTTGGGGTTTTTTAATCTTAAAAATTGTTCAAATTTTTACTCTTAAAATATAGAAATGCCTAGTTTAAATTACAGCCATCGTGTAGAGATTAAAAACACAAATAATTGTGTATATTGAAGCGTTGTTGTAAAATTAAAGGTTACGGAGAAAATTAAAAAAAAAAGTGCATTTGAAATTCCTATGCTATTCTTATGGAGAAAAGGAAACTGTTGTAGTTTGCTTGTTTGTGGATGTATGTTGATCAAATTTGGCAAATTTATTTATTTTATCCTATACTATTAACATTTGGTTAAAAAACGTTTACCTTCCCCGTAGCAGCAAACCTAGGTACTGGTATGAATATAAATCTAATCTTCCAATCTATATATTCAATTCTGTAAGTGAATTGGTCCCGACGAAATCTCAAGTTAGGAAAAAGGTAACATGGCTGTTGAGGATTAATTTTAAAGCTTAAGGTCCAAAGACGGTGGGAAAAAATATCAGAAGTGTCAAAAACTATCCCTCCTCTGCCTCACAGGCCGTCAAAGATCCAGCCATTTTCTAATGGATGTAGGCCTACTGCTAAAGTGTTTCTGTAGGACGTTTTAAATATACCAGCTGATATAAAATTGTGTATTTGTTTATTTATTTTAGTGTTCTGTTTATGAATTCTGTATCTGAACTATAATGGTAATGCAGTGTTGAAATGTATCGTGTTAGAGGAAGACTGTGACTATGAAGGAGAGTATTTAGGAATGGTGCACAGTATAGGGAATGGCTAAGGACAAATTACATCGAACATAAAGGGCAGCAAATTGCTGCTATGGTCCCCTGGTGTTATTTAGATGGTGAATTATGTCTTGTTTATAAAAATATATGAGTAAAACTCCAATCAGACAAATTGAAATTCACTTTTTGCAGGTTTGCTGCACAAGCGTTTTTGTATTTTTCTGTTTTAAATATTGCTCATGAAAATTGCATATCCATAAAAATATTTTCTCTTTTAGTTTAAACCATGCAAAGTGCAGAGGTCAATTGTAACAATCTTGGGTAAGAAAACGCTTTTAAAACTTTAAATTGTCAACTTTTTGTAGCAATATTTGGCTGATGTATCTTAGTTTATTAGGCCTATGTTCTATTTCAATCAGTTTAGATAATAATTTAGTGTTACACTGACAATACAGATCTCTTGAAAATTCAAACTAACGACGTAAACAACTGGTCTTAGAGATTCCTAAAATTTCGGATCACTCGACACAGTTTTAAGTCTACAGCATACTGAGGTTGTGTTAACAATCTTAATCCGTGTTTTTTCTCTTCTCAGACTAAACGTTGATCACTGTTTCAGAGAAGTGAGATAAGATTATATTTATAAGGTCTTGGGAAATAAGGCTGAAAAGTTTTTACATATGAATGATATACCATGGGTAGGGGTTTTACGAGTTGGTCCCAGGGAGTTCCACATGTAATTAACTCTTGTCTATTGGTGCACCTATCCAGGATTTTTACAATCATACTAGCAGCTTAAAAACTCAACTAATTTACTCCAAGCTCTATTATTAAAGCAGAGAAATATTTCCATGGCACATTATTTTGGCATGGTAAACCATTTATCCCCAGTGCAAAATTCATAGTATTTGCAACAGACAATTGGACGGATATATTGTATTGCAGAAGAAGGGTATGAAACTAATACTAACCAAAAGCTCGTAGTTTTCCTGAGTGAAAATCTTCCAAGAGATGAAGCAAGGCAGTTTCCATTCTTCTCACATCCGTAACATCTGATAGAAAACAGTGATGGTGAACCGTCCGTTCTAAAGGAGCAACTACCACACACAAACAATGACTACAAGGTTCAAACAAAACAGGGCAAAATAAATCAAATGGTAAAATAAACACAAATTAAAATGAGATGGAGTTGATGGTGATTTAAAACCAAATAAATAAAAACCCTCAAAATAATAAAAAAAAAAAAAATTAAAGGAGATGTAGGTAAGTACAACCTTGAATAATGTTCAATGCTTGAATGCAAAGAGCCATGACCATAGGCCTACATTATAGCCCAAAAAATATGTGTATCTTATAGGAAGTTTGTTTGAAATGCCTTCTTTTACCATACATGCAAAAAAGTAGGTTACACAAGTTAAATAATTATGTCATCCTCCATAAACTAAGGAAGATAGTGGTTAAAATAATCATGAGCTTAGAGGATTATTGAAAAATATAATAAGATCATTACAGGATTATAAAAAAACATTAAAACAAAGTTAAGAATTGCTTGTCAAATGAGATAAATAAAATAACCTGCACAAACCAACATATCATGAATGACATGTTATTTTCTGCAATTTACAAACAGAATGAGGTACAGTAAACGCAAGCAGTCTGGGTGCTCGGTTCCGTCTACTAGCTGTGTACATTTCACCCAACCCCTCCACCACGCCTAGCCATGAAGGCAGCTGAACAACCCCGGAGCCGTGTGGGCCAGATGTTTTTGGAAAAGAGCAATAAACACTCCCCCCTACACCCTAGCGTGGCCGCGCGCCCAGACTAAATGCGACTACTGTAGCACAGGGGATTCCATTATCTACTGAAAGGGCAGGACCAGAAGTAAAAAAAGGACTTAACTTGAAATTGGATGAAAAATTCAGTGGCATTAGATGTTTCGGAAATCCTACCATAGATAAATACTAGGAAAAGGATTAAAATTGCAGCTAAAGAGAGGAATATATTATTTTGAGCTTTTACCAACTTATGAGCTAATATGGTTGCTAATAAGAGGTAGCAACATGGGCAGTACTTAAATGGGGGCAATAATGGCACTGATAACCTTAAATTACTTCTAATTAAAAAATCAAATATGAACTGCCAAAGCCAATAGGCTAACATTGTAAATTTGTTTCTTTTACTATTTTCAAACTTACCTCTTTTCACGTTGAGGTTTCGAGTAGAAATTTGTGGAGGGAGAGGTCTTGGTGGTCTTGTCCGCAATTTCTCATGTAAGTACCCTCCTCCAACTCCTAAAATCATTTTTTGATCTTGTTAATATTCTAAAATTTGTAATTATCTGATAAATCTTGCATGGCATAAAACAGGTCATATCTCAGAGCAAAATAGTTAATAGGCTACTTCATGTATTTGATTAGTTCATCATATTATTTCTACAGTAGAGGATAAAGCTCCTCAGCAAATGAGGGATGCACAATGAAGCAACCCTGAGCAAAGAAGCCCCTGGGAAAAGAGTAAGATTTTTTAGAATTAGTCAACATTTTTGTTTTGACCTGTAGGGTAAATTACTGAGCATTAAAAATTGTAATTGTTTTTATTGCTCATTGACGGATAACCACCACTGGCTACCACTTGAAACGTCGTTAAGGTTAAGTTGTGTTGTTAATGTGGTGTAAACAATGTCCTTAAAAATTTTGTGGATACACTTTGAATCTAAACTGAAAAACTTGTGAGTGAGCCAGTGAGGTAGTATTTGGGGTTCAGAGGGATCCCAGAGGCCTGGGGGAAACAGGAAGACTAGAAGACATTAAAAAATAAAACACGAGTTCAAATTTTATGCCATTGAAAAATACACTGTCGTGATGAAACAAACATAGGTATATTAAGTTTTTACGTCATGTATTCAAATTAGGTAGGCATATGTGTTAAAATTGTATAGAAATGTACCAAATTTATATAATGGCTAGAATTTATTTTTCATTTCTACAAACATAAATTAAGATGGGGACCCCAGCAAGATTATTGCATGGGGCCTTCGAATCCTTAGCGCACCACTGTCCTTATACTACTGTCGATACTTAAATACATTTAAAAACATATCTCAGACTTAAGTACTTATTGGTGATTCGATGAGACTTATTATAGCTCATTGCAGCAGTTATTAAGTTTATAGCAATGGCGAACCAGCCTCGCACATTGGTTAAACCTAATGGCACAACCCTTTTTTTTGGTTTGGTTCGGAAAGGGTGTGTTCAGATATGTTAGAATATATCTAAGCAAACTTATAAGATACATTTTGGTCTATAGTTGTTGTTGTTAGTTTTAATAACTAGGCCTATACGATTGGGGACGTACTCCCAACACTAGTCTTACTTTATGATTAGGCTACCTGTGATCACACAGCAGGAATACCTGAACTAGTGGCGTGAGTGGAGGACACAGCGCTTGGGGCTGATGCTATCCTACTGATGGATCGAGAACTCTGATTGGATGAACTCTGGCTCGGAGGACCTCTATTGCTACTGACGCTTGTTCCAGTGGCAGTCATAGTCTACGACATTCAATTAAGTACGGTCACGTAGTTAACTTAATATTCAAAAAAGTTTAACTACGCCTTTCAAAGCATACAGTTAGGCCTAACTCTATTCCATATCATTTAAAATACAGTTTACAACTATCTTACGCCAATTGTAATCTATAATTTTACTGGTGTGGTTAATGTTTAGACTTTTTCAAATGGATTTAATAATAAACATAAAATCTGTAAATAAAGTTGTTCTGAAGTTTCTAGTTTCAGTGGCTAACTTACTAGAATGTAATTTTTGAACTAGCTAGTCTTTACTTTAACTTAGTGTTTATTTATTCAGGCCCTACCTAACTTATCCAAAGTCGATGATAAAGTGACCATGATTGGGCTAGAAATCACAGGATATTTTTTATATCTGACTCAATTGTTACTATCAAATTTTTTTTGTTACAAATGATAAGAGAAGTTTGGTTTTTGGTTGGACTAAGTGTAGTAATTGGATAGAGATTCGAACAACACATTTAAAAATGTACAAGCTATAATGAAAAGGGCCCAACCGGCTAGGGGTGTGGTAACTTAGGTTACCGTAACTATAAGCTAGGCCCATGTAACTGTTGTATTGAAGAACTCATAGTGTGTTCAAATATAGGTTAGTTAAATCAATGCATAGACCGACAGGGATGATTAGGAACTATTCATAATAAGTTATTTTCAACCGAGTGAATGTGGGGTGTAGGCCTAAACTAAAAAGCAGCCTTGTGAGTTAATAATAAGGCTAGCCTACACCCAGATTTAACTTGTATAGATTAGAAATACAGGCTGGCTCTTCTTACCAGACAAAGTTATCCAGGAGAGCTGGATATTTCTATTTCTATGCCCTAAAAATCTGTATAGGAATTAACTAATTGTAGGTGCGAAAAGATTAAATTTTATTTTATATATAGGCCTAGGCTTACTTTTGTATTGGAAGGAGCTGGTGATCTTTGAGCTAATCTTGAAACAGTAGGAGTAACTGGAGGTGTTATTTCTCCACATCTCTCACCCATGTTGTGTTCCTCTTCACTAGGGACAAGTTGTTGTAATTCACACTCCTCTTCTCCTTCTATCATTATATTTTCAAAAACAAACTTTGCTTATATAATTGTAATTTCAACAAACAAGGGATTAAAAATAACCTTAAATATTAAGACTTGACAAAATGAAATGACACTAGAGATTAGAGAGAGAAGAGACAGAAGAATTTTGCAAACAGCGAAACAGCTGGGTTTGTAGGAAAAAGGTCCGGGGAAGAAGAAGAAGAAGAGAAGCCTCCTTTGCAGTAAAAAAGGAAGAAAAGATTGGGGCATTTCGAATTACTGTATAAAACAAAAAACATATATAAACATCGCCTGCTGTTGAGTAAAGTATTATGTACGTTGTGAATTTGATCCTTAAGAGAAACTACTAAATTCGTAAATATCCACGCGACTTACTGGCTATTGAAACATATACAATTAGTTGCCTGGCTAGCCGAGTTGTACAGTAGTAGTGCTCTCATTCAAAACTGACGACTGACGATTGCTAGCCTACAGTACCACTTTAGTTTTCTAAAATGTTCGGTAAAATTCTGGCTAGTAGCACCATAGTGTTATATAGTCAATGGTTGCACTTTTAATACGGAAATAATATTTTGTGTGTATAGTACAACGTAGATATGTAATCCAATCCGGGGTCCGCGGTAATTGGTGGTGGGATGGGAGACCACGGACACAGACGGATAACTAAAAACCACGATTAATTTCCTACATGTGGTAAAAATATTATAATAAACTAAGAAACCCCCCAAAAAAAAGCTCTAATACCGTGCAAATAAACAATTATGTCAAGTATTAGCATTGTTAACCTAAAACAGAATACAATATTGTGTAGACATATTGCACAATCATGATATTTTAAAGCCGTTAACTTTGCTTCAATTAATTTTACAAGCAATAAATTTAAAATAACAACTTGACAATAATTTTTTCAAACAATGTACACTGTACAGCAATAAATCGCGTTAACAATCATGTAAATCAGTGTAGTAGAAAGTATTGTAAGCTACACTATTAGTGATGTTCAAAGACATCTTGAATTTTAACTTTGCCACAATAAGAACGTGGTGTAAAAAATAACTGCAAATGTATAATTTTGACACCTGATATTTTGACATGGTTTACCGTTGGAGTTCGGTTGACGCATTCCACTCATAAATACGTTTAATTTTATGTGTATATCAACCTCTCACTCAAAATATTTTCTTCTGAATTTTAGTGGGCCGTCTCCCATTGCATATTTAAATTTTTTTGAACGGTTCCCATTTCTGTTTCCGTTGTCTGTTTGAGTTCAGGTTTGCGGCGTGGCATTGTATTTTACTATTAAAGTCCTCTAATTGTATGTGCATATCAACATAGCTTAAGCTACATTTAAGTATTTCTTAATTATTCTGGCCCCTAGCGAGCCGGTTACCTCCCACTATCTCCGCGTCCCGCCATCTCCGTGTACCGCTATCTCCGAATTTCAGAGTGACCCCTATAATCCTCGGTTACTTCTTGCGTTAAGACTTTCCGTTCAAACCTATCCTAACCTAACTTAACTTAACTTAACTTAACTTAACCTAACCTAACCTAACCTAACCTAACCTAACCTAACCTGACCTAACCTAACCTAACCTAACCCACGGGTTAAATTTTCATCAAATCTTCCATCCACGGAGCTTCGCAGCCGTGGATGCAATGACAGCTAACAACGCAGGCAGTGACTGGATTAAAAGGGTCACTCTAGAATTTCGGAGATAGCGGGACAGATTTGGGTTCGGAGATAGCGGAACGCGGAGATAGTGGGAGCACACGAGCGAGCCACCTCACTGAGGAGGTAGCTAAGTTTATCGCTGAGTAATAATCGTCCTTGGACTATTTTGCTACCCTGTATCTGTATGTTTAACTGGCATTGATAATGATATACACTATTTTAATCTAGGTAGTAAAATCTCTTCGCAGTCTCCTCTTGCCTCTAAATGAAGTTATCGACCCTACAGGGGCACCCCAGTTACCTACCCTTAAATGTAGAAGTACTGTACATATTTATTTCAGATAGATGACAAAGAGTCATTTGGTCGATCCTCAAAAGTGTACATTTTTCCAAAATGTTATCAAAATCATCTGGATAACACAGATGTATGTAAAGAATAAAATCGCTAAAAGACAAATAAGGTAAACTCAGCTCCGCGTCCTGTTTATTGCACATAAAGAATCGAATGGCCTATCAATGTCAAAACAATTACTCATACAAGTAATTAAATCTTCACATGTAGACTCAAGTTATTTAAAATGACGAAACACAAGTTTTAGACTAACGAGTCATAGTGACTTCATTCAAGGCTTCATAAATTGATAAAAACACTAAATACTCGTATTATCATGAAGCTATGCGGATCCGTCGGTGGCCGGCGCCGCGGCGTGACGTGACGTCAGCACCACCTTGGCTTATATCTTCAATGGTAGCCCATGTCATCAGTGTTGCGTCATGAGATGACCATCAACAATAACTAACACATCAAGTCGTCACGTCCAACTCAACACTTTGGAGGTATTGTCAGATAAGATTTCCTTATATAAACTCTGTCTGGATTAACCTTGTCCTCCCACAAATAGTTGATTGAAATCATATTGGAAAATGCAACACAGAAAACTCATATTTGGATAACTCATTAGAACAAGAATGTGGTATAGGCATATTCTAGTAAATGGTCCTGGGTTTAGTTATCTCACTCAATAATTTTGCACTCACCCCTCATTCATGTTCATAATACGAACCTAGATGGCGTTGCTGCCGCAATAAAATGGTATTGACAATGATGATATTTTTTAAGGTCTGGTTACTGAGTGATGTTGGATAATATGCAATGTATATAGCCTACTACAGTATTCACATTTTAAACTCCCATCAGCGCACAAAGGTAGATTATGGATCCGGAAACACATAGGAGTCTCATATCCATAAAATCTACTCGGATTGGAGATTGTGGGGCCAAATTTAAATTGGTATCTTTTACAGCAAACAATTATTAAAAATTGGATGAGATCTTAATAATGATTAGCGTTTCTTACTTGCGGTGTGAAGGGCATACCCAAAAAGCTTTGAGGTTTGTGAACCGATCTCAAAGAGATTCGTGCAACTAATTGAAAAATGACACGAGTAAACAAAAAAAACAGCATCATATTTGCATTTATTTAGTTTAGGTGCATTTTAAATACATTTAATTGTTTAGGTACAGACCCGTTTGGTATTTTAGATTACATATTTATCACCAAAGATCTCTCAAAATCAACCAAGCAGTAAAGTCCAAAAGAATTGAGACAGACGTGTGTAGAAAGACTAGAGCCACCCCTTTTGTTACACGATGTATAATTTTCTTTTTGTATCTCCTTCCAGGTTAGATTTCCATCCGGATTGTTTAGTCACATTACCTAGTGGGTATTTTTGACAATCACAATCACTTATGAACTAAGACAAAAAATTTCGTTTACCGTTTAGTATTTAAATTAAATAGTATCACTTAATATATCACAAGTTTCTAGGTAGGAAACTCAAAAGCAATGAAGAACGACATACTTGTTTCTAGAGACATCACCTTTTGCACATCCTCTTCTCTCCAGGTTGTCAGTTTGGAGTATTCACACCGACCTGACTGTGCCGTGTGTAAGCAAAATTGACGTGAGGTCACATCGGAAAAGTGATCTGATGGACTGAGGAATATTCATCATTTCGGTGTAACACATCAGTCCGAAGTGATAGAATAGCGACAGAGTGTGTACAGTCGCGTCAGTTCTCTTAAGGTGCATTGTCCCTGAAGCGACTCTTGCGATAGTAGCTGAGCGATAGTAGCTCAGCGATAGTAGCTGAGCACTGGTTAGCGTTGTTTCAAATGGGACCATTGTCCTTGACGCGACTGCGACTGGAGCGGATAGCGGCTGAACACAGCGACTGTAGCGGGTCTGCTCTGAGGGCAGTCAGAGTCGCAGTCGCTGAGCGATTCGTGTTGTGTGTAAACTTTTTTTGGTCGTAATGCCTTCAAAGAATACAAAACTGCTTTCTACCCCTAAGACGAAAAGCTGTTAGTACAGAATACTGTATCATTTGATTTTACCCAGTGCTTGCGGGGAAATGATAGTTGAACATTCCAGTGACCTTCCCGTTGCTAAATAGCAAAGAGTTACTTTTAGGTGTTGAGTGTTTGTTCGTGGGGCGTTATTGCTGTCCGCATGTTTGTGTCTTGTTTTTTTTTTTTTTATCAAAGGAGAAACGTTAGCACGTCTAAATACGTTTCCTCGTCCATCCTTAAAGTAATTATGCCAGTCTTTAGGATGAAATCGCAACTCCTCCAAAATGTCAATATGAGAGTATTTCGCTCATTAAGTCATTGTTTAACCCATACATTTCGATTGATTGACTTTATAGAAATAATAATGCATCATCCGATAACATAATGTGACACAATACATATATTACATTACGAATTACTATAGCTTCCAGGTAGCACATTGAACTGACACATCGACGTGATCGCGTGGATATGAATGTTGCATTCAGTTAGAAGTGACAGTTAACAAACTGACCGTATGTGTAATCCACTTTATATTTCCATGCGGTTTGCTTTTGAAACCTAGCGTAAATCTTTCAAGAACTTTAGGGACCTTTTGTCGTTCGAGGGATCGACGAAACCAATAAACGCATCACCACTTTTATCGGGGATCGTGACTGGTTTGAGAGACAATAAAATGTGCAAATCACCATCGGATTGTACATGTCTGAGGACCATAAACATCCCGGGGCTGTGGATGAGCAACTTCCAAGGTCACAGTGACGTCAGCAGCAGACGCCAGGTTCAGGGTCGAGGGCCAAGGACAGGAACATCTTACAATGATACAATGGTCCTCCAACTTACAAGTCTGAGTGTATGAGATTATTGCTATTAATAGTATTCCTACTTGGCCTTGGAGGTTTAAATTGATTTGTATAGAATCCTATGAGTTTATAGACGGCTGAGTTATAGATGATTAGACCGATTCATAAAATATCTATTTTTGTTCTCGGACGCTAGGCACAAGGGACATTACAAGGCAATGGAATTATAAGATTAAAAGTCAAAATTTTGAGTTGAGATTAGAAGTCAAAATTTTAGATTAAAAGTCAAAATTTTGAGAGTAAAAGGCAA